CAATCATTTATTTAACTTGTTTGTCTTCATCTACCTCTTCTGGTTCTTCCTTATGTTCTATCTATTATGTTAATTTATCTATGATTTCATTTTATTTAAGTAAAGCATTCAAATCTTCAACCAAATCAAATTCTTCAATTTCATTATCTTATAATCCAACATAAGTTAATCCAATATCTTCTCTTTCAAGAACATTAATAAATTCATATATGGCCTTATTAGTTAAATGATTATTCCACAATTACAATTTCTTTAGATATTTTAGACTAGGCCATAAAATTATTGCAGCACTATCTGAAAATCCTGTATTTCCTAAATTTAAATCTTCTAGTGTTTTGTTTTTCTTCAAACAAGCTGCCAACTATTTGATTGTAGTCAATTCCATTCCTATATCATTTAAATATAGAATTTTTATAGTTTTATTTTTCTTCATAGCTTAAAAGAATGGAACTAAAGATTTTGATGTTAATGGATTATTGCCAAAATGAACTACTGTAAGATTAGGTAAACTATTGGTAGCTAATAATGTGGAGAAACATATCAATCCTATTAAATAGTTATATATAATATTACCATAATCTGATATATTATTTGCTGGCACTTATAATTACTATAGATTCTTTAATTCTGGTAATGCATAACAAAGTTATATGAAAGTAGAATCATCAATTGAACAAGAACTCATACTTAAGATTTTCAATTATTTGAAGCAACTTGAAATCTCAATTAAACCTTAAATACCAATCTAATAATATAGATTATTATAAATACTTCTGTTATTTCATTATTCCCAATATATATTTCCTTTAATTTGTCATGCCATTACAATCCTGTCAACATGTCAATAAATCCTCTATCAGTTATTGAATTTGCTCCAATGTGAAACACTGTTAATTCTGCTTAACATTCATGAAGATAGAGTGCTATCTTTGAATATTTGAATAGATCATTACAGTCAAAGCATCTAGATCATCTAATTTCTTTGCACTTACATCTAAAAACTTTCCACAGCTCTTTAATTCCTCTAACAACCATTACTTACGCTTTTCGACCCTTTCTTCAAATTCTTTTTTAAACTATTCTTCATCAATCTACTTTTCATTTTGATCCATTTTTATATATATATTTATAATATTATTTTGTAACTTATATACTTCAATAATATGATCAATTCAAATTGTAATTAGTCTTACTTAGATAAAATAATACTATCAAGTAAATCAATAATTGTTGAAAAAATCAAAAATATAAATATTATAACATCTTTTGCTTTAAATAAACATAAATATTTTTTAAAATGTAAGGACACGAAGATATTACAAAAGTTTATACATTTGAAAAGACTTTAGGAGAGTAAAACACTATATTTAATTAAATAGAGGTGCATTTGGAGTTGTAAAGAGAGCAAAAAAGAAATCAAATGGAGATATGTATGCTGTTAAAATCATCAATAAGTAATTGTTGATGTGATTAACAATTAGAGACAATTTATCAAATGAAGATTTATAAGCTTTATAAACTGAAGTTGAAATTCTAACTTAAGTATAATATTATACTTATTTTTCTAGATTGATCATCCAAATGTAGTGAAACTTTATGAAATTTATGAGGATGATACCAATTTTTATATGGTTATGGAATTGATGACTGGAGGTGAAGTAATAAATTTATGCTTAAATTTTTCAGCTTTTTGAAAGAATAGTTGAAAAAGATCATTTTAGTGAAAAAGAGGCTGCTGCTACATTGAGACCAATTATTGATGCATTATCTTATTGTCATAAAATGGGAATTGCTCATAGAGATCTTAAACCTGAAAATCTTCTATTTTCAAGTAGAGAACCTGGAGCTTTATTAAAAGTAAGTGATTTTGGATTGGCTCGATTTGTTGCTAATGATGAAGTTATGATGACTTAATGTGGTACTCCTGGATATGTGGCACCTGAAATCCTTTCTGGACATGGATATTCAGAAGCAATTGATTTTTGGTCAGTTGGTGTTATTCTCTATATCATGTATATATATAATAATTAAATTCAATAGGTTATGTGGATTTCCACCATTTTATGATGAGGATAATGATAAACTATTTAAAATCATAAAAACTGGATAGTTCTCTTTCCCATCTCCATATTGGGATAGTATTAGCAATGAAGGTAAGAATGATTAAGACATATTATTAAAGCTAAAGATCTTATTAAAGGTCTATTAACAGTCGATCCATCTAAGAGATTTGGAACTGAAAAAATTATGAAACATCCTTGGTTAGTGAATAATACAGCAAAATCAATTCCAAATATTTAAAATAAGATGAAGGAGTTTTATGGAAGCGCAACCATGAAAGTATAATTAAATCTTATTATTTTAATTAGAAAATGGGTAACTTTGTTAAGCTAGCATAGAGATGGGGTAAATTATCATAGATTAAAAAGAAATGATTAATTATATCATCAACATAATTATTAATAGTTTAATAAATAAACATAATTATTAATAATTTAATAAATAAATTTCTGATAATCCCTGGCAAGTTTAGTTATTTTTATAATTAAAACTTGTATGATTAAAAATAATTATATTAATGATTTAAGCAAAAACATTCTAATTATTACCAGTTGCTCTTAATAAAACTGAGGAGGCATTTACAGGATTTCTATATACATCAAAGAATACATATACTTAATTAAAATAAAAATATAATGTTTAAGGAGATTTATTTATATTGATTAATGGCTATGTATTTTAATTGCAAGGAGTAAGTGAATGATTAGATAGTTTAGGAATATGGATACAAAGATGATTCAATAGCAGGAAGTAAATATGTAAGATAATTGTTGAGAATGTCATTCACAGATAAGATTGACGTAGCATTGTTTACAGTTCCAAAAGATAAGGAATACAGATTAGGAGTTTTTGATATTGAATTAGATATTGTTTAATAATAAGGAAGTCTAGATAGAGTTGAATTGAATTCAGAGGATTTAGCACCATTTTTGAAAAGAGCATATAATGGATAATTTTTTAGAGCAGGTTAAATTCAGCTATTCTTATATGAAGGAAACACTTATTTATTCAAAGTAAGTAAATCCATTATAAATTATAGGTAACTCGAACAGATGTTTTGAGTGTAGGAGTAGAATCATAATAAGTCAAATTTATGGGAGGAGGTATGTTAGTTGATGAGACTGAAATTGAATTTAGTATTAGATAAGGAGTGAATCAATTAAAAATGAAGAATGCTTCAACACATACAGCTAGTATATTTAGAGAAGACTTTTCTTTTGATAAATTAGGAGTTGGAGGTTTAGATAAAGAATTAGCAAACATATTTAGAAGAGCATTTTCATCTAGAAGATTTCCATAAGCATTCCTTGAAAAATATGGAATAAAACATGTTAAGGGTCTCTTATTATATGGTCCTCCAGGTACTGGTAAAACTTTGATTGCAAGATAATTGGCTAAAGTATTAAAGGCCAGACCTCCTAAAATTGTGAATGGACCAGAGATTTTCAGTAAATTTGTTGGAGAAGCTGAAGAAAATGTTAGAAAACTATTTGCTGAAGCGATTGCTGATTAAGAAACATAGGGTGATTAAAGTGATTTACATATAATTGTTTTTGATGAGATGGATGCTATTTGTAAATAGAGAGGGTCAATTAATTCAGGATCAGGAGCATATGATAATGTTGTCAATTAATTGTTATCTATGATAGATGGAGTCAATTCTCTTAATAACATATTGGTTATTGGTATGACTAATAGAAAAGATTTAATTGATGAAGCTGTACTCAGACCAGGAAGATTTGAAGTTCATATTGAAGTAGGATTACCAGATGAATAAGGTAGATAATAAATTTTAAACATTCATACTGAAAGTCTTAAGAAGAATAATGCACTTGATAAAGATGTAAATTTAGATGAATTAGCTTCAATTACCAAAAATTATACAGGAGCTGAAATCGAAGCAGTTGTTAAATCTGCATCTTCATTTGCATTCTAAAGAATGTAGAATATTTTTGATTTTTAAAAGAAATTAAATAAATAAGATGAACTCAAAGTCAAAAGAAGCGATTTCATGAATGCTTTAGATGAAGTTAAACCTTAATTTGGTATTGATTCTAATAAATTTGATTTGTTACTCAAAAATAGATTAATTGATTTTGGAGATGAATTCAAAAAATTACAGAAAATATTAAAGAATACTATTGATTAAACTAGATTTGGTAAAAACTCATAATTAAATTCTGTTTTATTGGAAGGAGAATAAGGTTCAGGTAAAACAAGTGTTGCAGCATGGCTTGCAGTTGAATGTGGATTCCCGTATGTTAAATTAATATCTCCTGAAACCTTCATTGGTTTAACTGAAGGTGCCATAATAAATTAAATGGTTAGAATCTTCAATGATGCTTACAAATCATCTTTATCCTGTATTCTGATTGATAATATTGAAAGACTTATTGAATACGTAGATATTGGTCCTAGATTCTCAAATGCAATCTTATAAGCCCTATTAGTTTTGATCAAGAGATTGCCAGATAAAGTATCTTATATTATATTAACCATTTTAGTCTTAATGTAGAATTCTAATTATTGGTACAACATCTTAATATCAAATTATGAAATAATTAGAAGTGGTTTCATGTTTCAATGTTTCATTCAAAGTACCAAATTTAGTTAAGCCAGATGAAATTAAATTTGTCTTAACAGATTATTTGACAACTTCACCTTAATCTTAAAATAAAATTTAATTATCATAATAGTAAGAATAGTAAATTAACATGATTGCTTCATAAATCAAAGATATTCCAATCAAAAGATTATTGATGCTGCTTGATATGGTTAGTGCTTAAGAAAAAGGTTTGAATATTGAGGAATTCATGGTTTGCTACACCACAGTTATGATGAATCACATTTGAGAGTAATGTATTTATTATGATTATATTTATCTACATAATTAAATATAATTAAAATTGATTTAAAATAGTTAAATTTATATAAATCCATCATTATTCAACAAAATCATTAACCAATATTTATGGTGATTATTTTTTTTTAAACTCATGTTATATTTATAAAAGTTTTATTAAGTTTGGATCCATCAAAGAGATTAGTTTATTAGTAATAGGATCATCCAAATTCTCTAGCAATTAATCCAAAACTTATTGGGCTTCTACAGATTTCTCTTTTAATCCTTTAAAAGGCTTTAGTAAAGAAGAATACTGCTGATTTTCACCTTATTAATGATTTGTAGGATCAAGACTGATTAAAGGTTTAGGAAGAAACTCAAACAATTAAACTTATTCTTTTGAAAGTAAGATCATTTTTAATTTGTCTATTTCTTATAACTTGTCAATAATAAATAGTATATCAAGACACTTCTCTAATTTTGAGACTGAATAATTTAATTATTTGTACTTCCCTTCTTTCTTTCTGATATAATAAGGATATATTATTACCCACACTTCAAATACTTCAAATAATCAAATGGACCAAATTGTAGTTTTAAGGTTGCAACATTAAAAAATTTTCTAAAAGCAGAATTAATTCCTTTTTATAACATTTTATCATGTTCTGGAGAATTGGTAAAATTTTAAGAAGATTTTTCAGTCTGAACGCAATTAATTGTATCTGCTTTTTATGTTTTTGCCTTGATTCTCCCTCTTGGAAATCGTGAACTTGTTTTTGATTTTACTTAGTTTAACATTATTGAAACATCATTTTCATTAGTTTAAATATTTTCTTAGCCACCATTAAATTTCTCAAAAGACTTATTTTTGTTTTGATTTTCTTCTTAATCTGTTTATTTTTAACCCTCAAAATTGAATAAACTATTTATTATTTCCATTTTGAATGCCATTTAAGAAAATGGTCTTACAATTATTGAAAATGCAAGCATTAATAATTCCCATAAACCTCCTGCTTAAGCTAAGATATCTTATAATTTAGGATAAATTCTATAACTAATATTCTCAGTATTTGATAATCTAATCATAACTGTTGCAAGAGATTCATCACTATTAAAATCAATGATCTCTTAACTTTTTTAATACCTTATAGTAGAATCTTTTCGAACCAATTCATCTAATAATCCTTCCTCAGTCAATGTTGTAATTGGTTACATAAACAAAGTAATGTCTTTCATCACTTAACTTGAAATTGTGGTTTATACTTCTTCAACCTTTGGAACATTTGGTTATTGATAATTCCTTAGATCAATATTATATGATGATATCTAAAATTAGATATAATTTCTCCTTAATTTTTCTTAAATTTATTCTTTTGACTTACATATTATACTCTCACCTATTTAGATAATAATAACTACTATTGTTTGTATCATTAACACATAATTTAAAATTTACGTATAAATAAGTATAGTTATTTTAATCAGGAGTACCAGTCAAACTTAACTCTGATATTTTTTCCCAATCTATACAATAAGTATTACTAAAATCCACATTGTCTAACTACTCTTCAATTTCCTCGAAAGTTATTCCAATCTTAGCACATTTGTTAAGTGGAATCTATGTTTTTGTTAAATTTTAAATTGTTTTATTATCGACTCTGCTATCAAAATTAAATCTTACATTCTTTAAACTCTATTAACCATAAAGGCATTGACTTGATAAACTGACTCATCTATGTAGTTTTTCTAATTATCATTTTGAAAAGCAAATTATAGAGTGAAATTATCAGAAACTAATGGATAAATAGGTATCTCTTCATAATAAACTTCTGAATAGAGAGTTTGGAATTCTTTTCTCCTTCCTAATTATACAAATTTGTTAACAATATATGTTATTATGCAACCAAACATTAATACCGTCATTAATGCTCCAAACATCGATTGATGTAAACGCTTCTTTTATATCATTAGTTCAACAGGTGATGCAAAAATATCTATTTTTTTAATTTAACGCTGGATTTGCTTTAATTTATTTTGTTTCATCTGGAAAATTTTAAATTTATTTTATATATCATTTACAATATTTGATTCGTTTAACTTTTCATAAACTTATCATATTTATTGAATAATCATGCAAATTTTTTAAAATTTAACAAAGAATATTATTTCTAACATTTATAAATATTTTGCCCTAAACTAAAAGTTTTATAAAATATTAACTGAATGCATTGCCATTAATAATTATAATTCTAATAATGTTTTATTAAAATATTAATTTTATCTTTAATCTAAATTAAGCTAAGATTATTTTGAGACATCATCATTCAGAGATGATTTTAATAGATAGATAATAAAGTATTTTTCGAATATAAAATTTAATGAAATTTAAGAATATAGAAAAATCATTATCATTAAGTACTTATTTTCAATATAATAGTTTATAATATTAATGCTAATAAATTATTAGATTTAAGTTAAATTAGAATAATTTAAGAATTAATGGGAAACAAAAATAATTCACAGTAATATTAATATTATCTTAGTATAAAACTTATAATTAAGTAATTTTTCTATTATTTCTTAAATCTCATTATAAATTTTCAAATATTGAATTCCAACTTCAGTTTATTAATATGATTGGAATATTAAAATTCAATTTATCAATTTATAATTATTTATATATATTTATATCACAATTTAACTTTTTTTACAGATTCTGAACCATCTTGAATTTCATCTTCTTCATTTTTCATTTTCTTTTTTTATGAGTCTTATTAAACTTTAGGTTTATCAATATATGTGCTTTTTGCAGCAGAACGTCCCATAGAATTATTTTCTTTTTCTTTATCGAGTACTTTAACTAGAGAAATAACTCTATTTTTGAGTTCATTTTCACTTTTGCATTTGAATGCATGATCAAATCTGAACATTGGTTCTTTTCGAATAGATTATTTAAGTAAGGTCCAATTTCCATAACCAACCTCATTTGTCATATAAATAAGATATTTATCATTCTCTAGACTAAAGTACTTACTTTTGAATTTATTATATAATTATGGAGTAAATACAAGTTCATATTTTGGTTAATGAAAATGTTTACATTTTTCTTCAATTAATTTTTAACCATTAGTTTTTTATTCAATTAATTTTTGTCCTCTTTCAATCTATTTAACAATTTTTTCTTTTTCACTCAAACCATCTATTCTTTCCCAAAATGCTTAAGAATAAGCTTTTACTTCATCAAGAGATTTTGATTTAATAAATTCTTAAATTTTCTCATAAGCATCCTTTCCATACTTTTCATTAGCTGTAATGAAATCTGTAAATTCTTGTTTATTCCAATTTTTAAATCCAGTTTCAAGTAATTATTTTTATTCTTGTCTTTCTTCTAATGTAAGTCCTCCTAAATCCAAATTTTCTTCATTGTCAATACCTTTCTTTTGAGTCTTCTATTATGCTAGATAATCTTCTTCTTTTTATAATAAATATTATAATCTATCTTTATTCTCATATAAATGATGTTCTTATAATTTGATTTATTTTCCTTATATTTTTTTAGAATTACCTCCAAGCATCATAGCTCTTTTGTCTCTATTTCTTGTTTTATTCTCATTAAAAAGATGATTAGCTAATGCATCTTCAAGAGCATCTTCATCATTTTTATTTTATTTTTCTTCATTAAAATATTAAAAAATATTAATTTATCCCAATCCTAAATCAAGTGATTACATTTTATCTTTGAAATTTTCAAATTTCTTTTCAATTCTCTCATTCATTTATTAAGTTAATTATTCACCTCTTTTTAAAAGTATATCAATATCTTCATCTTTAATATCATCTCCATCTAATTTAAAAATCTAAGAGGCACCATGAGTAGTTAATTCTTTTAAATCTTCTTTTGATAATAATTTTCCACTTTGCTTTTATGATAAACGACCTTATTGAATCATCAGAGAATCCCAACGCAATTTAATCTATTATCTTTCTATAATTTTCTCTTCAATTGTATGTTCACATGCCATTCTATAAACCATTACTCTATTCTTTTATCCTATTCTATGTGCTCTATCCATAGCTTACATATCCATTTAAGGATTGAAATCGGAATCATAAATAATAACAGTATCTGCAGTAGCTAAATTGATTCCTAAACCACCTGCTCTAGTAGAAAGAAGGAAAATGAATTTTTTACTATCAGGTTTTGTGAATTCAGCAATTTGATCATCTCTTTATTAAATTTCTGTTTCTCCATCTATTCTACAATATTCATATTTTCTGTAATTACAATAATCTTCAAGAATGTTGAGCATCATTGTAAATTATGAAAATATTAATACTTAATGTGTCCCATCACTTAATTTCTTTAAAAATTTATCTAACACTCTCATTTTACCAGCAACTTCGATTAAATGTTCACCCAAGGGTGGTAAAGATTTATCTTCAACTTCAGGAAATAAATAAGGATGTAGACATATTTTACGTAATTACATTAGTTTATTCATATAAAAACCTTTATCATCACCTTCATGTGGATTGTTATGTAAAAGAATATTCTAATACATTTATTTTTAGAGATTTGTCATTTTTATGAAAAGATGGATTTCTTATTTAGGAGGAAGTATTCTTTCAACCTCTGCCTTTGTTCTTCTCAACATGAAGGGTCTTAAGATTTTTTGAAACTTTTAAACCATTTCAAGATTCCTTTGATCCAAGTCTTCTTATTTGAATGTTTCATTTCCTTCCTTTAATTTGGCTTCAGTATTAACTTCAAACCATTTATCAAATACTTCAGAAGAATCAAATAAATCTGGTAAGAGATAGTTTAATAAACTCCATAATTCATGAGGTGTATTTTATAATGGAGTACCAGTTAACAACAATTTATAATTAGTTCTTATTTTACGAAGATTTTAACTAATGATGGCATCCTCATTTTTAATTTTATGAGCTTCATCAATAATAATATATTTGTATTAAAATCTTCGTATATGTTTCAAACATATATTGACTCCTTCATAACTTGTTAAACAAATATCAAATTTGCCAGGTTGGAAAAACTTATTGATAATATCCTCTCTTTCTTCTTTGATAGCTATTAACTTTACTATTCTAGCACATGGTAACCATTTCTTGAATTCTCTCATCCAATTACCTAGAGTTGATTTGGGAGCCACAATTAAATGTGGTCCACTAATCTTAGTATATTCTTTTAGAAATGCTATGAATCCTATTGTTTATATTGTTTTGCCTAAACCCATTTCATCCGCCAAAATACCATTAATTCCTTCTTCAAATAATGAAATCATCCAATTAACACCTGTCATTTAATATTGCTTTAATTATCCTCCTCTCAATATAGTAGGTTATTTATCAAGTACAGTTGGTGCATCATCAAGATCTTCTTCTTCACTTGCATCATCAATCACTTGTCTATGTTTACCTCTTTATTATGTTAGAGCCTTTTATTTTGACTCTTAAGTACGTTTATGACGATGTAATAAGAACATGGCATACTTCTCTGCATTTTCAAGTAATGTATTTATCTTTGACTCAATATTATCAAATTTGATCTATGATTAATTAATAACTTCATTTCATACATTCGCATTCAATTTGCTTGTCTGTTTGATTGAACTCATAAAAGTTTTCTTATCTTATTCTAATTTCTTTATTCTTTCCTCTTCTTCTTGTATTTTTTAATCCTCATCACTTCCAACTTCAACTTATATCACTTCATTTTCATCTTCACTTGAAATACTCATTAAATTAAATTATGATTTTAAGAGGCATCAATTAACCATTTAATCATCAAATTATTTGATCCTTCATTTAATGAAAAAATATAAAAAACTACTTAAACCATTTCGATCCCTTGATCTTTTCACTAAACCAGTTTCCCTACTAATCAAAGATTAAGAGCGTCACAAAACCTATTGTGGTGCCTTTCTCACCTTGATTATAATATCTATGATGAGTGTCCTTTTATGCATGAATTTCATTAATTTAGATAAAAATCCTCGTTCTTATCAATATTAGATCTACCACTAAGCTATAAGTCGTACTCAATCCATGAATTTTACATTTTAAATAACAGGATAAGATGAATAAAACCTAAATGTTATTACATAAGATGGGCCACTTTAGTTAAGTGAGAATCTCTATCAATTTAATAAATAAGTCAGTCTATATGAATCAGACCATAATGTTTAGTATGTTATCGTTGAGATATATCTCAAGAATACTAGCCAAATACAAAAATAAGTGGAAAGTCTTAATTTTTAGCTGTCAATACCAACATTTTATTATGATTTAAATGATGTTCAGGATCCAGTAAAAACAAGAGTAGAAAAAATAGAAACAACTTTAAGTCATTAAATTTAAAAAAGAATTGATATATACATGAGTCCATTTACAGTCATTTCAGATGATGGTATGGTATTTAAAGATGAGAAAAAAGAAAGTGTATTAGCATATCAATATCATCAAGAAACTTATGAAATTGGGAATGGCTAAAAACTACTTCAGTTCAGAATACGCTTAAACAAAACCGAATTTGTTTAATATAGATCTTATCCGAAATTGTAATAAATTCTTGGAGAAGCTGGTGGGTTATGGAATGTTATTTTTACATTAGCCATGTTTTTATAATTGCCATTTAGCAATCTATCCTATCGATTGTAAATTGTAAATTCCCTATTTAATTTTTCTAACGATAATGATGCAACATCTGAAAATGATAGAATTTAAGTTGCTAATGATAAACTTTTGGAAAAAGCAATAAGTCCTTAATAAATAGACAAGAAAATCCCATTATGTTAAAGTGAAGTCAATCTTCCAATAGGACCAATATTCAAGAAGTAGAAATCATTCAGTCAACTCAATTAGTTGAATATAAAAAAAAGATTATATAGTATACAAAGAAAGAGTTAAATGATCACAGAAGCTGATAGTGAAAATTAGAAGGCACACATAACAAATGAGATCTCAGCATCTATTAAAAGATTCTTTAGAGTAGTGACTAAGAAGTTGAATTTGAATGTCTTAGAATATGTAACCTTTTAATTTCCAAGAGGGAAGAATAATACTAATGTAAAGTATTAGCAATTCGAATTTGCTGTTAATCGAATTTAAAAATCACTTGACATTCTGTATATTATCAATAAATTACATGAAGTTGACAAATTGAAATTCATACTTCTTAATAACGCTTAGATCAAGATGTTTGATTATTTACCAAAACCATTTATAGGAGCAGATCCTTAAGACATTTCGGATGATAATTTCTGCTCACTTTTGAAACCTGCAAAGACTCCTTATCAGAAAGCACTAGAGGCTTAACAAGCATTTAAAGAGATTATAACAAACTATTAGGATCCAATAAATCAGAAACTTATAAATAGTATGGATGAACCTATCATAGACTTAATGAAACTATAATTGAATCAAGATATTCAGATTCTAGATACGTCAGTGATTAATTAGTTAGTGCAGAGTGCAGAATATAAGCTAGACACAGCAAGATAATGATTATATATAGTGAATATATTTAAATCTATCAATTTTGATTTCCTAAATTAATTTCTACTTCTGCATATTTTTAGTTCATTTTTGCAGTTACAAATTTTTCATAAAATATAATTATGATTCCAACTATGATGTTAACAATTAGTATATAAATTTTGAAATCTTATGGAAATTCGACTTCTAAATTTAAAAATTCAATTAAATTTGGGTAGAATATTAATATTATTTATCCAATAATCCCCAAACATATTACTATCATATAATAGATATTCTTATAAATGGCCTATCTAAATGGAGGTCCTTAAGTATATGCTATAGCAACAGCCAAAATTTCAGTGCTGGATGTAATGAGTAAAATAGAATTTGTATAATTAGGCTGCATGTAATAATCATTATTAACTAAATCTATTTTAATCTATTAATAGAATTCTTAATGTTTCAATATTTGATTCATAACAATTTAAGCAAGAAAAGAAATGAAAACAATGACACAAACAGATGATAGAACTGGCAATGAGATCAAATTGCTTATTGGTCTATAATTGGCTAATTTATGATATGATTTTGTTAAATCCATAGTAAATGCTAATGGGATTATCAACCAAAGATCTTAATAAAGATATTGAACTTAAGTGAAATCTGTATCATAAAAATAGCATTATAATACAGCAACAGATTAAATGCATGAATACAAAGTCATAAATTTGAAACATTCAACACAAGTTACTAAACAGGCTCTTCCTTCTTTAATTAGATTAATAATATTTGAAATATTGAATATGGTACTTGTAAATGGTGATGCCAAAGAAGCATCCTCTAAAGACAAAGCTAAACCTACATCTGCCTATCTCAATGCACATGTATCATTAGTACCATCACCACAAAAGGCAATAAAATTCAATATGTCTTATCTCAAAAGTAACATAAGATCTCCTTTGTTATTAGGTTTCATTCTTGAATAAATGTAGGTTTTTTATAATAGATTTAAAATTAATTATTAATTATCCAATAAAGCAGCATATTAATACTGCAAATGTTCAAAAACCTATCCAGTAATAGCTAATTAAAAGTGACAACTTAATTTCATTATTTCATTAGTTTCTAGATTCTGTACTTAATTTGAATCTAAACTATAACAACTTCTATTCTCATCAGCTTTATCTGTTTTCTGTTACATAATCTCATTCCAATATAATTCTCCATTATTAAGGAATCCTAGAAATATTCTACTATTTTGATCTAAAATATTGCATTATAATCCTATATTAATTGCAGTGTATGGATTATCACCTGTCACCATAATAGATTTTATATTACTCTACTTTAAACTTAATATTGTAGACTGAGTTTCTGCTTTTAATTTGTTTTCAAAAATTAGAAATCCTAAGAATATCATATTTTATTCATATATTTCTCTTTTATGTAATTATTGCATATTCAAATGTGCAACATCTCTATAACAACAAGAAATTATTCTGAATCCTTAACTACTATACCTTTATAACATATTATTATAATTAGTAGGCACATTCACACAAATGTTCTTTATCTATTCAGGTGATCCTTTACAATATAATATATATTGATTTGTTATAACTGACATTCTTTATAATTCTGCTTAGAAATCAAATCTCTTTAATACAGATACTTCTTTAACTCCTTTTCTTATTTTACTCTCTTCTAGTAATTCCCATCCAGTCTCTTAAAACATACATAAATCAATAGGATCTCCCATAATTTCATTATTTATTATTGATAATGAATGACATATACCCATACACTCATTAAACTATTCTGAAACATCTTTAATCATCTATAATTTATTAAAACCTATATCCTTAATTTCTCTACATCCTAAAACATCAAGTCCTAATTCAGTAAGTGTACCTGTTTTATCAAAAGCTACTAAATTAACTTTGCTTGCTACATTTATCTTATCAGGTTTAACACACTAAATAGATTTATCCTCTAAACGTTTTAAAGCAAGACTAATACCAGCACCTAAAGCAGTAGGTAATGTGGCAGGAACTATGATAGTTACTATTTCTAAGGCATTTATTATGCTTTCTCCAAGAGCCACTCCTTAAGCACCACTTATTAAAATTGTAATATTTGCTTATATTAAACCTAATGTTGCTAATACAAATAGATATTTTAATGAATCTCTATAAAAACTGAATGTTTGAGTTCTATTGAACATTATTGATCTAGCTAAACTGCCTTTTAATGTTTGAAATCCAGTCTAATATACAATAGCTTTAGCTTATTCACCATTTTATGAATAACTTCTTAAACAAGTAGTACCACAAAATAACATTTTATTTTCGTTTCCTTTTTATTAAAATAATTGTTCATTCTTTTCTAAACTAGATTTATTTATTGGTACACTCTCACCTGTTAATACAGCTTCATTCATTACACAATTTCCTTCAATTAAAATACAATCACAACTTATTTTAGTATGTCCTTCAATTATTAATAGATCTCCTGGAATCAATTCTTTTGATTAAATAGTAATTTAATTATTATTTCTAATTACTTTAACATTTACATTAAATCTAATCATTCTTTAGATTTTTAATAAATTTTATCTTACATCTCTTAATTCAATCCCAATTTAAATGATTGTGATTGCTAAAATAAAGAGAGAATAATTTAAATAATCATCATAAGCCCACAATGCTAGAGCACTAAATTAAAATATATTAAAAGGTGTTAATATTTCATCAAGTAAAAGGAGTGGTATTGGTTTTATTGGTATTTCCATAATATTTTCTCCATAAACAGTTGTCAATTCTGTAAGTCCTTTCATATCACAAATTCTCTCTTGTGTGTACTAAGAGAATGAATTTCTCATTTAAACTAATGCTTTTGTATATGTTTCAATATAGTAATCACTAAGTTCATAATTAAAGACTCTAGCATTTTTAGAGAAAGGATGATCCTTTACAATGGTAACTTCACATAATTGATCATCTGCAATTGGAATTATGTTTTTGGTCTTGATCACTAAAACATGTGTCATTGTACCAAATTCACATTTTTCAAATCTTTTTACATGATTTAAGCTTACAATAGAAACAATCTCAAATTTATAAACCATCTTTGAAATAAGTACAATAATCCAAGAGTTAGAATTAGCAAAACATAATAAATGATCTATTTGCATTTATTAATCCTAAAATAGATTGCTGTTAATTTATATTGATCATCATATTCACCTTGATATTCTAAGGTAGATTATCTAATAAATAGAAATACACTCTTTACCCAAAATCAATTTCCTCTTTTGGATTAGTCTCTTGTAATTCAATCATAATTAATTAATCATTAATAACTTAGTTCTATAATTTAAACAAAATCTCAGTATGAAATCTATAAATAATAATATGTATATATAATAATGAACATATTTTCATTAAGAATATTAACATAATAATAAAAGAATATAGAAAGAATAACAAACTCTTAGAATCCCAATTATTGATATTTCTTGTAATTATTGATTATATCTTTTCAAGAGTCTTATTCATCCTTTGGAAATCCCTTCCACTTAAAATTGTCAGCATACTTTCTCTTAGAAGTGTAACGAAAGTGTGGGTATTGAACAATATATCCATACCCATCTTATTGGCAAAATTCTAGTGCAGCTTCCAAACTGACAAACTTATAAACTTCTCTGCTCTTCTAATCTTTTGAAAAAGTCCAACCACTCCAAGGCATTCTATGAATAGGTCCTCTCTCTATTTAGACATTCCAATGATATCCTTATTTCATAGTAGGATCTAAGTATATTAATAAAAACTAATTACTTTAATGCATACGATTATCATCCATAATGTAAACACGAGCAATTTTAGACTCAGGAGCAGGTAATGGGTTCATATCATAATATCTATGATCAGATCTATTGTCTAAACGAGATGCTAAAAATTAATATAATGATTAATTACATCTAAAAAATCCAAATTTGCTTCTGCTTGCATCGACAGGTACAACTTAATTGTAAACTGATATTCCATGTGCCAAAACTTCTTGGTTTTTAGTCTCGATCTCCTTACGAATAACAATCAAAGAATTAAAAGCCTTTTTAGCTATTTCTTGAATCCCTACAAATTGTCTAATTGACATTTATATTAAAATAATAATTTAAGTCATCCTAAACGATATTTGGTTATACTTTCAATTGTATCTGTATGCATTCGCTAACCTTTCTTATACGAAGACTTCTATATGACCAGTTATGAAGACTACAATTTATTTTACTTGGGTCTAATATTACGTACTTAATTCATTAGAAAGAATCTTTATGAATTAAGTTTTGCTTTTGTGACTGCAAATTAATCGACTTTTATAGGAGATAGAGTGCTTATTTTATTTTCTTTAATTTTTCCTTTTGGAAAAGCAACTTAAGATAGAACTCTACGATGAATGCGCCTTATTTGGCTGTTCAGATCATAAACATCTCCTTATAAAGAACTATATGATCTATCTGGAGAATATTCGAATTGATCAATTCCTCTAGGGAAATTATATTATTATGGATGTTTGCTTTCAAGTGTTTATGTAAGTTTTTTGAGTCTCAGTCCCATGTAAATTAAATTAAAACAATTTTTTGCAATTTTATTATTACTTAAGATCAATTCAAGATTATCGTACTTACTCAGAAAATTAAAAATTTCGAGAAGATCAATGTTTTAAATTAAATACATCAAGATAAAGTTTTATAATCTAATCAATTCTATCAGGATGCTTGATTTGAAATACACACTAAAAAATAGCTTAATTGAAATAGTTGCTTTATAAGGTAAGAATTTCAAATTGGAAAAAAAATTAGATGAAAATAGTAGATAGATTAGAGCTTTAAATGAATAAAAAGGTTGATTAATAATTTTAACAAAAAAATATGAATAACTTTAAAAATTAATGGAGAATTATAAGAGAAAAGAAAATTAAAAAGAATTTCGTGATACACAAAAGAAGTTGTTATAATCATTTAGGATTATGTATTAATATTACTTTTGGTATTTCATGATTTTAATGAAATATTAAGATTATCTTATAAGTTTTTTAATAATTTTCTTCTTTTACTATATGAGAAGAATAAAAGATACTTAATAAGGTTTAAGAGACTAAATTAGAAAGTGAAGTGAAGAAAGACAGTTAAAAGCAGAGATTGATATATTAAAATTAGAAAAGTGGATGGATGAAAATTGAATGCTTAATCAGAATTATCTTATTAATGATTAAAAAAGAGTTACGAGAAAGAATTGAAGAATTTGCAAAAAAAAGAAGCTGATTATTAGACTTAAATTATTTAATTAAAATAATAGATAACTTAAAAAAAATTGGGAATATTTATTAGTTTAAGATTAATCGAAAGCCAATACCACAAAATTGGAATAAGATAATGAATAATTATATCCTAAAGTATAAAGAGCAGGAGCATATAATAGGTTGATTAAAATAATAAACTATTTCTGATGATCCAAAAGGGTTAAAATAAACTCTAAAATAATAATAATAATATTTTGGACAAGTTATCTAAGTTTTATAATAAAGAGTATTGGAAAAGAAATAAAATAATCTTTTTAAGATGTAAGTTTAAATATATCAAAACTATTATTTTGATAAGAAATAATAGATATATATAATATCATCTGTTACATCAATTTTAAATGCTCCTAAACCAACAAAAAAATATATAGATTCTAATTATTCTAGATTTGAATCTATGAAATCTTCTTATATAGATAATCTATCATCTAATTTATCAAAATAATAAATTGCTTCTTTTTCAAAAGTTAGTTCTAATTTGTCAAAAATATCCTTAATTTTATCTATACAGAGAGTCTTAACAAGATATTGAATAATATAATATTGATATCAATATATATAATAACGTTGCACTTAATCATAAAAAGATTTTGTATTATTTTAGCATTACTAATAGATTTTTTCAGCTGTTGTAGTTTTTAATAACTCTGCAAATCCTGAAATACCAGTTTCATAATCAATCATTAAATTGAATTTAATTGGTATCAGTTTATATATTTCATCCAATGTAATAAATGCTGTTAATACTGGATTGAATGAATTTTTATCTAATACATGAATTTGAATTCCTCCACAAATTGCATCTTTATGTTTTGAAAAAGTTGGAGAGAAATAAACAGGTCTAAATATTACTGAAGGTAATTTCCTAGCATTCAATGTTTTAGCTAATTCTTCAGGTTTAGTTATTAATGGAGATCCAATAATTTCAAATGGATGTCTAATTATTAATCTATAATTAAATTTACGTGGTTCCTCTTCCTTCACTTAAATCAGTTCCTTCAAAAATACCAAATCCAGGATAAACAGTTGCTGTTTCAATAGTAGGCATATTAGGTGATGGTAAAATCTATTTTATTCACAAAATATTACCCATTAAAATTGATTTGTAATGTATGGTATAACCTTCAAATTAACAGGATTTATAATCCATTCTTTATTTATGAAAGTTGCTAATTCTCCAACTGTTAATCCATATCTTTAAGGTAATCCTAAATTTGATCCAAACTTGCGTCCAACTAATCCTGCATCCATTTCATTTCTACATCCTTCAATCTTTCTTCCAAGAGGATTTGGAACATCTACAACAATAAATTGAATTCCTGCTTTTTGAGCTGCTTCCATACAATACGTCATAGTCCAAATGTAAGTATAAAATCTAGTCCCAACATCTCTTATATAATAAACTAAAACATCAATATCTTCTAAATCTGTTAATGTTGGAGCCCTTTTACTTCCATATAAGGAAATCACTTATCTAAAATAATGAACATATTTTTACATTCCAGTAACTGGATCAATATAATCCTTTATTTAAACACCTGCCTATTATTCTCCTCTTAATCCATGTTCAGGTGAGAAAAACTTCTTGATATCTGAGTATTTTGATATTTTATCTGTAACCATTACCAAATCATCATCTACTCCTGTTGGATTTGTTATCAATCCCAATCTTTTACCTTTTGTTTCCATCAAAAGGTTATTAAGTTATAAGGAAATGAAGCCATATCCTAAAAGTGGTAATAAAAATATAAACATTTAATATTTATGATCAATTTTAAAACATTATTCAATCGATAAATGATGTAATAAATTAAGCTACTTTTATTCAAATTATTATATGAAAAAATAAAAAAATTATTATATATGTATTCTATAATCAAGAAAAATGATATATAATCTCATTTTATTTTTCTAATTTGAATGTTATTATAATAATATTAAAAAATAATAATATACTTTTTATATCCTCTTAAGAATCTAAAAGAGTATTTAATTAATTCATTCATTTATGATTTATATTATAATCTTAAATATAATCTATAAACAATAACATATTATTTGAATAGTATTTAATAAAATAATATATTAATTAGAAGTTAATCTTTTATGCTTAGTTTACTTTAGATTTCATAATTATTTCTTTAATATCTGAATTTTATTATAATATTAATATTCATATACAATTAATCATAATAGCATGATATCTCTGTGGAATGATTTAGAGACTAATAACTATTACTTAATCAATAATGAAACTGGAGATAAATAAAAGGTTTATAAAACTGCAGATTATATCAAAGAATTTGATGCATCCCTAACTGGGTCAGTTGGTTATAAGGATAGAATTAAACTAGCTAAAAAACCAAGTTATATGCCTTTAAAAGCTAAATCTCTTTAAAAAAATTTTGTTTCATATACACCATCAATTAATAAATTAGTTTGGTATTCACAACTACCTAGACCTACAAAATTACCTAATTTAGAATATTTTAAAACTGAAAAGAAATAAAAATAAATTCATAAAACATAAGAATAGAAATCCTTATTACAATCTTAAAGCTATTAAACTTTACCAAATATTCAACAATCTACAGTTGCATCCTAATATTAAAGTTTATTAGATCCTTAATAAGCAAGATCAATATCAACTATTTAACATTATGATCTTAATGATTAAGATCACTTTAAAGAAATGAGTCAATTATTTGAATCACAATCCTATGATTATAAAAGCTTTAATCTTCCTCCTAAAATGAATTTAAATTGCAGATCAATAAAAGACTTTGAATAATCTTTAAAAGAAGAAAGATAATAATTAGAAATGTTCAAAGTAAATTATTACTCATTATATTAAGTTACCTGAATAAAAGCCACAATTAGTGAATACTAAAGGTAGATTTCCAGGACAATTAAAAACAGCCAAAGATTTCATGCCTGAAGATAAAACTGTTGCAAAATTATGTTAGACCAAATAATAATATTTTTAGTGTATCCTGATCTTTTTAAGGAGAAAATTATAGATTAAAAGTAAGAAGAATTAAGAAGAAAAATTAATAAATTAAAAGAATAAGAAATGCTCCAAAGAAATCTCAAAAATAAAGCATGAATATTAATTTATCCAATTTTATTATATGAATAAATACTTAATTATTAATTTTAATATTTCATAAAATTATGAATTTATATATATTCTATGATTTAAATTAAGTTGAAAAGTTTTGATTATATTATTAAACCAAAAACATCATGAAGATTAATTTAATGATGATTGCTTAAAATTTATTGATTAATCTATATCTAATATTATTAGAATTATACCAAAAATAAATATAAAAATATGAAATTGTTTTTAATAATATTATTTACAATAGGACTTGCAATAAATGAATGTGAAGTAGATAATAAAGATAGAGTAAAGTTGAGTGGAATGTCTAAATAAAAAGAAGATGAATTATTAGAATTGCATAATGAACATAGAAATCTAGTAGCAATTGGAAAAGTAAGAAATTATTATGGTGAATTTTCCACAGCTACAAATATGAATTGTATTAAGTGGGATGATCATTTGGCAAAAAATGCTTAAGATTGTGCTGATAAATGTCCTTCTAATTTTAAACTTGATTGTTCTTTTCCTAGACATTATGGTTATTTGACATATAAAGGTGAAGTTGATAATGGAGGATAAGATTGGAGTGCAACAAGAATTTTTAAGAAATTGATTTCATAAGAAGATTTTGCAAGATAAATAGAATTGGCAACAGTTTAATTTTTTGGTTGCGGAAGAACATAAATTAGTAGAAGGAATGGTAAGAGCCAAGAAATATTTGTATGTGTTTACAATAAAGTAGTTGTTATTTTCAATAATAGTAATAAAATTTAAATGGAGAAGTATATAAATATGGTATTCCTGGTTAAGATTGTTTATATGGTCGAAAAATTGAATTTTAAGGTTTATGTAAACAAAGTATTACTGATATTGAATCTTTAAAATTTAGACATTAAAGACATTAAGATGCATACAAATATCATCATAAAGATGAAAAACATCATGTTCATCATAATCATCATCGTAAAGATGATGGATTTCATACAAGGGCTGATTGATACAATAATCAATAATTTTAATTAATATAAAAAATTTATATGCCAAACGAATTCATTCTATAATAAACATCACACCCAGAAAAGAAATTCAATTCTAAAACATTAATAGGTAATTGGTATGAAGAGAGATGTGAACCAAAATCAAAATACTCAACTTTTTATAAAGAATAGAAATTTGAGAAAAATTAATATAATGTTAGCAAACTTACATAAGTATTGTAATTCATTAGAATTAGGAATCATTTATGAAATGTTCATAAAATTGGTTGAACTTCTAAAAAAATTAATAAAATCATTTTTAAACAACAAATTAGTAAATAAAAGAGTTATACATTATATAGATAAGAATTTAAGAACCCTAGAGATCAATTTAGAACATCTGAAATCAAGAAATTTATTATTAAAAAAGGAGTTTTTGAAAAGAATCCATAATTAATGTCTGACTACAGAACTAAATGGACTTCAGCACCTCATTTCTTTGATAGAACTTACCTTGGACAATAAAAGTGATAATTATAATTATTATTCAAGTAAAATTTATTTTTAGAAATTTATATCTTAATATTAATTAGTTTTCAATCCAAGTACATAAATAAAATAATAGTTTAAAAAGATATTTTAGATTCCAATCATTCTTAAAATAATCATATAATAATTATTTGTCTGATGATTAATAAATTAATTGTAAATATGATACAAGAATGAATTATATGAATAATTAAATAATTATAGTAATTTTTAGAAATGAATATTAGTGATGTTTTGGTTATTATGAGTTATTAAGAGAGAATTCTAAATTTTTAGATAAAATAGATTTTATTTGATTAAGTTGAAAAAATAATACATGATTGACGTGTATTAATATTAATAATAAATAATTCTTAAATGTACTTTCTAGATGACTCTAAAAGTAAATCATCAATTGTGATATTAGGAACACAGGAATTGGAATGGGTTTTCTCACTGTCAGTCTTTTGCTTTTTATCTTAGGTGTAATGTTTTTCCTTGACAGAGCCTTATTAGTGATGGGAAATTTATCATTTTTGATTGGACTATGCTTATTAATAGGGGTTAAAAGTACATTGTCATTCTTTCTTAAGAAAGGTATATAAAATGTATTAAAATCATAGGCAAAATTAAGGGAAGTATTTTCTTTTTTTTGGGATTTTTCATCATCGTTATTTTTAGATTATCAATAGTTGGATTTCCATTATAAATTTATGGTCTTTTCCAAATGTTTAAGTCTTTCCTTCCATTCCTATATGATAGTGCAACCAAATTACCTATTATTGGCAGATATCTAAGTACAATATTTATTTTAATAATAGGAAATCCACAATTAAAAAAAATGGTTGATGAAGTGTCAGCCAAAGGTCCATCAGTATGAGATAGATAAATTTATATTATTGTTATTTGATAAATTCTAGCAATCTTTCTAAAATTCTAGTTATATCGAAAAGAAAATTATTAAAATTATTTAACAATTAGAAACTCCGAATATTTAAATAGAAACTAAACTTAGATAATTACAAAGCATATTTGATATATTATTTTAATATGCAGAGATATAATATTTATTACAAATGGATTCTATTGAAATCAGTATTATTAGTTTATTTTTATAATAAATAGTCTAGTATATCAAAAGATGGTTAAATAATGATATCATATCAGGTTGTAAGATAATTTTAATTGTTATAATCTAAAACAAGTAAATTAATTGTTGATTAAATTTATTTTAAAGAAATAATTAACAAGTTAATTCATTCAAAAAGATAAATCAACTCCTTAACTTTATCTAACTGATGCTGTAAATTTTCAACAGCACTCAACTATGAGAGATATTCTAAAAGCTTGAAATCTGGACAGGTCTGACAATAACATTAATTTGTTTTTTTATCCCTTTTTGATATTTTTGTCTTACTATTCTTCTTTTTCTTTAAGTTTAAACTCTTCTTTTTAATTTACTTAGCTTTTATCTACAAAGTAAGAGTACAAATGTTTTTTAGGTTGTCACAAATAATATTGATTAAAGGATGAGAATTTTCATTTTTTGAATCCTAAATGATTTTGTCTTTCGATTATTCTTTATTAATCTGCATTAGGAAAGTTATAAAAAGTGTATAAAAGAAAATATGATTTGAAATAATATTAATTATAATTGTTCTGCAGATTACCCGTTTTATAAATTTATGCTCATTAATTACATTAGAAAGAAATATTGAAAATATATTATGTGATTGACGCAATTAAGTTAATATATATTTAAAGTATGTCAATTAATGACCAATCAATTTGATTATAATACTTATACATAAAGTATGTAATAGTAACTAAAGCATAAAAAGATTTTTCTGTATTTTTGTAACATTAAGGCATTTAATCATATTACATTATTAAAATATTCCTTAAAGAAAAAGTTAAACATATTCTATAAGGATGGATGAAGATTTAATAGTTAACATTATGGTAGAGTAAGACTTTATAAATTTAAATTTTGTATTATTTCATATTGTTATTGTTGATTAGCTATTATTCCTTAAATCTCTATGATCTATGAGATAAAATGTTATTCAGATTAACAAATACTATTTTAACATTATTCTTTTCCTAGGAAGCAAATGGAAAATAAATTACAAGAAACAGCAGCACAAGGGAAAACAGAATGAGAGGAATAAGAAAGATTAAGAAAAAAAGGAAGAAGAAAAAACGAGAATACTGAGAGGTTAAGAAAATTAAAGAATTAACATTTTTTGGAGAAGAAAAAGAAATATTATAAAACTGAAGGATAGTATATGAAGTTTAAATGAGTATAGTTAAAGAAAATTGTAGAGAATGTAATAAAAGTAAATAAAAATTTAATCTGGAGGTTGCCAGAGGTAATAAATATTAAAATAAATTAAATACTATGAAACTCAGCAAAAAATTGATTATGATACTTAATTAAAATACTTTCAAAAAAGATTATGATTAAAATATTCAAAAAATTATAAGATCTTAAATTATGAGATGAATCACAAAAAATAAATAGAGAGTGAAGTTCTCTTATATATGAATGAAAAGAAAAGGTAATACTATATATTTCAGGGATTCAAAATTTTTTTCAATTTTAAATAAGCAATGGCTGTAAATTTCATCTTAAAATGAATTCTTAATCATTTTAATTTGATAATAAGGAATTTTTTCATTATTTCTAAAAAATTTCCGTCTAAAACATTTTTTATGAATTATGTTGTAATGAATTTGAAGAAAATGCTTTAATTGATCTATATTACTTCATCGACCTTAGGATAAGTCAGTATTACTATAGCTCCCTTTACCTTTACTTAATTAATGGAATATATTGAAAATTAAGAAGAGAATTTTAAAAACTACTAATTTTAAAAAGAATAAATATTCAATTATTTAAAATAAAGAGTTTCTATCAAAATATTAATAGAATCTTATCATAATAAAAAATTATATGATAGTTGATATTTATTTTTTTTAAATGATTTTATTCACAAGACAAGATATTAAAGGTGAAATTAGAGTAATGTGATCATTTAATTTTATCTATACAATTATATAGATTTTAATAAGAAATCATTGATATTAAGAGATTAAATAATTATAAATGAATAATATCATCATTAAGTCATTATGTATTTTAAAATATCATTGTGATTATTAAGTACTTGTTCTATTGCTTCTTTTACATCATTAGACAAAGATGTTCTTCTTAATTTACTTAAATCATTAATTAAACCCATAACTTTTGTAAACATAATACTTCTAGCTTCTTATAATTTCACATTTAGATCAGATTCATTCTTATTCTGATGTGCCATTAAATTAATAGCTCTATCTTCTGCTAATTCTAAATCTTAATATCTATTCTTCCAATATTCAGCTTCATCCAATGCTCTTTCTTTCTCTTATTTCAAATATAAAAGATCTTCCCTCAACTTTACAACATCATTATCTTACTAAGGAGGATAGACTGGAACTTCTCTAGGTATTTCATAACCAATTGGATGTACTATTTTTTCAACAATATGAGTTCCTCTCATTCTTTTAACTCTATCTAATTCAACTTCTAATTCAATTATTTCTCTATCTCTAGCACCTAATTTATGTTCTAATCTATCTAAATCTTGAACTCTAACTAATAATCTTTCTCTTTCAAATTCTAAATCTTTAATTCTATTGCTCTTTTGATCTAATAATCTTTTAAATTCTGATTATCCTAATTTTTATTCATTTAATTCTCTTTAATAAAGAAGCACTTATTCATTTAAATCACTATACTTTAGAGTATGTTTTTGATTAATTTATTAGATTTCATCTAATAATCTTTCTTTATCTTTTCTAAAATTATCACAGTCTCTTTTTAATGAATTAATTTCATTAACTAAGACCATACATCTTTCTTATGTTTTTTTATGTTATTCTTCTTCTTTTTTTAATCTATCTTCAATCCATTTAATTTTTTCCTCTCTTTCATTAACAACATCTTTATTAGCTTTTATTTTAGCTTCAGCTTCTGCAGCAGATTTAACTAAATCATTATATTTATCCTACCAAATTTTCATTTCTTATTTGACTTTTCTATTTTCTTTTAGTATAGCATTTTTTTCATTTTCAATATCATCTTTTTATTTTTAAAATGTATTAGCTTCACTCTTACTTTTAATAGCTTATTCTTTAAGTTAAACATTATCAGCTCTTATAGATTCTTTCATTTAATCAAATTAATTTTAAAGTAATTTTTTTTCTTTTTCTAAAAATGCTATTTTAGATAACATTTCTTTTTTTTCATTCTCAACTCTTTCAGCCTCTTTCATTTATGCCAATGTAGAAGATGATTATTATTATTATCCTGTTTACTTAGTTTTTTAACCTCCACCTTTTCCTTTTTTAAATTCTTGAGGTTATTATATTTTTAAAATAGTGTTCTCTTATTCTTCATTTTAATCTTATTTTGAATTTTACTTGATTTCTAATTCTTTTTATTTTAATTTAAGTTCTAATTCTAATTTTTTTTATTTTAATGTCATAAGTTCATCTTATTCTATTATAGCTAATGGTTTAAGTTAAGGAATTCTTGGTGGTGAATATTCTTCAGCATAATACATTTTTAATTTTTAATTTATTTTCTGTTAAAAAATTATATTATTAATTTGAAATCATAATAATATCAATTATTTTAAAAGGATTAAAAAAAAGAATCAATAAATTAATTATCACCCATTTGCTGCTGTTTATACTCTTTATTTTTTGATTTTACCTCCCTTTAATTTCTTAAATCCATAACGCTCTCTATATATTAAATAATATATAGATTTACAGCATTTTACTCCAATTATTATCAAGAGCATCAGGCTATACTAACTTCTTAATCTCATTATTGCTATCAATTATTCTCTAATAATCTAATCTATTAATATAATTATTATACTTAATTTTCCATATTTTTATTATTGATATAATAAGTACTCAATCTCTCTGTCAATTTTTTATTCATCATAAGGTTCCTCTTTTTGAAGTTTCTTCACTATAAACCTATTTCAAATACCATGTTCTCCTTTTTCTGAATTTCAATCTAAGCAAAAATACTTCTTTGATATGCTTTATCTCTACTAATGGTTCTCTAGAAATCAGGTGTATTATCATTCCTTTTCTAAAATTGGAAATCATAAAAGTCTCTCTAACATATTGGAGATGGTGATTTTGTCATTTATGGACTTTTATTAAACTCAATTGATTAACCAGGTTCAGTAATTAATAATTAATCTGAATAGACTCCAGGTCCTGGAGTAGCAGTCTAAATTGATTTAAATACTCATACATCTCTATAGAAATGTTCTCTTCTAGGTGTTAAGAAGGCTCTGCTTAATTATGTCTTTGGAACATACTACTTTTTGTATTCTCTAAATTGTTTAATGAAACCTTAATCAGCTTATAGATTGATTTTAAAATTTCTTAATCTCTATCTAAGAGAGACTGCTTAATCAATTGGAGTTATATCTCTTTTTTTAAGTCCTAATAAGTGAGTGGTACTCCATTTGAAAGCATGATTAGCTTGTGTAATAGTCTCTTTGCCTTTAGCATGCAAAACAACTTATTAGCTTTTTAGAAAATGAAATTTGGAAGTAGTGTCATTACTTTTTGCTCTTTGAATTAATTTACCAATAGAGTTTCTTTCATTTTAAAAAGGTTTGAAGTTATTTTTTTGATCATCTTTACTCATAAATGATTGTGTATCTTAATCTAAATCTAATTAACTAGCAATTGGAGACATATTGCCTTCTAATAATTAATCCAAACCTCCTTATTCAATTGAACTTCTCTTAATTTACATTATTTAAACAAAAATAAATTAATTCTTAAAATGCATCATCAAAATAGATTACCAACAATTAAGAACACTAATAAGGAATAAAGATCTGATTCTTTAGATTTACCTACAAATAGATAAGTAGTGAGAAAAGAAACTTCTTAAAGTTCTGAAAGAAATTTTAAAACCACTGAAAATCATAGCTAGGCTAATTGTATTTTAATATTATAAAAGTAGAAAGAATAGAATAAAAGTATAATTCTTCTTCAAGAACTTAAAATAAAAACATTTAAATTTAAGATGAAATGAATTCTCATTAGTTAAGATAGAAAACAGACATTAGTTCTCATAAATTTAAATTATATCCAGTAATTAATGAATACTAACATCAAAAAAATAATCACTAAAACAAATAATATTAAAATTTAGATGAAGTAGTGTAAGATACTATAGAAATTTAGCAAAATAAAAAATATTAAACTTTAGATACTTAAACTGAAAGAAATCAATAAGATTAAGTTAAAAGATAAGCCTCTTTATTATAAAATAAAGATAAATCTATTAAACCAGGAAGAAATTTTAAAGGAATTAGATAATTTGCTGGTAAAGCTGAGAATTTATTAACTAACTTTTACTTTTAAAATAAATGGTTGAAAAAATTAAAATCTATTTTCTAAGCAGCTAGAGCTTTATGTAGAATATAGATTTTAGTTAGACCTAAAAGAGAATAATGGGATATGGCAATATCAAAAGAAATTGATTGTAAATAGGAATTATCATTTAATACAACAATTAATGCAATAAAAATTAAATAATGGTGTTAAATGGTATTTACAAAGGCTTTTTCTATTATTTAATCTGAAACACTTGATGATCACAAATTAAATTTTATAGTATATCTATTTAATAAAAATAGGAAAATTAATTATCACCATTACAATTAGATCATGCAATAAATATAACAACATAAGTATTCTGGTATTTTATGACTTCATTTGAATTATTTACTAATCAGAAATTATTTATTAGAGAATTTGGTTTAATTATGTATAAAGATCTTTTTGAAGATTAAAGAAAATTCTTTAGTAAATTTGTAACTAAACGTACATACTATTTATCAAAAAGAAATAAAATTATCACAGATGAATAAAAAGTAATGATTTATTCAGAATCTATAATATACAATTTATTATAAGGTTTAATGTTATCTGTTAATAATCCAAAAGTGATTAATATGAATAAACCAAATAGTATATTTCTTATTAGAGTATTAATTACATTATTACAATATTTATTTATGAAAACCTTTACAGAATTACCTATAATCAATGATTTATGTAGTAATTATAAATTAATTTAATTTAAATTAACATAAATAAATAAAAAAGATTTTGCTTTATAAGAATGTATTTAAGTAGAAAAAGAAGAATTAATAATTGGTACTTATAGAATGGATGAACTTAGTCCTTTATTCTCAAAAGTTTCATGGCATTCATCAATTAAAAAATGTTTTAGAAGAATACTTAATAATTTATTTCTTTATAAATTTTGATTATTTTTGATAATATTGTGTGTATAAAATCTAAATTAATATTTTTATGATTTTTTCGGATGAATTCAAAGATTTAATTAAGCAACCAATTTAGCTTAATTCTAGTAGATCAAACTATTCTAAATACGAAAGTCTCTCTACATTAAGAGAATCACCTAAAAAGGCTGTATTAAATTNTTTAGATACTTAAACTGAAAGAAATCAATAAGATTAAGTTAAAAGATAAGCCTCTTTATTATAAAATAAAGATAAATCTATTAAACCAGGAAGAAATTTTAAAGGAATTAGATAATTTGCTGGTAAAGCTGAGAATTTATTAACTAACTTTTACTTTTAAAATAAATGGTTGAAAAAATTAAAATCTATTTTCTAAGCAGCTAGAGCTTTATGTAGAATATAGATTTTAGTTAGACCTAAAAGAGAATAATGGGATATGGCAATATCAAAAGAAATTGATTGTAAATAGGAATTATCATTTAATACAACAATTAATGCAATAAAAATTAAATAATGGTGTTAAATGGTATTTACAAAGGCTTTTTCTATTATTTAATCTGAAACACTTGATGATCACAAATTAAATTTTATAGTATATCTATTTAATAAAAATAGGAAAATTAATTATCACCATTACAATTAGATCATGCAATAAATATAACAACATAAGTATTCTGGTATTTTATGACTTCATTTGAATTATTTACTAATCAGAAATTATTTATTAGAGAATTTGGTTTAATTATGTATAAAGATCTTTTTGAAGATTAAAGAAAATTCTTTAGTAAATTTGTAACTAAACGTACATACTATTTATCAAAAAGAAATAAAATTATCACAGATGAATAAAAAGTAATGATTTATTCAGAATCTATAATATACAATTTATTATAAGGTTTAATGTTATCTGTTAATAATCCAAAAGTGATTAATATGAATAAACCAAATAGTATATTTCTTATTAGAGTATTAATTACATTATTACAATATTTATTTATGAAAACCTTTACAGAATTACCTATAATCAATGATTTATGTAGTAATTATAAATTAATTTAATTTAAATTAACATAAATAAATAAAAAAGATTTTGCTTTATAAGAATGTATTTAAGTAGAAAAAGAAGAATTAATAATTGGTACTTATAGAATGGATGAACTTAGTCCTTTATTCTCAAAAGTTTCATGGCATTCATCAATTAAAAAATGTTTTAGAAGAATACTTAATAATTTATTTCTTTATAAATTTTGATTATTTTTGATAATATTGTGTGTATAAAATCTAAATTAATATTTTTATGATTTTTTCGGATGAATTCAAAGATTTAATTAAGCAACCAATTTAGCTTAATTCTAGTAGATCAAACTATTCTAAATACGAAAGTCTCTCTACATTAAGAGAATCACCTAAAAAGGCTGTATTAAATTATCCAAAAGAACAATAAGCTCTTTTTTATAATGCTAGCTATTTGTTAAAGTAATCTAATATAATGGGAATAAAGAAAAGATTAAGAATATTTTTGATTGTTCTAAAATTTATCAGAAGATTATAAAAAGTAACTCATGAATCCCCATACTAACATAGTTTAGCTAATTTAAAAAAGGTTAAAAAAACAACATTGAAACTTCCTTAAACAATAAATGAGAAATTTAAGACTTGGTGTTTAGGTATATTTTAAAAATCATTTTCAACAATTCCTTCAGATCTCTTTAATTATTTAAAATAACCTAGTAATAAAATAAAAGAAGACAATTCTAAATTTATTTTAATTAATGCTATTAAATTTTTCTTTGAAAATATGGCTTATTTCACTCATCCAGATATTGTGAGTGTTGAAATAAAACATTATTTATTTTCATAATTGTTTTTAAATGAGAAAACATAATTTACAGCATTTGTATCTATAAGAACACCTTATATATCTCATTTAAATAATGAAATAACTTTAGATCAATAATCTATGATTATAATGGAAGTTTTACTCTTTTTTAGATTTGCATTTATTCTCTTTGAATTCACAAATACAAATTAATTTGCCATTATTATGTTAATTAGTACACTTTAACATATATATTTGAAAAAATACACTAATTTAAAATGTTAATATCAACCTCAACAAAATTTGATATAATTAACAATAGAAGAAACAAAGAATTAAAAATATATATTAAAAGTAGAACCATAAAAAACTTTATTTTCATATAATTAAATAATTTATGGAACATATCCATCTGAAGAGATAGAAAAATTACTTAATTTAAGACCAAATTTTGATGAAAAAATATCATAATATTTTGATAAAACCATTGAGCATTTATAATTATTTCTCATAGATTTCTATTAATGATTTATATTTTATATACTGTACTTTAAATAGCATTTATATATATATATATAATATAAAATTATATTCATTTGATTAATAATTATCATAATTAATTTTACAAATATATAATTAAAACTTAGCATTAATTATCTTATATCAAATATATTAATAATAAAAGATTTGATTAATAAAGACATTTAATTCCTATATATAAATAAGATACTCTTTTTATAGAGGACTTAATCTAATCATTATAAAGGATTTTATAAAATTATTGGTATCATATTAATTATAATAAATCGATTAATGAAAACAGCATCTATCTTTTTGACTGATAATTAACAGTCTCAATTACAGTTCTCGAACAGATAAAATAGAAATCTCTTCATATCTGATTTTAATTTTGAGACAAGTCGATCAAAAAAATCAGGTTAATCAATATCTCCCAAAAAATAATGGATCAAAGTTTCTACAGCTACTGAAAGTCTGCATTTAATTATGACTCCTAACTTGTTATAATTATAAAATTTTAATTCTCTAAAGAAAATATTCAAAAGATGTGTAATAGTGGTTAGAGCATGCATAAGATTACAATTATTATAACAAAAAAAACAAAAGAAACCAATTACAGTTTTTAGAAATCCTTTGAATGGAAAAGAATCATTAAGAGACACAGTTTTGAATGAAACAGTGTTTAATTGGTGTAGAGGAATATGCAAAAAATCGTTATCTTCAATAAAAATGCCTGTCTTTGATTATTTAAAAAATCCTAATATCATTACTAAAGCAGATATATCTAAAATGTAGCTGATTAATGCAATTAAATTTATAGTTGAAAGTCTTGCTTATTATACACATCCTCATTATATACATTATGATTTAAAAGGTTTCTTATGTTCTTAATTGTATCAAGATTATAAATTATACTTCACTCAATATGTTTCAGAAAGAACACGATATAAAATAGCCATATTAGATGAATTGTAAGAGAAAGAAGCAGCTATTATTGGTATGGAAATAATAATATTTAATCTTGCAGAAGCAATCATTTAAGATTAATTGTCTTGTAATTTTAGCAAGCGAATTTTAATTAGTGTTCTTTAATTACTATTTAAATAATATTTTGATGAAATGAATTGTTCCATTTGTAATTATGATTGTATTTAAGGTGATATTAAGATTACAAATAATAAATTATAACTTACATTTAAGACTCAGCATTCTGGATCTTTTAATTTAATTGATGGTGTTTATAATGATGAATAAATAACAAGTTTATTGAATTTCAATAGATCTTAATAAGGAAAAATTTAAGAATATTTTAAAATTGCTGTAAAACATTTAGAAAAATAAATTATATGATAATAGTATATGTTAATTGCAATATTTATATTATTTCATTCATTATAATTAATCAAATCAATAAATTCATTTGAATCTTATATTTTGATCTCCTTATTAGATTGAATATTTCTAATTAATAGAGCATTTTCTATTATTATATATAGACTTAAGTAGAAATGTTTAATTAAGGTATTTAAAAATTTATTTCCATTTTTAACTAATGAACATTTTTTCAGAGAGATCTTCATCTATATATACATAAAGAAAGTTTATATCTGAATGTTAAACCCCTTCAAAAGATTCTAAAGGATATATTTCACTTTCTAAAGAATTAAATATGCCTATAACTTAAATTTCAAAGAAAACAGCATCAAATTAAAGAAAAAAAATAAAGTTATTTGATTCACCTTATCTAAATGATGACACCTATACAACTTTGAGTAATAATTAATAAAAAAATGAAGTGGATATACTTTCAAAATTAATGAATTGGGAAAAAATGCATTTAAATCAATATTAATACACCTCTAAACATTACAATGATTTAAAACCTAAAACAGAATATTTAAGAAATCAAAATCCTAAATTTATAGATATAAATTAGAAAGAATAAGAGATTTATAGAGATTAATTTAAAACTTAAAAATAAGCACCTAAATCATAATTTATACCTAAATAAGCTCAATTAGAAGTTTAGTTAGATGATATGGAATCAATTTAAATGAAAAATTTAGGTCCTCAATATGCATAAACAAATCAATAATAATTAAATCAATATATAATCTCCATAGCGAAAACAAATAATAGAATTCTACCAAGTATATTTAATTGTATTAAATTAGAGATTTAATTACCTGATAAAAATTAAAAAAATAACTTACTGCCAAATCTCAATCGATAAAACAGAATTTATAGTGTTTTAAATGATTTGCAACTTCAATAAATGTTGGATAAAGATGATTCTATAGATAATATAACTGAGCTATAAAAATCATTGTTTCGTAAAAGGAAAACATAATAAAAAAAAAGTATGTTAAGAAAAAGAATTATAGTTGTATTAGCAGTAATAAGGATTTCTAAAAAATATAGGTATTAATAAATCTTATAATACTAGAGTAATATTAAAAGAAAGAGCTTAAAAAACATAAAATTTAGATTAATAAAAGAGTGTGCATTAAAAATATCTTGATTAATTTAGAACTAAAAACCTTTAGTATCATTAAAAAGACTTTGCAGATGGAATATTTAAAAAATTGAATTCAATCCTTCTAGATAAAAAATACATTAAAGAATGTGAATAAATTTCAAGATTACAAGATTTTATATAAAAAGATATAAAAAAGTAAAGATTTTGTTAATTCATTTCTTTATTTTTATAATCTTTAGAAATTGCAACAAATTAAAATGTATTACCACTAGTAATAGTACATCAACTTAATTTAAATTTCTTTAAAACTAATAATACTTAATCTTGTTTATTTGTTTTAAATAGAGCTTGTTATTATTCAACTCTAATATAAAAAATAACTAAAAAATAATAATTATTAATAGCTACAGAATATTTGTTATTCTAATTAGTCATTCCTAATATTTTTTAAATTCTTAAAGATATGAAAATAAAGAGTGTAGAACATAATAATTAAACTTTAAGTTATTTAACTGCTTTAACTGAAATGGTTTAAATGTTATTCGTAGATTATTTTAAAAATTTAGAGTAAGTAAGCAGTAAAAATGCAAAACCTATCTAAAGAATTTTGTTGTTAGATATTGATGACAATTCAGGTATAGCAAATTCTGAAGTCATTATTACTTCTAAAATTAATTAAGATGAAACTATTATAATAGAAAATGGTTTCGATAAATCAAGTATTAAAGAATTACAAAGTTGTAAACCTTATTGGGATGAAAAAATGAAATCTAGATTTATTAAAATCATTTCTAATATTGAGAAACATATTTTGATTAAAAATAATTGATTATATATTTCTTCTACTATTAAATATTATTATAAATTTGTTTATTATTATGTATAAGATTATTTAAATTTAATATCAATATTATGAATTATGAACTATCCTAATTTTCCTTGTCATTAAAAATAAAATGAATTAATAATTCTAAATTGATGATATTATTCTTGCTCCTGGTTTATCAATCAAAATAAGGAATACTATATAATTTAAACATGGATAAGATGGATTCCATTTATGGGAAGTAATTTAAAAGATTTTATATTATATAAGGCAGGCATTGTATTGACGAGATACGTGTATTATAATATTATGCCCTCAAAATAAATATTTATGGATTTAGGAACTGGAGTAGGAATTACAGGGATTCTTATATCTAAATACACTAGAGTTATTATGACAGATTATAATTAAGATGTTTTGGACAATGCATGGATTAATGTAAAATTAAATTAATCACCATGTATTCTAATGTAATTAGATTGGAGAAATCATAATAAAATAAGTTTCTAAGTAGATTTAATTGTTGGAAGTGATTTAGTTTATTCAGGTGCACCGTTGTATGACTTATATTAAACAATAGTTAAATTATTAAGTAAGTTATAATTGTATTTTAGAATAAAATGGAATATTTTATTTGATAATACCAAGTAATAGAATGTGTACATCTGAATTTATAGATATTATGAATTCTGAAGGATTATTTGAAATTAGAAAGGAATTATTAGAAGATGAAAAATATTATTAACCTTGTTTATTAGATCGTGAATAATCTCATCAATTGTATCCTGGTTTAAAAGAACTTAAATTTTATATGTATATATTTATTAAGAAGTGAACTGATAACCTTTCAATTTTATATATTTATATATATATAATATATAATATAAAAAGATAAATGGATGTAGAATAAATAGAACTTAACATGGCGCCTTAAATATCTGATTAGAATTAAGGGAATGAATAAGTCTAAAGTTTATAACTTGCTCTTAATGCAGTGATGCAAGATACTCGATAATCTTATTTATTAAAGAAAGGAAGACTTTAATTACAGACTTTAAAAAGATTAACATAAGCTATTCTAATTTATAGAATTCTTTATGTTCTCCTTTGTTTCATTCCATTTTATAAGTGTCCATTTGAATGTAATAATACACTTTTAAATATTTTATTACTCATCTGTATTGGATTAGAATTGTAAATAATATATTTATGAATAGATTAAAGATAGTTGAAACCATATATTAGTTAAGGAAGGTTTCATTTTATTTGAATCTCTTTACTTTATATGATGCTTAATAAGTCATTCCATTTTCACTGAATGACTTTTAAACAATATTTGCTTTAAGATATGCTCTTGATAAGCTACACAAAAAGGCATTCTATTTTAGAATCACTATAAACATGTATTTACATAATATATTTTTAAGAATTTGGGTCATCTATTACATAATTTATGTTGCCTTCTTTTTTAGTAATGCTCAATATTATACAAGTATTATATCTTAATATTTTAGGTGATTAAAATGTAATAGTGAGTTTTATGTTAATTATAATATCATTAGACTCAGTCTTTTTTATATTTCCATATGTATTTCAATTTATAGGATGGTTTTGCTTTAAATGTTATGATGCAATTAAGAAAATAACATCTAAAAATAATGTAAGTATCCTTAACATACTTAGAAACTTCTTAGATCTTTAAAAATAGAGAAATACGTTGAAGGGTAATAATTAACTGATGAAAATATTTGTATAATTTGTTGGGATTCTTTTAAAAAGGATGAATAATATTCAAGATTAAAATGTAATAAAAATCACATATTTCACACTTCATGTATTAAAGTTTGGATAAAAACCAATATAACTTGTCCAGTTTGCAGAGCCTAGTTAGTTTGAAAAATAATATATCTATATTTAATTAACTCTATTGATTAATAATCAGATTAATTTATAAATTATTGTAATAACTTTACAATTTATTTAAGTATCTTTAATTTATCAAATAATAAACATGTCAAAATATCACTTCAAACTTTGTCTTTGATTCTAATCTATTTAATAAAAATTATTAATTTATTGATTAATATTAATTAAAATGCTGATTAACCATATGTTTTATAAAAAAAAACATTATTAAAAAACCTTAATATTTATAAAAGAAGACATTAAATAAATATTGAATCAGAATAAAATTATATATTTGAATCATTACATTTTCTTAAATAATATATTTAAATGATAATATTATATATATATAATAATATTAATTTTGAATAATAAAAGTAATAATTAAAATCAAATATTTTATTCTTTATTCTATTAGGTATATTTCTATAAAGAAATTTTGATATTTGTATATTTATTAAAAATTAAATTATTAATATAAAATATATATATAAATTTTTTAAGTAAGTTGTCATTTGAAGCAGTAAACATAACTTTTATCAGTTGATTCTTCTTCAAAAGAAATTTCTCCATCAGATTCTTATGTTTCTGGATTGAAATCACAATAATCTCCTATATGTTTTTGAGTTTTCACTAAACTATGATGTATATCAATAACTTATTCATTTAATGATTCATTAATTGTATCAAGTGATAATTATCCAGATTTCAAATCTACATTTTACATTGATACTTATTGACTTGTATTTCCACTATTCTTTTTTAATCCATTAATTAAAGGATTCTATATTTATTATCAAATATATTATTACCCAATCAAATTCTAAATTTTTACATCCCTTAAATACAGATTTTAAAATATCATAATTAATTGGTAATTCCATTGGATTTAAGAATTTTATCTTATTTGCAAAATCTGTAAAACAAGGAGGATAATTTTTAAGAACCTTTTCTGGTAAAAATGAATGTTTAACTGAAAAATACCATTATAATTTATCTGAACGAGTTTTAAAATTTTTTTATTAATCAAAGAATTCTCCATCTGTCAATAATTATATTACTATATAGAGTAAACTTTCTAAATCATCTTTAGGATAAATTTCTAATCATTTTATATGTAATTTGTTACATATTCCTAGATGCTATCCCAAACTTGAATATTTATTTAAATGTTAACATTTTTATCCTATTTTTGAATTAGGTTTGAATAATATTGCTTATTAGAGATTACCTAAGGATAAAGTCTTTTAATTTTCTAAACTTGTTAATAAACTTTGCATATTTAAATTTGCATGAATAAAGTTACCAGAATGTAATAACTAAAGAGCATCAATCTAAAAATGTTAATAAATATTACAGTTTTTAGAATGATTAAAATTATACATTCAAAAGAAAACCTTGATTTCCAAAAATTAAACCAAAATTTTAAGCTAGGACCAGTTTTATTAAGAACTTGATAATTATATTGATTCATGAAAACTCCATGATCGATCAATCTAACTAAACAATCTTATGGGTTCTATACTATTTTTCCACTTTAATATTTCTCTTCAAATTGATTCTCAAATTAAGTTTTAAAATACTAAAGTATTTTAGTGCTATTATCACTTTTTGATATAAGAGTCATCCTAACAACACATGCCTATTGTAATTATAAATTGATGGCTTGGAAAATAGTAGTTTTATTACCTTCAAAGATTGTTGAAGTCTTTCCTTAATAGATTACATTAAGTAATACGTATTTATTATCAATAATCACGGGATTTTCTTTATTATTATATTTCATTTGCGATAATTTCTAATAATAAAAATAACTTACTCTTTATGAATCAGATGATTTTGTATTACTATGTTCTGTTGAAGTTTTAGGTACATTATTATTGTTTTAATCATTAAAATCTATATCTTAATACATTAAAAGATAGATCAAATATATTAATATAATTTATATATTTTTAAATGTTCATTTTTATAAATATCTTTAAAAAAAGTACTTAACAAGTAAATAATAAACAAAATATAAAAAATAAAGATAATCAGCATTATGAATTACTCTTTAATTTTTCATATTCTTTTTTAAAGAAAATTATTAAAATCATTAGGACAATTATGATTCTCACTAAATTGTAAATCATCTTATAATTATTATTCAATTGGTCCAAAACTTTTTATTAGTAGATTTTTTGATTCAGCAATAGTAGAATTTATAGTTTTATTTTTAACAGATTCAGGTTTATTTAATCTTTCTAATTTGATTGAAGGATCAATAGAATTCTTTCTTGAAATATTATTAGATTTCTAATATATTGAATCAACCAAACTGAATTTCAATAAATCATCTAAATAATTAGAATCTAAATTTTCTTTAAAAAAGTCTTATTCTAAACATTCCTTTAATGTAAATCTATATTTAGGTTATGTTCGAGTCATTTAGATTAAAAGATTTTTTAATGATTAAGGTAATTTTATCTTATCATTAAAACTAAGACTACCTGTATTAGCTGATTTAAAGGGATGAACACCATAAAATCTAAATTTAATTAATTAAATTACATTTCATAAATTATGATACCTAAACTGTAAACATCACATTATGTAGTATACATTTTTTATTTTTCTTTATATTCTTAAACTTCAGGTGCTGCATAACCAGGAGTTCCACAATTATATAATACATGTTCTTAATATTTATAATTAGTTGAAAATCCAAAATCAATGATAGCTATATCAGTACTGAAAGGATCTTTGTCTTTATACATAATATTTTATGGTTTTAAATCTCGATGCATTATTTATTATGAATGGACATAATTCATAGTTTCTAGAATATCTCTTACTAATTGTTATTTCTATTAAAGGGAAAAATTCTATAGTTTTTCATATAAATGACCACCTTCATAATAAGTCATTATTAATTCAACAGAATCTAAGTTTTAAATATTAAAAAAAGATACCATCATTTTCATATACTTCATATAATTTTGGTATATTTGGATTATCTAGACTACGCATTATAAATATTTCTTCAGCCAAACTCTTAGCTTGTTTTTCTCTCATTTTATGTCCTAAAGGGGCCTTTATTACTTTTTTAATTGCAAATTTTTAATTATTTTGATGATTTATTACAAATACCTAATAAGAATAATGTAAATAAAAATACTTCTGAAGTTATACCTTCTCCTATTTTTAATCTTGAACATTAGAAAGTTGCAGGGATTGATTCTTAAATACAATTTTGTTTTAACTCAAGAATAAAATTATCAACTTCCTCAGTTTTATTTCCTGATTGTAGTACTATTGATTAAAAATCATGTGATAGAGTAATAAGAATTGTATTGTCTTTGCTTCGAAAAGAACAATATACATTTTTAAGAAGGAGAAAACCTCCAATTTCACCACTCTTTATAGAATCACTTATAAAATAAATTCCTTACCTTTCGAAAATAGAATAAGTGTTGTCTATAAATCTTATATCTACGAGGAGTTATTATCTTAAGTATTTGACCTTGTTTAAACAATACGATAGTCTTTTAATCTTCAGACAATTAATGAAAATCGTAATTGACTAAGGCACTTAAGTTTCTATTCCAAAAGGATTACTATTTAGAGGATACGAAATATAAAGAGTGTTTCATTAATAAATTATAATTAATAAAATCATACTCAATTTTGATGATATCCAAACACAAATTTATGAATATTGTAAACACTTAATCAATAGGAGATAAAACAAAATAAAAAATTACTAAATTGTAAATAAAATAAAGTAGAAACATTAATCAAAGAACTTAATTCCTTGAATTAGATTTATTTAAAAATTAATCAGTTTTAATTATTTTTTTTGCATTAATAGTAAATATTTATTTTCAATTTTATATCATTGGAATTAATATTTAAATCATTTCATAATCCATTACATAATCAAGCATTTAATTTTCTATTAAGCTTATCCATAGCAGCTTTATTTTCTGCTTCATAATTATGAGCTTCTTTTAAAAAAAAGTCAATAGTTTTATCTAATGCTGTCATTAAAGGAGTAAATTGAATACCCAATTCTTTAATTTTCTTATTATTTATAACACCACAATCAACTGAAGGATAGAATTTACTAGCTTCTGTTACATGTTTAATATTTAATTATTTATCTGATATTTTATTAAGCTAAATTTATTATTAAAGTATTACTATCACCTAAGCTAATTCAATATATGAAATTGTCTCATCAAAACAAACATTATAAATTTAATTTTATTATGGAATATTTTAAATGAAATATTTAATGCAATTCACAACATCTGTGCTATATACAAAACTAATTTATTCTGATTACACAACTTAATCCTAATTTATTATTCATCACATTTACCACTTAAATTGGATACTTATCATTTTATTTAAGCCATTTCACCAAAGCAAAAAATCTTCCAGAATCATCAAAAGGTCCTATAACATCAGGTAATCTCAATATAACATATCGAAATGAACCTTCGATTACATAATTTTTAAGAAACTCCTCACATTTTAATTTATTCTTAATTTATTCAAATTAATTAATACATGGCCATAACTTTCTCTTTTCTTTTATGATTCTTATAAATCTTTTCTTTAATCTTAATCCTCTGTTATTGGAATTTCTTTGATCTTACAAATATCATAAATTGAATCTGTTGATATAAATATGTATAAATTGCATAATCCTCTTAAAGCAGCATATACAGATTTAACTTAATTACTATAAAATGCAGAAAAATCTATAACTGTTTCCCATTTTCTACCATCAATTCCAACATTAAGTTTCTTCTAAAGATACCTTAATAATGTTGTAAAATCATTTGTATCTTCTCGATTACCATAAGTATAATAAATATTTTTAATCTAATTAACTGCATTATTCCAATAATTCTTTCCTCTATTTATATAATGAACTTCATAAGACTCATTTTAAGAAAGATCTTGTAATAATTCTTTACCCATAAAAGTAGAACCACCAAGTACAAGTATTAATTTTTTCATGATACTATTTATATTAAATAATTTATAAAATGGAAATATGTGAATAATTTAAAGAGACTGTAAAAAATGTATAATTAATGTAGCTTCAAGAAGAAGATGACAATAAAAGATAAACAATGTTGTTTAGTGTATGTAGAAAATTGAGTAGAATATTGCCATTTCCTTCTGTTATCTCAGTGTTCTAATAGAAACCTAATATTTTAAAATATTTATTGATTGCCAGTTAATTATTTGAAAATAGTGTATTAATAATTTAATTTTAGGCCTTATTATTATTTTATGCTTTATAAGAGAGATACTGGGAAGATTAGGATTATGTTAAACTTTATTTTGATTGTGTGATCAAATGTCTAATTAATCAGGAGAGTAATGTACTATTTATTAACATTTTTAGTATATTGTAAAACTGTTATTAATAATGAAACCAAGCTTAGATGGTTTTTATTAGAAAACTCCAAAATTTTTATAAATAAAATCTAATTTCCCTTTTTCGATAATGAGATTGTTTGTTAAAAAGTTAATAACTTTTTTAAGAGTTTTATTAAATATAACTCTAATTTTGATATGCTAAATTCATGTTTCTAATTTGCTTTAGAAAAGAGAAATGTTTGGAATTTATTAAGAGAATTAGATTTACAATTTGAAATAGATGTTGAAGATTGTATCATATATTAAATATTAAAGCCTTGGTTGCCTTAAGTTAAGTAATGAGTACAAAGAACTTAGATTTTATAAGTGAGAAAGTAGAATAAAAAAGAGAAGAAGCATCAAATTATGGATTAACAAAAAAAGAATTGAAATAATAAATGTTAGAAGAATGGTTATTTTAACCAAGTGAAGTACCATTATTAGTAGCTAATCATGCTTCTGTTGATTAATTGAGTAGTGAAGTTTTTAAATCTAATATGCTTTTAGATTTGTTTTTATCTTTTTTATTGTTTCCTACAAGAAACCCTTAGGTTGTTCCAAATGTAAATATAAAATTCTTAATTTTAGAAATTATATAATATTTATGTAGATCTAAATCCTCCAGAACCTCCTTCATTTAGATAACTTAATGTTAATGTTTCATAAGAAAAAAGACCTTTAATTTAATTTAGAGCCTTTAGAACTATGTAAGTAATAACTGATAACAGAAATAATTTCTTATTAACTAGAGCTAATAAGGAATATTATCAAAGAGTATATTCAATGCTTTATGAATGTCTAAAATAAGATTTAGTAGCAATAACTATTTGTCCAGAAATTATTGTATAATATTTATCCTTCCTTTTATATCAAGAACCTGAAATTTCAATATTCTTTCTAATTTTCTATAATATTCCTTATAGATTAATGTTATTTTTAGATATTCCAGAAATTTCATAATTTTTTACATAACTAATGAATTTTCTATAAACTCCATATAATAAAATACATATTGAATCTACAAAATTGATTTGGAAATATTTTGAGGTATCAAATTTTTTTGTTGATTTACTTAATATGACTATATTTGACTCAAAAACAATAGATGAAGTAATTACATAAAAATCAAATGAATTTTATAGACCTAAAAATTTAGAAGAAATATTAAAAAGACCAGATTTTACTCCTTTATAAGTTGAAAAACAATTCCCTTAACCAGAATAAAAGAAAGTTGCTGAAGAAATAGATGAATTAGATTAAGATTTTGATCAAATATTCCCTTATCTTTCTAATAAATGTTAAAAGACTCTTAAAATCTTTGAAAGAATGTTAGATTAAGCAACAAAAAAGAAAGAAAGTAAAGCAAAATAAAGAATGTCTTTAACAGCCACTCCACCTTAATTTTTATAAACTAAAAATCTGAAAACTGAAGAATAAACCCCTATAACATTTAGTCCTACTAGAAGGAGAACTATTTTAGCACCAAGACTTGCATCTATGCTTGATGGAAGTCTTAAAAAATCATTAGTTGTTAATCCTGTCGAATTTGATTGTATGCCTTAAACTACTACAAATAGTACTACAAGAAGTCAATTATAAGCTCTTACTAATCCAAGTAATTTATTTGGAGTATTATCTGAATAAATTCATTTAATTAGTAATAAGAATACTTCTGAAGTAGTTTAAAAACCTATGTTTTAAAGAATGTTAGTAAAAAGACCAACTTAAATGATAATGCTTCATAGTAGATCAATGTCTAATTAAAAAAGAGTAAGTTAATAATCTTCATAAATGAACATTACTGAATCTTTCAATAAATCAAAAATCAGAAACTCTATTATCTTAAATAAATTCACTCATTTAGTTGGATCTATAAAAACATATGATATAGAAAAAGAGTTTTGTATTTATCCTCCAGAATTAAAAGATTAATAGATAGATGATTTTGAAAAATTGGCTTTTGATGATGAATTTCAATAACTTACATAAAAAAATGAGAATTATACAAAAGGAGTCTTATAATGTATTTATGATATCTTGCATATGATTTTCACATAAAAAAAGTTTATATTATAAAACAACTACCATTTTGAAAGCCCTGATTACTATTTAAATGTATTAATGGGGGAAAATAAATAATAATTTATAAATATAATAGCCAAAAATTATTTATTGAAATAGAAAGCAGAAGAAGATTTACTTTGTACTTTTATTATTGCTGGCAGAATATATAATTTAATATTATCTTAGTATAATACTAAGATATTTAATATTAATATTCATGAACATTTAATCTTAATTACTAAAATTCTTTTAACTTAACTTCTAACATCAAGATTATCAATTAGAGCAATTACATTATTGGAAAGTGTTACATTGATATTAGAAAACACAAAATAATAATTACTTACTCATATTCCAATATCATTTTGGCATTTATTGATTGAATCTTATACTTTACATAATTCTAATTAAATTTTTTTAAATTACTTTAGAAGAATATTGATTACTACTTTTATCTATGGGAATCTTGTAATTTATAATAGAATTTTACTTAAAATCAATTTTCTCTCCTATTTTAAAGAGAATCCTGATTAAATTAAATAAGTTTTTCTTGTATTATATATGATGTTTAAATTAAGACAAGATGGTTTAAAATAATTAAAGAAATAAATAACAATATTATCTTCTTGGAATTCTTTAACAGATTGGTTTAAAAAGTAAGTATTATGATTAATTATTTACAGGGATTTATTATGTCTTGATTAATAAAAGTATTAAGAATATACAAAGGGACTTCGAAGTGAAGATCTTGCTCAGATTTAAATAATGATTGAAAATAAAGATTCAATAAAGAATAAATTTTATAAACCTTGATTACATATTAATAATATATATAATTATATATAAATTTGATAGCTTATTATAACTAGATAAAATGATAAAGATTGAATAATTTTACAAAATTGAATATTTTTATTTCTTTTTATGCAGAATTGAAATTCAAATCAAAACTAATCTCTTTAAAATTAAATATTATTGATCATATATATATAAAATTCATTATTTGCTAACTTAAACTTCATGGATTATATAGATTATACAGAGATAAGATTTTCATTTATTGGAGTACGAAAGCATTTTTTCTCAGATAAATAATATTATGTTTCTGTTTTTGATGATTGCTTTATAATGGGAACAGTAATTCTATAATATTAAACCTTAGACATCCAATACATAACAGCCAAAGTACACAATTAAGTTTGGTTTCGCTACAAAAATTAGATGGAACATTAAAAAAACTAAATAAGGTCTTATAATAGATTCGTTTAGTTTTCCTTATAAGTAAGAAATGAAAGCACTAAGTGCAAATCATGATAATTTGATTAAGTATATAGTAATTCAAAAATCACTTAGATTCAAAGAAATGATAAGCTTAAAAGTGACTTTTGATAATATTAATGATTTGTATTAACCACTTTCCTAAATTGGAAAAGGAATTTCAGCCAAAGTTTATAGTGCTACATATAAACTTGACTAAAAAATTTATGCAATAAAAGCAATCGAAAAAGCATTTTTGAAATAATAAAATGAGTCTGGCTAAGTATGATTTAAAAAACTATACTTTTATTAGGCAGCCTTTAAAATGGAGGTTTCTGTTTTAAAAACGTTAGCTAAATACCCAGAAAATTTTTTAACACTGAAAGAAATTTATGAAGGTGATTAAGTCCATTGCTTAGTCACTTCTTATTTAGAAGGATCAAGTTTAACTTAAGAATTCGATCGTTTAAAAGTAATAAAAACAATCTAAAAATAGGCAGCAGATATATATAGATTTCCTATTCATTAAGCAAAAATTATAATGAAAAAATTGCTAACTAATTTAGCAGTATTGCATTAAAATAAAGTATATTTCTTTTTTTTATATCAGATAATACATAGGGATTTGAAGCCTGATAATTTAATGTTCTCCAAAAAAAATGACTATTCGACATTAGTCTTAGTAGATTTTGGACTAGCAACTTCTGAATCAATGGAAAAGTAATATTAAATAAATATAATTAATTAAAAGGTTTTTATTTCCCAAATGTGGTACTCCTGGTTATGTTGCACCTGAAATTTTAGCTTTGAAACCATATAATAAATATACAACAAAAGTTGATATATTTAGTTGTGGATGTATTTTTTATAAATTACTTACTGGGAAAAATTTATTTGGAGGAATCTCTTTCGATGAGGCACTCAAATAAAATAGAATGTGTTAAATAGAATTTAATATACCAATCGATTAACATTATATAACAGAACAATCTATTGTAATATTATTAATTTATAATTAGAATTTATTATAATAAATGTTGATGAAAAATCCTAAATATAGGATAAGTGCCAAAGATGCTTTATCTCATCCTTTCTTTGATTAAAATTTTGATTAAAATATCTTTTAATAAGTCCTAATGTTTTCTCCTAAAAGATCAAGCAAAACATTTTTAAATGTCAAACAAGAAGAGTAATAATCTGATATGGATAGTTATTAAGAGGATAAAATAAGTAATGAAAAATAAGTAGAAGAATCAAATTTTATTTAATTACCAAAGAGTAAGAGATGTTCTTTAATGGGGGATTTCTCTTAATTATCTTAATCTCCTTCAAAATTATTACTTGATATTCATTAATTTTACTAAAAAGATCCACTATCTGGGATTAGGTGTATAAAGGTCACTTAAAGCCCTTAAGTATCTTAAGTATTAGAATGATTTTATTGATAAAATTCTATTTTCCAAATAAAAAATATTTATTAATTGATAATAAATGCAGAATTATGAAATTTTAGATAAGATTTATGAATCAAAATCTACAATCATTCATAAAGTAAGAAATATAAGAGATAATAACATATATGCCATGAAAGAGTTTATTGGATTTTATAATTAAGGTATAAAATTTATTGTATATCTAGCTTTAAGTGAAATATAAATTATGAAGTAATGTTAAATACCTTTTGTTATTAAACTAAAGGAAGTATTTAGATTAGAAGATAATGTTATAATAATAATGGAATATGCAGATTAAGGAAATTTAAAATAGTTTATAAATGAGCATCTTGGAAGTTTCATTTCTGAGAGAGTGATTTGTAAAATACTTATACAAATCGTGTTTGTTTTAATCTATTTGAGAGAAAATAAAATATGTTATAAAGGTTTAAATCCTGAAAATATATTGATACATTAGGAATAAGTGAGAATTTGTGATTTTGGAATTGATAATTTAATATAACAGCAAAAACCTAGTTATAGACCTCCAGAATTGTTATTTCATAATAAATTTTCATACAAATCGATGATGTATTAATTTGGTCTTGTATTATACGAATTGACTACACAGAGACAATTATTTAAGTTAGAATTTATAGACCAAATTAAAGCAGTCATCCTTAATGGAGGAGCGTAATTGAAATTATCATATAAGAATTGTTAAGATTCCATAGATATATTCCAAGTAGCTTCGATTCATAATTACAACTTGTCTTGATCTCCAAGAAACAGATAGATTAGATATTCGACAATTAGTACATAATGAAAACTTTAAAATCTTATTAAAATAAAAGCATTTCAATTTTACTTATGAATAATAAGATACTTTTGAGTTTTGGTGTAATAATAAATAGCAAAAATAAAAAAGGAAAAGTGTTTTTACTGATAATTTTGAATTTGATATCAAAGATTAAACACAAAAAGATTAATAAATTATTTAAGAAGATAAATAAAATAACAATAAAACAATCAATCTTGGAATTAAAAATAAAAGTAAATAAACTATTCCTAAATTAAATTTAAAGAAACCATAAGATGATACATTAACTTTGAGGCCAATTTCATAATAAACTAAAGGAACATAATCATATACTATTATTAAAAGTAACACATTTACTAGATAAAATTTTGTATCATCTACTCATAGAAAATTAGTTTCTCCAATTCCTAAACCATAATGGATTGATTTCTTGTAAAAGCCTTAATATTTAGATGCTCCAATCAAACCATAAACAATAATAAATAATTTAATCAAATTAAAAATGGAATAATGTGTTGAAACTATTGGAATTGAAGAAACAAGATAAACTTTAAATAGATTAAGATAAGGGGGTTCAGTAAATGAATTTCTTAATAAATATCAAGACTCTAAACATCATTGCATAGCCAGACATATGTAAGATATAATTTCATTTACATAATTATGATAAATATATATATATATATAATATATTCATAATTATTCTTAAATTGCTTTCTCTTCTTATAATGCAATTTCTAATCTGCCTTCTACAAATTTCTACCAATTTGGTGCTAAAGTCTACTTATATAATTTAATAATTAATTAATCTTTTTTTATAATCTTTTACAAATCATCAAAATAACCCTCCATATCATCCATTAATTTTTATTTAAGTTTATTTTATTATCTTAAACAATCTTCCCCTAATTTTTAAACAAATCTTGAATGTAATTTTTGGGAGGGATCTTATTATAATTCAATAGATTTCTATAATAAAAAAGAGGAATATTAAACTAAAAAATAATAAACACTTCCTGTTGATGGATCATCTGGATTCAATAAATCCTCTTCTAATTGTGGCATATTTTATGCTAATTTTTTAACATTTAAAAATTCTTCATCAATCTCTTAATGATTTAGAATCTATTTGAATTTAAGAATAATACAATTAATTAATCTGGCTATAATTATGGACCTTAACATTCTTCTTCTTAAATTTAATTTTATTATTATTATTATTATAGTATTTTTATTTCAAGCTTTGAATATTAAATTGGTTCATTTGATATTTCTTTTAGTTTTTATTCTAAATATTAATCTAAACCACTTATTTTATCAAATTTTGGGTAAGTTTTCAGTATTTATGCTGTAATTACAGTTTGTTTTCTATTTATTGATTCCCTCAACATTATACAATATTGTAAAACAGTTTTATCATTCAATTAAAGATCACCTTCTATTGTAGACATATCAAGCAAATCATTCAACTCAATTTTACCTTATCCTTTTAAATCATTTGATAGCCATCCTTTGTTAAAGACCTTAATGTCTATTACAGATAAATGAATCTCTTATGTTCCATTCTTAAATTCTTTTAGATTTATATCTTAGATATAATTTAATCTGCCTTAACCATCAGCTTACTCTGTTTTTGCTTGATATACTTAACTATGATTAAATAAATAATTCCTTACTTTCCAATTAATAATTCAAATTAAATAAAGAATTTATCTCCATTTATAATATTTTAAAATTTAATTCTAAGCATCCCATTTTGAACATCTTTATTTATAGTAGAAATTTCTCTATTTTCAGTATTCAATTTAAATATAGGCAAAGGAGTCCAACTTACATCTTTTTAATTTGTCAAATATTTCTATAATTCTTCATATATAGCAAAATATTGCTTGCATATATCTGCTGGACTGACTCTCTAAATTTAATTTGTTCCAGGAATAATTTAAACAATAGGTTTAGCGAGAGATGCAACCTTATAATAAAGTTATTCTTCTTTATAAGCTTAATTCACTTAATCCTGCATATTTTATATTTTTTCCAAATATTCTTTTTTAGTAATCCCAAGAAATTACTCTTCAGTTATTTCTTTGAATTCAGAAATGTAGAATTTAGAATAATCAATATTTTTGCCTTCCTTTAAATCATTATAAATGGCTTTGCTTTTTTCTAGTTTACCTATCAAAAATTCAATAAGCTCTCTTTTTTCTTCTTTCAAATGAATACTTAAATATTATATTAAATTTAAATATTCTTTGTGCCTTATAAGTAGTTCTTTTACTTTTTATATAAATGGCTTATCTTAAAATTCTTAAAATAACAATTTTTATGTCACACTATTATAACCACAACCAAATTCTTAACAAATTTTATCAAATTTATTATTTTGCAATCCTTACATTTCTTATTGTAATGTTCTACATCTCAAACCAATTCTATTCTTCATAACTGATGTAGCTATTGTAAACTTTAGTTATTCCTCTTATAATGTAGTATTCACCATTTTCATATATTATATTTCTTAAATTTATTCATCCTTAATACTCTATATTATTGTAGAAAGCTATTATTGCATTTCTGATACCTATAAATTACAATTATATCACATACGAGATTTTTATAAAAGTTAGTTATTTCAGGGTTTTTTTTTTAATTTGGGATTATATTATGATTAATATATCCTATTTCAAATTTTAGTACACTCAATGATTAAAGTTTAGATGGAGTAGTAAATTATTTTTCTAATGCAATTAGATCTATGGGGCACTTTGTATTTTTAAATGTTGATTTATCTTATTGATTCTACGTTTAATTTTGGGATTAAGGAACTTATGTATTTTAATGATTTTCAAAATTTGCCATCATTTAATTATAGATACCCATTGATTTAGTAGCATTTTGAAAATTACTATTTGTTTTATCTAAGTCGCCATTTCAAAATAGAATGAATTATCTTACAATTATTATTAAAGTCTTCTCATTTCTGGATCATCATCAAAAGCATTTTCATCACTAATATTTGGTTCAATATTATCCAAATCTTCACCCAACTCTTATGCATACTCTGCTAAAAGATCATCTACATTTTTTTTTGTTTACATTTTATAATTTAATTATATATGTATATTACTAATAGATATTTAAGTTTTTGTTTACCTTATGATTTAAATTAATTCATTTTTGAGTTGTTTTATTATTATTTGATAACAGAAATATTGATATTCAGTGATTATAAATAAATTAGATCACTTAAATTTATTTATCAAATAAAGGAAATAATATATTTTTAAAAATCAATAAATCATCAAACCAGTGTTTGTTACTATTAATTATTATTTAATTCTTTCTAATCAATACTAATCTATTTTTCATCTGAGGATTGTGTTCTTGTAGATTTCTGTATTTATTTCTCATCAATATAATTATCTTTAAATTTGTTTATATAATTTTTAAGTATTTGATTACGATATTATTTTTAATTTTTCTTATTAAACTGGTATATTTTTTTTTGTTCTAATTTATGTTATTCTTCATTTTATTCTAATATTGTCAAAAAGTGATTTTAGCAATATGAGTATTATGATGGTTCTGTTTACTCAGATGCTCTACTTAAGCTTTCTTCTTATACAATCTATTTTGTAAGTAATTTATATTATTTTTTATTTTATTTAGAAGGGACTAATCTTAGTTTACGATTCTTTTGTGAATCAACCTCAGGTACTTAATCAATATTTTCTATTTATTCAATTTTAGTCTATGGTTCTGTTTGAGTTTCTTAATTCATCGTTAATTTTTTTCTTTTTACTAAATGATCAAATTATTTCACATGAACTGTTTCTACTTTTGATTCATAGCAAAAAGTAAGAGGCTCAACAAAAATATTTTCAACTTTGTTTGTTTAGGATTTCATATTCTTAAAAGCATTAATGATATTTTGAGGTATCACCATTAATTTTTGCAAAAATTCCATTAAATTAATTCTTAATATAGATATTAATAAAAGATTAATAAAAAAATTTAGTTTATTTAATACATACTCTTAAAAAGAATGATGCAAGATTAGTTTATTTAAATGAATATTTTAAACTTAGACAATATTAATAGTCATAAGGGAAGGATTCTGTTTATCAATTTTTCTTTAAATCGTTTTCCATATCTGTTAGGCTCTTAAGCTGATGTATCTAATTATAAATTCATTTTAATTATCTTTTTTGTTTTTCTTTCAAGAGATTTATTAACATTCCATTATTATAAATAATCTATAATACCAATATGATAGTAAATCTAATGAATATTTTATATATATTTACTCCTTCTTCCTTTATTGAAGGAATTATATTGATTTTTTAGTCATCAAAATGCTTCATTAAAATTTATTATTGAGCTTTCCAATCTATGATCATAATTAATAAAGAATAATCAATAAGTTTTTATTTTTCTAGGAAATCTGAATCTTTGATTAAATTTTAGTTTAATTCTTGATTAATTATAAAAAATTACTTTAAATATTGTCTTTTTCCACCCAAATTTATTATTCTATTTTGAAGAAATCTAAATCTTTAAGAGTTAATTTTGATAAATCACTTTCAATTTTTTTGGAAAGAACTTCACGATCATATTCAGAACCTTTTAAATCATAAGTTCTTAATATTTAATTTCTTGGAATTCCTAAAGAAAGATTCTTCATTATTAAAAAGTGAACTTTTGATTCAGAATTTTCAGACCTTTCAAAAGTATACATTCCATATATCTTATTTAATAAAGATGATGGATTATTAGCTTAATAAATAGCAAAATTTAATAATCGTTTTTTGTAAGTGGATACTTCAGATTATCTCATTGTTTTAAGAATCAGTTAATTATTGTGAGAGAAGAAAAAAAATTCACCACTTTTACCACCATCAGGTCCAGTAAATTATTCAATCTTTACTAAATTCTTATAAACATCAAAAGAATCTTCAATATCAATATTATCAAGAGTAACAAAGTAGTTAAATATCTTTGGAGCATATAATATGCATTTCATTTAAAAGACTTAGATATTTTGATTTTCAGGAAGTAAAGTTTTAACAAGTTCATTATTCATATTAACAACCAAACACTCTTCAACTTCTTCAGGAATGAAAGGTTATAAAGTAACTTCAATTAATTCACTTAAATCCCCTTAACTGGATTCTTCAGTTTCAGGTTATTCATCATTTATAACTAGATCTTTGTAATATATTATTTATTCTTATTTCTACCTTTTTAATAATTGAATACCAGCTAACATAGAAATTACTTAAGTTTTTTTCATTTCTTTTTACAATTATTCTAAAATATTAAATTCTAAAATAAATTAAAACAATATTACACTACATAGAGATTTCAACAGGTTTAGTATCATTAGATGAATCTAAATTTTATTGGCTATTCGAAGTTTATGTATGTTTAAATTTAGATATTAATATGGGATCTCTTGTTATAAAGATAACTTATCCTAATATACAAACAGCTTGAGTAAAATTTTATAAGGTTTCTGAAGGTAATAGATAAGCCTTTTGAAAGCGATAACAATTTAGTAGATTAATTGCACTGAAAATTCCTAAAAAGAATTTCATTATTAGACTAAATGTGATGAACTTTTAATAATATCTAAGGTATTAGCCTCTTAATTATCTTATTGATGACATTTTAGGAACCAATTTTTTGAAAGTAAAAACGTAAATTATTGACATAGTTGCAAATAATAAGAAAACAAATAAATAAACTGTAGCAATAATAAAATCCCATATTTTACTATTAGTAGCTGATATTGCACACATTCTAAGAAATATTAAATTATATTACCCATTTAATGTTAATGAAATAATATCATTATTTACAGCAAATCCTAACAAAATGATTATAACTATTATAGTTGTGAAAGAATAATTAAATATTCTTATAAATTTGACTGTTGACTCCAATGAATTATATACTAAAGCAAGTGGGTAAGCAGCAAATATAAAAATATTTAGATTTGAAATTACAAAAACTATTGAAGTTGCTATCCCTGTGATCTAATTTATTTTTATAATTACATCACAAAATATATCGATTGGAGCTTAATCAGTAATTAACACATACAATGCCGTAGAAAATTAAACTATTGATTGGATTCCATTTGTTGCTGTAATTATAAAGATAACATCTCCAGGTCCACCAAACAGTTTAAAGTCTTTAAGGAACTACTAAATAATTCGGATGGAAATGCAAAATGTAACAGGGGCTTTGATTTCTCATTCAACTAATACATAGTAATAAAAATATTCCACAATCGATTGGAAACAATTTAAGTTTTTAATAATTTGTTCCTCCTTTTTCGTCATTATCATTTTTACAGTCATATAATTAATTCTCATCGTACATTTTGGCTTATATTTAGATATTTATTAAGAAAATAATTATAAGGTAGAATCCATTCATCATCAAAATATAAATTATAATTTAATTATATAAATAAATTGATTATTATATATAAATCAAAAAGGTTATATAGCACGTCATAAAATGTAAGAAATTAAAATATTATTGAAAAAACACAAATACTATTAATGTTATTAGATGAACATATAGAGGATTATAGAAATATATTATTTTACATTATCTTCAAAAATGTGAATTAATAGATATCAATATTTTAATAATACTTTTTTGTGAATAAATATATCAAAAGCACTTGGAATTTAATTATCTAACAAAGTAAATAATTATTAAAATATCAAGAATATCTTAAGAATATTAAAATACTTGTTTTGTCTAATTGAATCAATGTTTTCATTCTTATAATAATTTTTATATTAAAATAATAATTTAATAATCGTACATTAATATATAATTATTATTTTCAGCATAATTCATATAATCCAATGTCTTTCTATGAGTCACTCAATAAATAAAATGAACTTCTATTTTTGAAAAATGTTTAAAGAACATTTTTGCCACTCCTAGCAGGACATTCAAGCAATTCACCAAACATTTCAATTGGAATTATTTTGCTCTCTTATATCATTATTGCTTTAATTTATTTTAAACTTTCAGCAAAGGCTACTAAAATAAAAAGTTTATGCTATTTAACAATAATCATCTCCTATACCTTTGAATTGAATAACTTAAAAATAAGTATAAATAACTTACTTAATATTCACCTATTAAGATGTTTTTAAGTACATTAAATAATTTAACAGATCCATCAGTACATCCATAACAAATGACTATATCATTCAAGTATTCTGTTGCAATACATGTGCTTATATTTGAGATAGGAAGAGCTGGTTATATACATTCTAATTCACAATTAACTAATAACATTGCTCCTTACAAATTATTATTCATTTTTAAACTATAAATTGAAACTATATTCCCTTAAGAAATAGTAGCAAATTTTTCATATTTACTTACATAAAGAAATTCAATAAGTTAAGTTTTAAAATCAAAAGTATAAGCAATTCTATTATCATGATAATTGATAACTTATAGATTAGTATCACTCAAACAAAGAAGATGTGATGAATCTGCTATATCCATAATTCTATTTAATTTAGATTTGAATCCAATTAATTTTCTTTCTGGATAAGGTACATAATTTTCTCCTAATGTCCATATAATAGCATAATTTTCATCACTTAAAGATGCCAATCTAGTACCTCTATTTTATTTTAAAATTGATAATTGACAAACAGGTTTAGTATGTTAAATATAAGTATTAGGATAAAAACTAACTTTGCTTGTACTCATGTCTAATAATTTGACAGTTCCATCAGCTAATCCTAAGGCAACAGATGCATTACTGACTAAAGCTAATGAAGTAACTTAGAATTCAATACTTAATTTCTTTTTTATTCTGAATCTTTAATTTGAATGTCCCTAAATAGATAATAATAAATAATATTACTTTTGATTGATTAGCATCTTCAATTATTCTATTATCTAATATTTAAACATTAATATTTGGAATTATTGTTGGTTATAATTAACTTTATACAGAGATCTTAGTATCGACTGCAGAAATAACTGTTTTGTTATCATCTAACATTGTCACTTTATCAGCATTTGATACATCCATAGATTTACTTTTAATTGGAGGAGAGGATATAGCTTGAATGGTAGTTAATATATTTGGTTATTGTTAAATTTCAATTGGTGTTTGATTTGGAATACTGACATTCTTATTATAGAAATCTTTGATTGAATTCATTGCATCAGTTAGTAATTTTGTGAAATTCTCATTATTATATTATAATTCTTAAGCCTTCTTGACTTTATCCAATACTTACTTTAATTATTCTGGTTTCTTTATAATCGACATTTATTTAATTGATACTTTGACTTATGATCCTAAATCAGGTTTAGTATGCAATTTTTACTATAATACATATAATTCTTACTTTTAAATTGTTTTCATTTGAGTAATATTTACACTTAGTCAAAAGAAAATGTATTGGTTCTAGTTATTCTTTAAGTATAAAAAAATTGTTTTTGTATATTTTGAGATATTGATCTAGTTTGTTCAATAGTTCTGTTTTATGCAATTCAAATAGTAATATGATGGATTCTAATGCTTAGTTGATANAGAGCTGGTTATATACATTCTAATTCACAATTAACTAATAACATTGCTCCTTACAAATTATTATTCATTTTTAAACTATAAATTGAAACTATATTCCCTTAAGAAATAGTAGCAAATTTTTCATATTTACTTACATAAAGAAATTCAATAAGTTAAGTTTTAAAATCAAAAGTATAAGCAATTCTATTATCATGATAATTGATAACTTATAGATTAGTATCACTCAAACAAAGAAGATGTGATGAATCTGCTATATCCATAATTCTATTTAATTTAGATTTGAATCCAATTAATTTTCTTTCTGGATAAGGTACATAATTTTCTCCTAATGTCCATATAATAGCATAATTTTCATCACTTAAAGATGCCAATCTAGTACCTCTATTTTATTTTAAAATTGATAATTGACAAACAGGTTTAGTATGTTAAATATAAGTATTAGGATAAAAACTAACTTTGCTTGTACTCATGTCTAATAATTTGACAGTTCCATCAGCTAATCCTAAGGCAACAGATGCATTACTGACTAAAGCTAATGAAGTAACTTAGAATTCAATACTTAATTTCTTTTTTATTCTGAATCTTTAATTTGAATGTCCCTAAATAGATAATAATAAATAATATTACTTTTGATTGATTAGCATCTTCAATTATTCTATTATCTAATATTTAAACATTAATATTTGGAATTATTGTTGGTTATAATTAACTTTATACAGAGATCTTAGTATCGACTGCAGAAATAACTGTTTTGTTATCATCTAACATTGTCACTTTATCAGCATTTGATACATCCATAGATTTACTTTTAATTGGAGGAGAGGATATAGCTTGAATGGTAGTTAATATATTTGGTTATTGTTAAATTTCAATTGGTGTTTGATTTGGAATACTGACATTCTTATTATAGAAATCTTTGATTGAATTCATTGCATCAGTTAGTAATTTTGTGAAATTCTCATTATTATATTATAATTCTTAAGCCTTCTTGACTTTATCCAATACTTACTTTAATTATTCTGGTTTCTTTATAATCGACATTTATTTAATTGATACTTTGACTTATGATCCTAAATCAGGTTTAGTATGCAATTTTTACTATAATACATATAATTCTTACTTTTAAATTGTTTTCATTTGAGTAATATTTACACTTAGTCAAAAGAAAATGTATTGGTTCTAGTTATTCTTTAAGTATAAAAAAATTGTTTTTGTATATTTTGAGATATTGATCTAGTTTGTTCAATAGTTCTGTTTTATGCAATTCAAATAGTAATATGATGGATTCTAATGCTTAGTTGATATCAGATTCAATTTATTGTTTTTATGATCTTACATATCCTTCCATATTATTCAAATGTTCATCTGATAACAAAATTTATTAAACAACTTAAGATTCTTTGTTAAAAAGATCAATATATTTGTTAGCATCATGAAGTTAGTCTTCAATTTATTTACTTACCAATGTTACATATTACTGGTAGGGTATTAAACATTGATTGTGTTTTGTATGTTAAGAAATGGTTTTTTAATCTGTCATACACACTTTACACATAAAAGGGAACACAGAGCAATCTAAATCAATACAGGCTTGGATAACTTGTTATTTGTGCTATGGACAGATTAAATTAACATTCATATTAAAAATATATATATTAATACACTCATCAATCTCTTTGTTCTTTTTATCCTTTAACATATCCAGTTGGATAAAATAACTTTTCTAATCTTTCTTATTGGACTAATGGATCATTATCCTCATAACCTAAATTAATTATATTAATATTTTACCATATAATCTATAAGTGTTAATTTCTCCATGAGCATCACCTGTAATTATAATTGGACTATTTTGAGCAAATCTAACCATTGTCTTAGCTGCCCAAACCTATTAATCTTAAGGCATTAAAGTGGCAAAGGGATCTAACATATTATTTTTTGTTAAGTCCCATAATTCTAATCTTCCATCTTTACAAACTGAAGCAAATAAAGTGGATGTATATGGTGACCATTCAAAATCTAAAACTTCATCTTATAAGTTTTATTACTAAATTAATATGTATATAATACTTAGAAATTTGCTTTTGGTAATTCTTCTCTCCAATTCCATAATTTACATGACCAATCTGCACTACATGTTAAAAAGATATCACTCATAAATGGATTACATCTAACTTTGTAAACTGGACCAGAATGACCAAAATAATTATCCAAATATTGTTCTGTGTATGACTTTGAACATCTATGTATGGTTCCATCTTCAGTTGCTGCTAAATACATAGAAGATTCTCTATTTATTTATATATAAAAAATAATTTACCCTTATAAAAAGTCAAATGAAAATCCTGCTGATAATCTAAAATTGACTCCTTCTTATAAATTTTCTTTTTAAGATGATTAAACAACTCTTTTCAGATTCATTAAATTAGTATACTCTAATCCTTTTTTCATTGACCATTCTGCAATTCTACTATCACTGCTTATACTAACTAATGATTCCACCTTATCAGTTCCTTTTGCTCCTTTACCTATCCATTATACTTCCCATACTGAATCACTATGTTTTCCAGGTAATTCTTTATTTTCAGTTACTGGTTTATCTGATTTTCTTCTTATATCCCAAACAGCAACTATGCCATCAATTGTACCAGCAGCAATAAGATTAGGTTGACTATTTGAAAATTTACAACAATTGATTTTTGAAGGATATGTAATTATTCTTTCAGGATATGTAGGATTTTTGAGAGTCCAAAACATAATATGACCCTCAGATGTTTATTAATTTGAATAAGAAACTGCCAATAAATCTTTATTAACAGAATTCCAATCTGCTTAAGTAACTTTACATTAATCACTTAAGGCACACTTATATTAGAACAATTACACTATAGGTTCATGTTTTTTTTTTTCTACAACTTCTTCATCTTCTTATTTATTTTAAAATGCTCTTTTAAAAGCTCCTCCTCTTTATTTTAGATCCTCATCTAAAGTCATTTTTTCAAATTTGACTTCAGGGTAATTTCTATATTAAATGTATTATTTATGAAATAGATTTTAATTCAAAATTCTCTCAACATATTTTAAATTTGTCTAAACCAAATTACTTTGAAATATGACTTATTCTGCTTCAGACATTTAAGTATTATTTCTTTTAACCAATTCTTTCATATAATCTTCTTCTTTTAAATCTTATTCATCTTATTTCATTTCATATTATTTTTATTATTATTCTGGCATTGGATTACTAGTCTTGCCATGACTTCTTGTTACTTATTATTAAATATTAACTTATTAAGATTACAAATTCTTTGTACCTGTATGACTTGAACTTGAATCTTACATTTTTTCATCTAATTATTAATTAGTATATCCTCCAGATAAACTATTAAGTGGTTAACTCTACTTATTAGTATTTATGCCTGTTTTTGTTTTATTTGTTTATTTTTCAGAATAATCCTTACCTAATACAGGTCTTTCAGTATGAATCTTAATAGCTTCTAATTCAGTAGGTAGTAGAAAATAAGGATTTTTTAGATGTTATTTATATTCTTTTTCAATAGAACTTTTTATGTCTTCTTATAATAATTCAAATTCATTCAATTAATCAGTAATTGATGCATCATATAGATCCCAAATAGCAGCAAATGCACCATATTCATTTTTCTCTATTTTATTTGATTATTATATTTTATGTTTTTAATTATAATTGAATGTTTAAGCATGTCTTTTAGTATAATTATCACTTCCAATCTTTTCAACCATGTATTTCTCATACTCCTAAGTTTTTTAAATAACTCCACTTTTTTTTCCTTATTCACTGTTGATAAAAGATGATGGTATAAAAAGTAATTACATTGTACAAGTTTCAGATAAATTTATGGGAATATTCTCTTCTAAATCCTCTTCTTTTAATCCTTTCTTTTATTTAGTCTTCTTTTCTTATTATTCAGATTGATCTCTCTTTGAATCTGAATCAGAATATGTACCCTCAGATTATTTAGATTCCATAAAACTACTACGTTCAGGATTATTTGATGATGAAATCTTTACATCTGAATTAGATGATTTATCCTAATTATAATATTATAATTATACAGCACTTTAATAAAATGATTTCACATTACTCTCAGCAACACTCTAACTAACTTTAGCTTCATTCTATTTCTATAATACTTTTAATCGTTGCTCTTCTTCTCTATTTTATTACTCTGCAAGTTATAAAAATTTTTTTGTCACAAGCCTTTCTTAAATTTAAATTTTTACTCTTTTGGAGTCACTACAGTATCTTTATACTTCACAACAATATTGTCTGCAGCTGATTATTGAGTATCCATGTTAGTCTTTGGTGGTCCTAATTAAGTTTTACCGCCTCCTAAATTAATGGGCCTATCTAAATTGATAATCAAAACCTCTTCTACATTGTAACATTGCTGCGGATGTTCGACTTAGTAACACCTGCCTTCAGTCCTTCAGACCCAATAGATTACATTTTATTTAATGAATTTAATATAAATAGAGAAATATTATTTATCATCTTAACATAAAACTATTGAAATCTATGGATTTACTCATGTAATTTATTATTCAATATATAGTTTATTGTTTATATTTAATTTTATGTTAACATAATCATTTTTCAATTCTTTAGACTATATTTCATCTCTTATAATATCAACTTTAATTTTGAGCATACAACTTTATTCCTAAATAATATATCATTAATTATCTTCCTTTTTCATCCAAACTAATTAATTCCAATTAAAATCCAAATTAATTAATTACTCATAAATATGTATAAAATCCATCATTACAATTATTATTCACATATTCTATCAATTAGATACTTTTCTACCAACAAATTACATGCATCAAATTAGACCATAATATTTTAATGCTATTCAATTGAATTACAATTGTTTCTAAATTTTTTATTTCTAATTTTTATCCAATCTGCCTTTAGCTAAATCTATCTGATTGAGAGAAATAAGTTTTACAATATTAAATTATACAATTTTCTCTTTATTAATAGGAGAATGAATTAATTGCAAATTTAATTTTAACATTTTTTTATTATAAAATGATTAATCATAAATGTTAATGTTTTGTAATTGGCACAAATTTAAAGCTCTTTAAACCCTGGATTGTGATTTGTCCATCAATAATAACATTATCATTACCCCATTCAAAATTAATCCATTTCAATTTGTCTAATATTAAACTTTTTAATTCTTTGGGCAAGGGAACCTAACTAATTAAATCAATTTAATTACTCCATATTTTTACAACATCTCAATATCTGATTATTATGGTATTATAATTTCTGAGATCATAAATACTTGAGAGTCTAAAAAGACTTCTTCAGCTATTTTATTAGGATCCATGGATATCTCAAATCTAATAAATAAATTTGATTTTATACTTTTTGTTGCTTGTTTCAATATATAAACAATTAGTTTTTAGTCTATATGAAGTTCGACTAGGAATACCTTAAGCAGTTTGCCTATCTAAAAATGTTAGTAAATTATATTTCTAACTAGGTTCATTACACATGTCCCAAACAATCCAACCTTCATTTAAAGGAGGTAGATTATTAACTAATAAGTTTTCTGGAAGACTGCTTTATGGAGGTTCATGCAAGAATACATTTAGATGAGTTTTTTTAGTCAGTCTCCTATTAGGAGGTAAAGACATCTTTCTTGCCCAACTTATCAATTATTCAGGAGATCCCAATTATGACAACCAATTTACTTTTTCAGGTTTTAGACAATGAGCACAAGGAGTCTTAAGAGATCTTGAAAGTAAAGGCACTTTTAATTAACCATTTAATGTCTTTTTGCCTTTAATGACTTTACAAGACAAACTGATTCCTTAATAAAAGGTTCCTGTTAATTTAAGATCTCCAAGAGCTAAGAGTCCTGCATGTATGCCAATACAAACTGCATCACTATGACTAGCATATACACCATTGGATCCCCAAATTTATCGAAGTATTAAAGCTTGATTGTTTTTGTTGACATATTCACAGGCAATTCTAATTTCTATAGTCTAGTTTATGAAATTAGATAGATTAGGTAATTCTGCACCAGGCTTATATAGAAATGTTGTTGCCGCCGGAGTATAGACAGAATTTGGTTTTTTGAGTTTATTTTCTCTTCTATTGAATCTACCAGGACCTAATAAGGGTTATTGTTTATTTTTGGATCTCATTCCTAAAATGAATTGATTATACAATACCCTCATATTAGGATACATCTTCATCATCAATTTGACTGTCATATTCATCAGAGTTATTCTTCTTTCTTTTGTCTCTTTGAGGTCTTTTTGTATTACGTTTTTATGAAGAACTTCTTGATGATTAACTGCTACGAGATAAGTTTGACATTTTTATTGTTTAATATTTATTTGTTTTATCACTCTTTATTGAAATTCAATAATTTAGCCAAATCAGTGCAGAATTGTTTCTAATCATATTTTTGTATTTTTGAATTGTTTATCACTAAACTTTCTATTAGTTTCTCTTATCTTTTCTATTTTAGGTCATCTTCTAATAATAATGATACAACAACTCCTTCATCTTTAGCTCTTCCTGTTCTTCCTGAACGTTGATAATAACTAAATTATTATTAATATAATAAGTGTACCTCTCTGATTTAAATTCTCCTGCTGGAGTAATAGGTAATCCATAATGAATAATAACTCTCACTTTTCTAAAATCCATTCCTCTTTATAAAACATCTGTACATAGTAGAATCTTCTTTTTTCCATCTTTAAATTCTTTCCTAACAGTTTCTCTATCCGCTTAATTAGTATCACCAGTACATTCTCCAATCCAATTATTTTTAACTATGTATTCTAATTTCTATGATTTTTTAAATAAATTTATTAATTCATTAACAATTGTTTTTTTGTTAAAGAATATCATAACTTAAGCCTCTGTAAATTTATCAAAAACATCCTTTAATAAATCTACTAAGATTTATTCTGGTTATTCTGGTGCTTCTTTATACATATGAACAATTGTATAAGGAGAAATTTGTTATTGAATTTATGGGATAACTCTTAAATTACAAACAACTTCTTAGATATCATCTTCATCTTTATGTAAGAATCTAGTATCTACTTTTTTATTTGCATCAATATTATGTTAAACACATTCTTTAATAAGACATTAAATTTCTTCAGGTTTTAAACTTGCACTCACAAAAATGATTTAATAATTTTAATTATTAGTTTATCCTAAGATGAATTAGATTAATTGCATTGTTTCAATTCTAGCTTAATTTTATTCATTCTATTCTAATAATTGATCAGCCTCATCAATTATTAAATACCTTAAATTCTATACATTTATTATACGATTCTTCAATCCAACTAACATTTTACTAGGATGACATAAGTAAACTTAACAATCAGCATCTTCTATTCTATTTTCTTTTACTAATTGAAATTACTATATAATAATGATTAATTTTTAATACATTATCTTTTGTAAATGCAAAGAAAGTTTAAAATTTTAAATTTTAATTCTTCAATCTTTCAGGTAAATGTTTTCTGAAATATTCCTCATGCTATTTCAAGTAAATAGTTTATCCCAAGACAATTGTATATGGATATAACATTCTAACTTCTTTCATTGTATTGTCTTTCTACTTAATTTATTTCTGTTCACTAATTTTTTGATTTTTATCTTTGAATTCTTAATATATGAGAGATTGGAAGCATAATGTCTTTCCACTTCCAGTTTGACTTCTTAAAGCAATCACAGGAGATTATTAATTTACTTCTTAACCTAGACAATAATTCATGAATTCATATTGATGAGCATAAACTTTTGGACCTACTTCTTTAAATTTATTAATGATGTCATCAGCTAATACTCCTTTTAAATCATCCCAATCTCTATCTTATTCTGTATTTTGATCCATAAATTAATTAATACAAAAAAATAATCAATAAAATAATACAATTAATTATTCTAAATGTTTTATGAAGATTATGGATAAGATGTTTATATCTTTGAGGAATAAACTATTGAAGAAATCTAAAATAATATTGAATTTACAACATTAGAGGAATACAAAAAGTTGACAACTTTTGAGAAAATTTACTAATAAAAGAGTCTTTATCAACATATTAAATCTTTGAAAAATGATTACCTAAAGAATATCTGCATTAAAGAATTGAGTAATTCACTAGTTGAAAATTGTGATGAGCAACTAGTAATTCAAGTTTATGATGATATTCTTGATACACCACTCAATGATTTACCTTTATAATTATTGAGTAAGAGTTCTTATGTAGTTTCTTCTGATATACCAGAAGTATTTTTATAGGAGTTTCCTCATTCAGTAAATAACAAATATGCATGGATTGATAAGGGAGATCAAATTCAATATGGATTAGAAAAACCATGTATTTTAATTTATCCAAATGTAATATTGGGAATGTAGAAAACATTCAATAAAACTGATCTTAAGTGTTAAGCTGATTTAGTATATTATAACAATCAATTATATCAAAATTAAACTGTATATTTTGAATAAAAGGGTATTCGAATTATGGGATAATAATTTAGCAAATTAGAAAAATTTTATGTATATTAATAAAGCAATAATATTGATAAAACTAAAACTAAATTATGTAAGAAATTATCAAAAAAAGGATTGATTCATTCATTATTAATATAATTAGCATAAGAGAAATTTGAGAATAAATCAAGTGTTAATATGTTATTATATGAGTGTTTATTATTTGAGAATTAAGATTGGTGTTAAAGAATTATAAGTTAGGATTGGCTCAATAATGTAATTACTTTATGTTTAGAAGATCCTAAAGATATATCTATATTTCATTAAGTAGTTTATGATAATCTATTATAAATTGATCTAAATAATTATACTGAATAATAAGTAGATTAATTACTATTGAGATTACATTAATATTATGAAGCTAATTCATTAGATTTGAAATAAAAGAAAGTGGAAAAGTAGCCACCAAAGAAGGTTGAAGAACCACCTAAGACAACTCAATAAACAACAAATTCTAATAATAAATAAAAGGGATCTAAACCAAAGGGAATTGGATATGGAGATATTAATTATTCATCAACTTATTAATCTTAATAGAAAAAGAAAGAAGTTTAAGTTTTGGATTCTGATTTAATTTATTAATAAGCTGAAGGATATAGATGGAAGATATTAAATGAAATATTTAAGAAATTAAAACACTTAAATCTTGATTATATTCTTATGATAGAAGATTCATGTCTTATACCAGTTATTAAAAGCATAATATCATCTTTAAGTAAAAGTCAAACAATATCAGATAAATTTGAAGTTATTTAGATAGTCTTTGTATTATTAAATAAGTTCTTAACCGAAGAAGCTATGCATCTATTTACTTGTAAAGATTATGGTGATATTTCATTATTTGAGGTTATACAAAAAGTTAATAATGAATCAGTATTTATTCAAAACAAAGATAATTAAGAATTAAATTAAAAGATTAAATAAAATTTTACAAATTAAGATACTCAATTAAGTGAAGTATTAAAAGAACTTCAAGATTTCTTTAATAAATTAATTATAATTTTAGAGCAGAATAAATATATTGATGTAAAATTTGAAGAAACTGAAACTTAATAAATATAGGATCCTGCATATTTATATCCTATGATTATGAAACCTTTAGTTTTGAGAACTAGTGAAGTAATTAAATAAGCAGGATGGAAAAAATAATTGGACGAAGCTTATTCTCATTTATCTTCATCACCTCCAAATAAGAAAATGAATAGAATCATAAAGGAATTGTCAGATATTGGTGAGAATTTGCCACTTTAATTAACTAATTCAATATTTTTAAGATATGATAAAGATAGAATGGATGCAATGTAAGCTATGATTTTTGGTTCAAGTGGAACACCTTATGCTCATGGAGCCTTTTTATATAATTTTTTATTTTGTGATGATTATCCTTCCAGACCTCCAAAATGTTTATTAGAAACTACTGGCCATGGAAAAGTTAGATTCAATCCTAATCTTTATAATTGTGGAAAAGTATGTCTAAGTTTATTAGGTACATGGGGAGATAATTGGAAACCTAATGAATCAACTTTATGGCAAATCTTAATTTCAATATAAGCAATGGTTATGTCTGAATATGTATATTTCAATGAACCAGGTTGGGAAAGTAGTATGGGAACAGTAGATGGTGAAAAGAATAATAGAGGTTATTGTAATATAGTTAAATTGGCTAATATTAGATATGCAATGATAGAATAATTATAGAAACCACCAGTTGGTTTTGAAGAAGTAATTTAAAAGAGTTTTTATTTAAGAAAAGATGTTATAATTAAAGAAGTTTAATAATGGATTGATGAAGCTGATTTGCCAGTTAATTATCATTGTACATAAAATCATAATATTTCTGCTCCATTTTAATAATAACCATAGAAATTTAAAAGCATTTTAACAGCAGAATTTGAAGCATTAAAAAAAGAACTTGAAAAATTAAAAGTTTGTATAACTCATTAATCAGATAAAAAAATATTGTCAATAATGTAGAGATAATCTTATACTCAAATATAATAAGAGAAAAAGAAATAACATGATAAGAAGAAAGAAGAAATAAGTGAATTTTTAAAAAGTCAATTGCCAGAGATAGATGTAAGTGAAAGTAATGTTAGTAATAGATAATTTGATATACAGAATGCAGAGGTTTAAAATCTTATGTCTAGATATATAGGTGTTATGGGTTTAGATTCTGTTAGTAAATAATCATAAGCAAGTGTAATCATATATGGATTGGGAGCATTAGGTATAGAAACAGCCAAGAATCTAGTTTTATCAGGTTTGAAAAGATTAACAATAATAGAAGACAAGAAACTCAATAATTAGGGATAGTTTTTTGTTTAAAATGAAGATTCAACTAGATTAGAATAGAGTTTGCTTCATTTATAAGGATTAAATCCTTATGTTCAAATTGACTATTCTAATGATATTATATCATCTATTAAGAGTTAGAATTATTAAGTAGTATGTTTATGTGAAGTAGATTCACTTAAAGATATCAATATTATATCATAAATCTGTAGAGAATATAAAATTGGTATGATTGTATCATAATTGGTTTCTGTTTATGGAAGGATTATGATTGATCTAGGAGATTAATTTATTGTTAATGATGCTGATGGAGAATAAGTTTAAGAATTTATTATTGAAAATATAGATTAAGAATAAGGTATTATTGAAATTAAAGGAAAACATAATTTAAGTCCAAATGATGTTATAGAACTTAAAGAAATTATATAAGAAAATGGAAAATCACTCAATAATTAATAATTAAATGTTGTTAAAGTAATCAATAAATCAACTATATTTGTTGGAGATCTTAGTTAATTTGGTAAATATTTAAGAAATGGAAGAGGATAGACTGTTAAATAAAAGATTATTCTATAAAATAAATAAATGAGTACAATTATAATAGATCCAATATTTGATCCAAATTTTATTTTGGATGAATAGAAATTTACAATTATTAATGAGTAAATGAATAGATATTCTAATTAAAGTGGAGATATTAATGAATTATTCTAAAAAACTGGGAATCAAATATTTCCACCATAAGCTGCCTATTTAGGTGGAATAGTTTGTTAAGAAATTATTAAAGCAATTACTCATAAATATATGCCAATTAGATAATGTTATTTTCATACATGTGAAGAATTATTAGATGGTAATCATATATTAGGAAAGGATTTATAATTGGCTATTGAAAAATGTAAAGTACTTTTGATTGGAGCTGGAGCTATTGGATGTGAATTATTAAAGAATTATGCAATGATAGGATTAGGAATTAATGGGAATATTATTGTTACTGATCCTGATGTAATTGAGAAATCTAATTTAAGTAGATAATTTCTATTTAGAGAAAAACATCTTAGACAACCAAAATCATATACTGCTGCCAGAGCTTGTATGAAAATGAATCCTTAAATGAAGATTGTTGCTAGATTAGATAAAATCTCTCCATAAACAGAACGTTTATATACTAATGTATTTTAATATGTAGATATTATAACTAATGCACTTGACAATGTTTAAGCCAGATTATATGTTGATTCATAATGTATTGAACATATGAAACCTTTACTTGAAAGTGGTACTTTAGGACCAAAGGGACATGTTTAAGTCATATTGCCTAATTTAACAGAAAGTTATGGTAGTAAACAAGACCCAGAAGAAAATAATGAGATACCTTATTGTACTCTCAAAATGTTTCCTGAAGATAGTAATCATTGTTTAGAATGGGCTAGAGATAAATTTGAAAAACTATTCACAACTAAAATATAATAAATTAGATAAACCTTTTTATTTAAAGATTTCACTATTGAAGGATTAGAGACAACTCTTAAATTCTGTTAAAATATGCCCAAAAATTTTAATGATTGCATTTAATATGCTCTTAATAAATTCTATAAATACTTTGTATATGGAATTATGGATCTATTGAAGGCATATCCATTAGATCATGTTGTTAATGGAAAATTGTTTTGGTCATCTCCCAAAAGGCCTCCATAGATATTTGAATTTAAAGGTGAAGAAATGTAAATGAAATTTATTTAATCTGTATCTTAATTATATGCTACAGCTTTGGGTATTGAAATTCCATAATAAATTGATTATGAATAAACACTTAAGAATATAAAACCTAAAGAATATAAAGAAAACAAAGAAAAATTATAATAGATATAAGATTAAGTTTAGAAAGATGCATAAGCTAAAGTACAAGAAGAAGGAAATCAAGATAATTAACAGTAAAGTTAATAAGAATTAATCAATCAAATAATTGAATATTTTAAAGATTATTATGAAATGACAGATTCAACCCCAAAATTATTGAAATCTTTAGATTTTTTACCTTAACCTATATAATTTGAGAAAGATGAAGATGATAATCATCATGTAGAATTTATTCAAGCTGCCTTGAATTGTAGAGCTTAAAATTATGGTTTAGAACCTTTGGATTGGTTAACCACAAAGTTAAAAGCAGGAAGAGTAAATATATATATTAATATATTAGATTGTTCCTGCAATGGCTACAACAACAGCATGCATAGCAGGTTTATAAACTATAGAATTAGTAAAAGTAATTAAAAAGTTAATGATTGATGAGAACTTAAAATTAGAAACTTTTAAGAATATGTTTTTGAATTTAGCTATTCCATATGCACTTCAATCAGAACCTGGAGAATGTCAATATGAATAAATAAACGGTAAAAATTTTTCATTCTGGTCAAAATGGGATGTACATTTTAGTTCTTAAGTAAATAATTTAGAAAAGTTTATAACATATACAGAGTAGGAATTTGGTGAAAAAGTCACTTGTATCAAATAAAAAGCTAAGTTACTCTATTCTCCAATTATGTTCAACAGTAAAGAAGAGGAATAAAACTTATTATAAACACCAATCTATTTGCTGTTTGAAATTCAAGACTTTGAAGAATATGTAGAGTTAGATATAACCTTTTAAAAAAGGATAAAATGCAGATTTTATTATTGAAATATAATAATAAAAATATATATTATGATTTTAATATTATCCCTATTTAGAACCGTGATATGCGATATTCGAATAGTGCATGATCAAACAAGATAACCATATATATTTTAATGGGATTCAACTTAGATAGGATCAGGAGTTGTGTCTTAATATTGTCCTTTAGGAATAAATAAATATCTTTATGAACAATCTAATGAAGATTATTATTACTTTTTATAAAGTGGATATTTTGGAGATAAATAAGAATTATTATACCTCATATATATGGAAATTCAATTTGAATAAAGGTTAATTGTATTTCATATACAATTGAATCTAGAAGGTAAATGGGTAGAAAGTACTTTCTCATTTCAACCTTAGGAAGTTGAAGGCATCATAATTAGCACAATAATAAATTACTCAGAATCAGGTTTAGTCTATTTAGAATAATTATGGGGTGATAATAATAGAAGAAGCTATTCATATCCATATACTTAATTCCCTAATTATTAAGTAACATAAATATCTGGAGGAATATATTCAGTAATAAATATTAAAAATTTAGGATATAAATCCAATAACAAAAAACAAAATAATATTAAAATAATTTTCAGGGAAAATGAATGCAGCTATATTAATAAAAGATGATATCAAATATTTATGGAATGGATTTCCTTATTATTAAGGTTCAAATGTAATTTTATTATAAAAGGAAAGTATAGATTTGTAAGAAAGAGTTTCAAATTAATTTTATACTATTTCTACCTAAACTCAAAAGGACTATAGTGTATCCTTTTGGGTGAAAGCATAATCAATATATGATAATAATTTTGATTAGATATTACATATATTAAGAATAGTTGCTAATCGATTTACATAAGACTTTAAGGCCACTGGTTCTAATTCATTTATATTAGATTATGTCTATAATAAATAAATACAGTAATGGATATTAAGGATCAATTTTTATTCTTATATTATTCCTGTTCTTGTTCGTTAAATTCCAGATGATAGTTTACTAACAATTACTAAAGAGATTATAATAGATAATTATTAATACATTAATACATGGCATTATGTAATTATTGATTATTCACAAAACATTATGAATTTTTATTTTGAGAATCCATAATTCAATTATATAATTAATAAACAATATGAAAATGTATATTAATACTAATTAATTTATTATCGTTTATTTTTAGGAGGTACTATAATTGATAAAAATTCATTAACAAGATCATTTGCTCTTATTTCCTTTTAAGATTATACTGGATCTAATATAAAATGTCATTCCTCATGCCAAACATGTTTTGGTCCCTTTAAAAATAATTGTTGGAGTTGTCCATCAGATTCTAATCGAGTATATGATCCAAAAGATTCTACTTGTTAATGTTAATTATGGTATGTAGAATTCTTTGAATAAAATTGTAAATTATTATCTAATGATTATATTGAAATAAAATTAGAGGAAAATATATAAAAGGAATAAGACTTAATATTGAATTGTAATTTTGGAGAGTTTGAATATGATTAGAATTGTTATTAATGGTAATATATATATTTATTATTAAAGTCCATCTGCAAGTCAAGATAATTAAATTATATGTTCAGCTTGTTTAATGAGACCAAAAGATTGGATCTAAAATAATCCAGTATGTTTTGATATCTATTATTAATATGAAAATAATCCTAATTATGAATATGTGTAAATGATGACAGATTAAGATATATCAAATCAACACTATATATTTGAAAATGATGAACTTTAACCATGTTATGGTTGCAAATTATGTTAAGATAAATAGGATAGTACATGTCAATTATCCTCATATTTTCATTTATATAAAGAAACTTACATACAATGTTTATAAGGATATCAATTTAACAATGGAAAATGCATAAAACAAAAAAAGAATTTAGATATAACAAATATATCATGTTAAAATAACTGTTTAAAATGTAGTGATGGATAATGTTTAATTTGTTCAAATAATATTCAATTTTTTATAAATTATATGGGATAGTGTCAGCTTTGTTCAATTAATAATTGTAAATATTGTTTCTAATATAATTCATTAAATCTAATTGAGAATTCAATTTTAAGAAATGCCTTTTAAAAAACAAAACTATCTGATGATTTTGAAGTAGGTTGTGCTTAATGTTAATAAGGATATATTTATTCATTTCGATTTAAATAATGTCTTCCTTAATACAATTCAATTGATTGTTAAAGTTACATAAATGATTCTGATGAACTTTAATGTTATTCAACTAAATTTGATTAATTAATTAATTAATTTTAATAAATTCAAAATTGTTAAGAATAATTACCAAATTGTGATTAATGTATCTATACAAAATTTAGTATACTAGCATGCATAAAATGCTCTCAAGGTTTTTATATTAATAAAATAAATGGATTATGTAATAAATGTGTTGATGATTAGACTTAAGATTGTTAGTTAGTTGACTTTTCTCATTCATTTTCAAAATTACATTTAATTGGCTTTCTTTAGCATTATACTTAAAATTTCAATGATATATAAACTATTTTTAATGATTTTAATTCTATTGATGTTCTAGAATGCAAATAAAATTATTTTGTAGATACAATATAAAATTAATGTATTGATTAATGTACTAATTGTGATTAATGTGCCTTAATACATGGATAAAAATAGTGTCTCAAATGTACTATAGAATCCAACTAATTTAATTTTTATTCTCAAAAATAAGGTAATTGTTATCGATGTCCTTAGTTATGCAAATTTTGTTTATAAATTGATTTAGATTTAATAAAAGTAATACTTCATTATAAAATTAGTCATATAATCCTTACTTTTATGTTACAGAATCAAGCAAAACATAGGCTATGAAATGTCTTATTAATTATGATTAAAACCTAACATACATTGATTATATTAGTGGTTTAATCAAACCTTTTAACAACATTACAAAATAGAGACAAACATTTTCAGTTTATGTTGAATAAAAAATCTATTATATATCAGATTTTGAAGATATAATTTTTAAAAGTGTAGGCAAAATCTCTTAAATTATTTATCCTGGAGGTTTTCACATATACTCTCTCTTAAATTATTACTATTCAGTAAAAAATTTTACATTAAATATAAAAATTGAAAATAATTATGCAGCCCCATTAACTTATATTTCAAATGCATCTGAGGTTAGAGCCTACTAATTAAATATAAAAAATGATAAAAATAATTTTGATATTAGCTCAAATTTTGGAGTTAAATTTTATGCTGAAGATTGCATAATTTAAAAATTTAATTTAATTTCAAAAACTTTATTTACAATTAATTAACCACTTTTAACCAATTTTACTCTTTTTAATATATATGATATAAGTTTTTTGAATTCTTAAGTCATAATAGTCAATAGTCATTATAATAATTCTAATATAATATTATAGCATTTTCTATATACTAATTGCACTTTTTTAAATAGCACCTTTATTTTGCATTCTTCTGAATAACATGATAGTGTATTTATACATAACATGACATTTATAAATTGCACATTTATTTTAAGTACATGTTTCAGTCAAAAAGCATTAGTTATTATAAATATTGTATAAATGAATCGAATAAAATTCATAAATTGTACTTTTAAGGATAGTATGATATTTTAAATAAGTGAAAACATTAATTCCTTTTCCATTAAAGATTTTCAGGTAATAAATTCATCATTTTACAATTCCTCACTAGTATTAGGTCTTTAAAATCTTATACTAGATTAAGTTTTATTGAATAACTTAATAGTAATAGATAGTAATCTATTCCTTTATTCATACTCTACAACTAACTATACAATAATGATTACTCATTTAGTATGTTAAGGACTTTTATTTAATAAATCAACAATTCTTCTAATAGAAACTCTATAATAATTTATTTAAATAAATGTTATCATATAAGATTGGAATTTAGAAGGGATCAATTTAATGGTGACTAATGAAATTATTAGTGATAATTCTATACTGAAATTTAATAATGTGAATAGTTAGATAAAAAATCTTAGAATATAAAATAGTATATTATATACTTTACTTATTTTTTAAAATTGTCAACAAGTAATTTTAAATAATATCTAAATTTCTTAAATAGAAAACTAAGTATAATAATAAGATAAAATTAGTAGATATAAATATTAAAGATATGTTTTGTATATTTCTGAATTCAATTATTTGACAATCACTTAATTATAAATTTTACATTGGATTTAAACAAGTGATTCATTTTTAATAATAAGATGTGACTAATAAATTTCTAATTTCATTTTGATATCAGAATTATAAATTTAATATTATACTAGAATTAATATAATCAATTATAATATAAATCCAGCTATTTTTATTCAAATTGATAATCAAGTAAAAATAAGTATAACTAATTTTAATATTAAACAATGTAACTTTTGGTCACCATTTCCCAATAAAGAAATGATGGAAGCAGCATTATTATAAATAAAATCACCTAAATCTTAAGTTATTTTTGATAATTTAACCTTTGAAAAAGCTAATGTATATAATTCTTCTAATTCAATTGTAGTAATTGATGCCACAACTATTTTAATGTTGAACACACAAGTAGATGACATCAATAATCTAAATAATATTAATTTATTATATTCAACTTGTGGATTTGTCATTTTTATGGCAGAATAAATTAAAATTATGAATACAATTATGAGCAATATTAATAGTGCATAATATGGATTTATATATATTTAAATGAAATAATAAGGAAATCTTTAAGTTTAAAATTGTGTATTCAATAGTACAAAACTAGCTAACACTAATATATATTAGACATAATTAGGAGGAATATTTACAATTGATGGATAATTATCATTGTTATAATTAAGTTTTATTAATATAACAGCAATAAATATATATGCAGAAAAAAAATCAGCCTTTTTATATTTAATTCCATCTTCAATATCAAATTAGATATTAATGAAGAATTTAAGTTTCAAAAACTTAATATCAGCAGATAATTTGTTTTGTAAACTCAAATTTCCTTCTAATAGTTAAAACAATAAAATTGAAATAGATTAAATTTTAATTAATAATAATGAGAATAGCACTCTTTTATAATAGCTTATTAGAACGTTAAAGTAAGGACAAAGTGGAAATAATTATGAAGGACTTATTTCATCTTCTTTTAGGTATATTTCATAAATTATAATCTAGTTCTGTCTCATTTAATAATTTTATATATGAAGGTTATTTAACTCAACCAATTTGTTAATTAAATGTAATATAAAGTCTCAAAATTAGTAATCTAAAATTTGTATCATTATCTATTTTAAATCAAATTGAATATTTGATTAATATAGATATTTAGAATGCAGATTTAGTTATTTTTCAAAATTTCTTTTTTTAGAAAATAAATTTATTATATTAATTAGGACATTTCTTGAAACTTAATTATACTTCAGTTAAACATCCAATTATATCTAATTAAATGTATTTCATAAATAATTTATGTCTTTAATGCTAAAATGGATTAATTACAATTATAAATAATCTAAATTAATCTAAAGTAATAATGACTGATTACATATTTTATGACAATAATTGTGGTTTAAATAGCTGTTTAATTTTTAATAATCTTTAATTAAGAATACATAATTCTGTTTTTATGAATAATTTAGGTGAAAATAATGCAATTTTATAGGGAATTAAAAGTATATTATTATTAAAGAATGACATCTTCAAAAATAATTAAATTAAAAATCAAGCAGGAGCAATATTATTAAATGAATCTATAATTGATGCTTAAAATTTAATTATTGTTAATAATTCTGCTAATATTGGAGGAGCAATTTATTATGATAATTCCAAATTAAATAAAGAGATAAGAAGAAAAATTTTATTTTTAGAAAATTATGGATTTGTAGGATTAAAGAATATCCGAGAATAAGCAGATTTTTTAAAATTGAATATGTTTGGATTTTCAATAAAAAATACAAGATAAATATAAAATGATTAAATATATGATGCTCCATCTTATATAATAAATCATAATTTAATGAGAATTAACAAAACCTTTATTTCAGTTGCTAGTGGCTAAAAATTAAATGAATTTTAAGTTTTTGATAATAGACTAATGTAATATTCTAATTATACTATATAATTATAAATTGAATAATATACATAATTAGGTGAAAAAATTATTGATGATTAGGGAGATATATGTTAAATCATTTAATATTAGGTAAATTCTGAACTAAATTAAACTAATTATGAAATTTTATCATAATCTCCAAAAGAAAATGTGACTTTATTATAGTTTGATACAATCTGGGAATCATATAAACTTGATAATTTCAGTTTTTATTTAGATCCTTATTCTAATTAATCAATATTTTTGTTAATTGTAATAAAATGTGATAAAATGCCTTAAAATTACAATTTCATCTTTAAAATAAAAACATTACCTTGTGGAATTGGAGAATACTATAGTAAAAAATAGTGTTTAAAATGTGATTTTGATAAAGGGTATTATTCAGTAAGAAAAAACTCTGTAGAATGTTAAAGACTAGATCCAACCAAAATGAAATCAGTGACCTCATATTAAATAGAGTTACTTACTGGATTTTGGAGACATACTTATTATTCTCATTATGTTGAGTAATGTGAGAATTCTGCTTCTTGTTTAGGAGGATGGAATGTTGATTATGAATCATGTTCTATAGGATACATTGGAGCTATTTGCAATGAATGCGATATTTATAATATTAGAGGACAATATTCTTATATCAAATCTTTATCAGGAATATGTTAAAAGAAAGAGAAACAATAAGAAATCTTCTTAATAACCTTTGTTTTAATGTTATTGTAATTAATCATTTGATATTAGTATCTTTGTTATTACCTATGTGATATCCTTACTTAAATCTGAGATGCACATGATGTTTAAACGAATGAAGTAGTTGACAATACATTATAGAATATTATTTCAATGTGAAATAGGTATAAATTTAATGATTCTGAAGATCAATTGAATACAAGTTTAAAATTGTTTATAAATTTCATGTAAATTTTATATCCAATATTGTAACCCTTAAAATTTAGTGATGATTTTGCTAATATTGCTTGGCCAATAGGAAAGTCATCAAAAACATTATTATTTTTAATTAATTTTGTAGCTGATGAATTCGAAATTGAAATTCTTTACTTAAAAATGGTATGGGCAATGCTTATTCCAATAATTTAAATAGTTATTCTATTGTTCTTTTACACTTTCATAAAAAGGATTATTAACAACTCTCATATTTAACTAATGTTTATTTAGGCATCTTGTATGTTTTTATTGTTTTATTCAATGCCAAATATTATGGAAGAGTATTAATATTTAAATATATTTAGATTAACTATTCTTATTTAAAGAAGAACCATTGCTAATATTGATTGGATAGGAGCAAATTTAGCATATTAATATTAAACATAGGAACACAAGAATTGGATATGGTAGTTCGTAATACCATCCATGGTGCTAATATTTTTGGTATTTCCTATTATATTTTTCACATTTATTTTTAAATAGAATAAAAAAACAAATTTCGATATAACTTATGGAATTTATGGGTATTTATGTAGTGATTATAAACCACATCTATATTATTGGGAATTAGTAACTTTGCAAATGAAATAAACATTAATCTTTATTCTATTCTTTCTTGATAATGAAAAGATCATCTTGAAAAATCTTATAACAATTGTTATTTTGTTAGGATATTATGCATCAATTTCTACTTTAAAACCTTTATCAAAATCAAACTTAAATCACCTTGAAAAATCTGGAATAATCTTATGTTGTGTATTTATATCATTAAATATCTTAACTTTGGCATCTTAGAAATATTCTTATATAGAAGTACAATATTTAACTCAAATTTTAATGTTGTTAATAGTATTATTTATTATACTATACACATTACTTAAAATAATGATAGTCTTTTTAAATAAATACTAAGATTTATTTGATAAAATAAGAATAGAAATTAATTTAAGATATCCTAATTTAAAAAATTAATGCTCATTTTTTAAAAAACATTTAAAATGTAGGTCTGAAACTAGAATAAACATTATTAATAAGTTTAAACGAATTAAATAATAACTTAGACTTATGAAACAAAATAACATTAGAATTATTAGGAATACTATAAACATTCATGATGAATTAGTGACTAATATCTAAAGATCTGATCATAGACAATTGATACAACAATATTCAATACAAAACTCGTTTATGTTTTGAAATCAATCATTATTAATATATTAAATATATAAAAGTTTATAAAATTTGTTTATAAATATATATATAAATATATCCTTAATCATAATAAAATTCTAATTTAAATAACTTTTTTTGATTATATTTATAAATATTGATTATTGATTAATAGAAATATTTTTAGTAGAATAGAATTAAATAAGTAATAATACATTCATATTAGAAAAGAAAACTAAAAATAATTGATATTATCAATATTAATAATTATTATTATTGATAATATCAAATACAATCTACATTTAATATGATATTATATTATTATTTAATAATCTAACTTAAATATGTAACCAATAGCTAATAGAATGTTAAATTACTTGTAACCTCAAATGTATGCCAAGTTTACCATGTTGGCAAACTAAAAGGGATGTGTAAATTTAGGCCAAGGATTTCCAAATTTCCCATCCCCATAAATGTTAAGAGATGCTCTTTCAGAAGAAGCATAAACAGAATCTCTTTAATATACAATGACATCTGGACATCCAAAATTGTTGAATTCAGCTTCTAAATTCTTTGAATAACAAATTGGATGCAAAGTTAATGTGGATAAAGAGATTATGGTCAGTTCAGGTGCTTAGGCAGTCTTGAGTTGTGTAATGTAAGGAGTACTTAATCCAGGAGATGAAGTTATATTATTTGATCCTGCCTTTGGTATTTATAATATCCTAATTTAGATTTATACAGACCTATGATAGAATTCTAAGGTGCAAAACATATTGGAGTCCCAATTATCCCAAAAAAATTAAATAACAAATAGGAAATCATCAAAAGATACAGAAATGGAAAATTCTAATACTCATAGGATGATGATTGGGAATTAGATTTCAATTATTTAGAAAAAGTAATCAATAAAAAGACTAAGCTACTTTTATTGAATTCTCCAATGAATCCAATAGGAAAGTAATTAAGTAGATTATTGTAGAGTATTCAGTACAGAAGAATACAATTAATTAGCTGATATTCTTGATAAACATCCTCAAGTAGTTGTTTGTGAAGATGCAGCATATCATCATATTACTTTTGGAAAATATCAACCTTTTAATTATCCTAGATGCATTACTCATCCAAGATTAAAGGATAAAACTGTTTGTGTTACAAGTGCAGGAAAAATGTATTCAGCCACAGGATTAAGAATTGGATTTGCTGTAGGAAATGAAGAGATCATTAAAGGGATAAAGGCAGCATAAACTTATCATATATTTTGTTTAAATCCTGTAATACAGACTGCAACAGCAAGATGTTTAGATTAAACTATAGATGGAAAGTACTTTTAATCTGTTAAGAATTTATATGAAGAATAAGCAAATATGTTATTAAAAGGATTAGTTGATAGTAGATTAAATATGAATTATTGGGTTCCATAAGGAGGGTATTTCGTAGTCACTGATATTTCAGAAATCTAAATACCTGAGAAATATTTCAATGACAATGGAGTTAGATTAACTAGAGATTTTGCTTTTGCTTATTACATGATTAATGAATTTGGAGTTGTTTGCATTCCTTGTTCTCCATATTATGAGAATAAAGCTTTAGGTCAGAATTATGTTAGATGGGCATTCTGTAAAACAAGTGAAACCATTTAAGACGCCATCAATCGCTTAAAGTGATAATATCAATTATTTATATAAATTAATGAATGAGCTCACTGATGGTATTCTTATTTCTATTTTAGGGGAACTCTTAAAACGAAGAGATTCCATCAAAATAGTATTCTTCATTGAATTTTCATAGCTGTTCTATGCTTTTTTGAAACTAATTGCTGTAATAAGTATCTTAACAAGTACATCAGAATGCTAACTATTTTATTATTTTCTTTTGTTACTAATAACTGACATTATTTGTTCAATAGTAAATTTAATTGCTCTTGGGAATCTCTATTATTGTGACTATTAATCAATATATAGAACCTTGGAAAATATAGAGAATTAAAGAATATTATTGTAATACAATAATGACGCTTATATTGATTTTATGACATTGTTAGAAGCCATTTCAAATAGATATTAATTGCTCTATAATATAATAGCATTATGTTATTTAGCTTTGTCAATATATGGGATTTATAACATAATTGATTAAAAATGTAGTTATGAAGATGGCAGTGCAGCAACTGCAATTACATTTATTATACTAAATTTAGTCTATTTTCTAAGAAAATTGTACTTGTTTATAAGATTATATAAAAAGTATTAAATTTACAATATAATTGTATAAATATATTATTAGTTTTTAGAATGTAAATGCTTAATAAGAGGATGATTGTTGTATTTGTTTATAATTATTATCTTAAAAAGTTGCTTAATTATAATGCAAACATAAATTTCATCTTATATGTATTTAGGAATGGTTTAAAACAAAAAGTACTTGTCCTATTTGTAAAAGGGAATATGAAATAATGTATTCCCATAATAATTGATGATAATTGTTATATAAAATGTGATATCTCATTTATAAATACTAATTTAATAAAAAATGTAATAAAAGTAATCTAAAAAATCTAAAGAAGAAGAACCAATTTTTAATGGATCATTCAAAGACTAAAGTGATGATGAAAATGATGATAAAAGAAAGAAATAAACTCTGATTATGAATGTATCTGGTAATTTATGAATATAAAAAGAGATACAAAATATGATGTTGTTAAATTTGTTGGGAAAAAGATATTTAAATGGATATTATAATATGAATTAGATGGAGTCAATTGGGATATGTTTTGGACGGATGCAGCTGTTTAACCAGAAACATTAGGTAAAATGCAACGTAAATTTGTTAAATAATATTTTAAAAAGCTCATCAAAAAATAAATCACTTTCCTGGAATGTATTCACTTGCACGTAAAAATCATCTTGGTAGAAATTTAATGAAAATGAGAAAATAATTTCCAAATGATTATAAATTCTTTCCTTAAACTTGGTTATTGCCAGCAGAATATGGAGATTTTAAAAATTAATTTGTAAAAGGAAAAGTAAGAACATTCATTGTAAAACCAGAAGCAAGTTGTTAAGGAAGAGGTATATTTCTGACAAGAAATATTAATGATATAAATCCAACTGATCATTATGTGGCATAAAGATATATGCATAGACCATTTTTGATTGATGGATTAAAATTTGATTTAAGAGTTTATGTATTATTGGCTGGAACAGATCCTATGAGAATATATGTATATTAAGATGGATTAGTAAGATTTGCTACTGAACAATACGTTACTCCAACTACAAATAATCTAGAAGATGTTTGTATGCATTTAACTAATTATGCTATCAATAAGGAGAATCCAAACTTTGTTTTTAATAATGATGCAACTAAAATGGATGTTGGTCATAAAAGGTCTATTAAATCAGTATTTGGTAAATTAGAAGAAGAAGGACATAATATTACGAAATTATGGTAAGATATGTATAAATTATTCATTAAAACATTCTGCACTGTCTAACCTATTCTAAATCATCATTATAAATCATGTTAACCTGATAATTATGCTAATAATATGTGTTTTGAAATTTTAGGATTTGATATCTTTATTAATGATAAATTGAGACCTTCTTTATTAGAAGTTAATCATACACCTAGTTTTACTACAGATACACCATTAGATTCATTAATAAAAAAGAATCTAATAAGAGATACATTAAAATTGATGAATGTAAGTCTTAAAGCTAAAGAAGAAATAATATCATCAAGAAGAGAATAATTATAATAAAGAGTATTGACAGGAAAAAAGTAGAAATTAACATTAGAAGAAAAATAATTACTTATTAAATAATTTTCAGAATAAAGAGATTAATATGAAAATAATAATTTAGGAGATTATGTTAAAATATATCCATTAGAAGATTCTCATGAATATAATAAATTCATTGAATTTGCTTCTTAATTATAAGATAATTGGACTGGAGCAAGTAAATTATAATATTGTAATTTAATAGATATTAGAAGAAATTAGAAGAAAGAACAATCTGAAACTTAATAATTTTAAATTAGTAAACCTCCAACTATTCCTGTTAAAAAACCAAATACTCCTTAAATGTTACCAAAAATTAGTGAAAGATAAAATAGAATTCATTAATCAATTGAACCAAATGCAGAAATGAAAAGCAAAACATAATCAAGCTTAGGAAAAAATATAAAAGAATCTAAAAGATAAGTATCTGATCCACCTTTACCAAAATAACATCAAAGTATGAGAAATGTTTAATAACCACCTTAATAATAATTGCAAATAAAATCATGTTTATAACCTAAATTATTTGAATTAGACATATTAAGCTCTCAAAATAGATCAAATTCTTAAAATAAAAAATTAAACTAATTCAAATTACAATGATATCTTTATATTCACATTATTATTTTTTATTCACTATAAATGTTTACAGTGATATTAAGTACATATTTATAATAGTAATTTCTAAATATATTAAATGAGTAGTGTTATACAATTAAACTCAATCTCTATTAAAAATGAAACTAATTGTGGATATTGCAATGGAGGTAAGTCTAATAAACTCTGGGTAACATCAGGATTTTATTGTTACAAAATGAAGGTTGATGAATATTAATAATTAATGGATAGAGGATGGAGAAGATGTGGAGTCTATTATTACAGACCAGCTCTAGCTTAGAGTTGTTGTTAAGCTTATGCACTCAGAGTAGTTGCCTCTAAGTTTTAATTGAGACTAACTCATGAAAAGGTTTTGAAACGGATTATGAGAATTAAACCTGTTGTTCTTGATAATAACAATCTTCCTCTATAATAAGAATAGAAAGATTAAATACAAAACAATGCAATTACAGATTTAATAAAATAGTAAATTTAAACTGACCTTGATTTAAGTGATTTGATAATTTTACCAAAAGTTGGTCAACAGTATACTTTTAAAAGTATACAATATAAAGAAGAAGACCATATTAAATATTTTAAATACATCATAATAAACACTTTACAAAAGATAACAAAATAGTAGTTGAATCAAACTTTTGCAATTGAAAAGGAAGAATATTCTAACTTACTTTATTAAAATTTTATAAATTCAATTTCAGAACTATAAATTTATGAAATTTTATTAATTAAAGGTTATTTAAATAAGGTAGAAAGTGATTGGGTCTTTGGATGTAATTTAATTCCTTACTTTTATTCGAAAATTACTACAATCCTAAAAAATTTAAATTTAACATTTTTAAAACTTGAAGAAAATAATAAATACATTGAACTAATTCAAAATTAATTATTAAATCTTGGCTTTGATTTTAAAATATCAGAATAAGATCATTAATTATTGATTAAAACTCCTTAGACTTTAAAAGAAAAAATATTAAAATCTAATGTTTTATATTATCTGTAGAAATTCGATTTACAATTTAATCAACCATAAGAGACACAAACTAAGAAACATCATGAAATTTAAATTAAATGGGTTAAAGCTTAATTCTAAGATGATAGTTTTGAAGTATATAAAAAATATCAAAAGTCTGTTCATGATAAAGAAAGAGTAAGCAAAATGAGTTATATTAATTTTGTTTGTGTTGATGCTCTTGATAGTTAAGAATTAGGATGTTGGCATATGAAATATTATCTAGAAAACTAATTGATTGCAGTTGGAGTAGTTGATCTCCTACCTCAATCAGTATCATCTGTATATTTTTTTTATGATCCTGATTATAAAAAATATTCTTTAGGAGTATATGGAGTTCTATCAGAAATTAAGTATATTTAAAAAAAACAAATTACAAGCCCATAATTATAATACTATTATATGGGATTTTACATAATGGATAGTAAGAAGATGGCTTATAAAGCAGAATATACTCCTTGTGAATTACTATGTCCTAGAACTTATAGATGGGTTTCATTAACTAAAGAAATAAAAGAAAAAATTGAAAAAATAACAGTTTATGTTTAGGATGTTGGATTAGTAGATTAAAGAGAATAGGAAAATGGTTAGAATATGAATATTGATAGATGTACAATAGATGATATGAGCTTTTTAGATGTTGACATTGAGAATTTTATTCAATAAAATGTTAAGATTTCATAAACAGGAAAATAATTTACAATTTCATAACTTAAGAAAAACTATTAACAATATTTTATGAATTTATTTAAGGATTTTTTGAAAAAAATAGGTAAAGAATTAATGAAGGAGTTTTTATTTGCAATCAATTGATATTATATTTTTAATCAATCAAATTGTATTAAATCATTTATAATATTCAAATACCTTAATATAATTTACTTTTAATTTTTGGATAACATTCTTTACAATAGAATTTTAATATATAAAATTATTATTTATAAAACTGATACACAATAATGGATTTAATATTTATTTAATTACTTAAATACATTATTAATCAATTCCATTTGATTATATTTCTTTAATTTAAATATATAAAAAAATTATGTTTATTTCATACATCATAATCATAATTGTAAGAATGTTTATATAAAGATAATTAATTATTCTAAAGATATTACACTACTATATTTTATCAATTTATTAAATTCAAAACTAAATACTTTTTAATGATTTGAATTATAATAATTAATCAATTGCAATAGTGTCTTCTTAAATCCTAAACTTTCTATAATTCAGCAACCCTTTCAATAATTTCATCTTTGATTCGTTATTTCAATTTTGGTTCATTTAAGTATTCAATTTCTTAAAGAAATTCCTATCTTTCTTCAATTTCTTTCATAATAGATGAGAATAGCACTTCTAATTCAATTTAAGGATCACCTTATAAAGTAGTTGCATCTGATTAATTATCAGATTTTAGACCTGTAAAGTATAAGTCTTTTTTATGCATTTTCTTGATAGCATTAGAGGTAGTTTCAGAATCTTTTAAGAAAGCATCATCATTTTTAATATTGATTTCAGGTAATTCTGCACCTTTAGGTAATGCTCCCCTTTTATATTTAAATACTCTTTATAATTATTCTATCAATTTTTTTCTATCTTATCCTTAAACAGCAGGTCTGAAAAATTTTCTGCCTTCATAATATTTTTCAATTTCCTTTCTGATTTCAGCTTCTGGTTTTCTTTTTTGAATAAAATCAATAGGATAATATTATTATTTTTGTTTAGGTTCTTCTTTTGGATAATCAATAACAGTTTTTTATGGACAAGACTTTTAGGTTTTCATCTTTTCAGCATCTAACTACTCTTATGTTTTTTATTTAGGTTTAGGATAATTAATTTTAGGTTTTTCATGAGCATTATATAATCCAAAGAGTTCCTTTCCTAATGAAGTTTCTTTTCCAAATATCTTGTACAAACTCTTCCTTTCTTCTTTAACCTATGGATCATCATCATCAGGTAAAAATTAATTATTCATTTATATATTTTTAATAAATGCAAGAAAGATAAATGAGTGAAGAAGTAAGGAATGATAATCCTTACAGTAGATTAATGGCATTAAAGAGAATGGGAATTGTTTAGAATTATCAATAAATAAAAGAGTTTACTGTATTAGTAGTTGGTGTAGGTGGAGTAGGATCAGTTTTATGTGAAATGTTAACACGTTGTGGAATTGGTAAATTGATTATGTATGATTATGATAAAGTAGAATTAGCAAATATGAATAGGTAATCAAATAACTCTAATTTTTAGATTATTTTTCACACCATAACAAGTAGGATTATCAAAGGTTGAGGCAGCAAAATAAACATTATTGAATATTAATCCAGATGTTGTGATTGAAGCTTACAATGAAAATATCACATCAGGAACAGGCTTTAATTAGTTATTGGAGAGAATGTAAAATGGTGCTCTTAAAGGTGGACCTGTCGATCTTATTTTAAGTTGTGTTGATAATTATGCTGCACGTATGACAATTAATAGTGCTTGTAATGAACTTGATTAAGTTTGGATGGAGAGTGGTGTATCTGAAGATGCAATGTCTGCACATATCTAATTGATAATTCCAGGAGAAACAGCATGTTTTGCATGTGCAGTTCCAATAGCTGTAGTTGAAAATAACGAATAATAAATTAAAAGAGAAGGTGTATGTGCAGCCTCATTACCAACAACTATGGGTATTACTGCTGGATTCTTAGCTTAGAATACTCTCAAATATTTATTAGGTTTTGGATAAACTACATTCCTTCTAGGATATAATGCTTTAGCTGACTTTTTTTAGAATTATGCTATTATGCCAAATTCTGAATGTAAGGATCCTAATTGTTTGAAAAGACAAAAGTTGAATTCAGAAAAGACAAGATTGAATAAATTATAAAAAAGAAAAGAATAATCAGAATANTCCTTAAACAGCAGGTCTGAAAAATTTTCTGCCTTCATAATATTTTTCAATTTCCTTTCTGATTTCAGCTTCTGGTTTTCTTTTTTGAATAAAATCAATAGGATAATATTATTATTTTTGTTTAGGTTCTTCTTTTGGATAATCAATAACAGTTTTTTATGGACAAGACTTTTAGGTTTTCATCTTTTCAGCATCTAACTACTCTTATGTTTTTTATTTAGGTTTAGGATAATTAATTTTAGGTTTTTCATGAGCATTATATAATCCAAAGAGTTCCTTTCCTAATGAAGTTTCTTTTCCAAATATCTTGTACAAACTCTTCCTTTCTTCTTTAACCTATGGATCATCATCATCAGGTAAAAATTAATTATTCATTTATATATTTTTAATAAATGCAAGAAAGATAAATGAGTGAAGAAGTAAGGAATGATAATCCTTACAGTAGATTAATGGCATTAAAGAGAATGGGAATTGTTTAGAATTATCAATAAATAAAAGAGTTTACTGTATTAGTAGTTGGTGTAGGTGGAGTAGGATCAGTTTTATGTGAAATGTTAACACGTTGTGGAATTGGTAAATTGATTATGTATGATTATGATAAAGTAGAATTAGCAAATATGAATAGGTAATCAAATAACTCTAATTTTTAGATTATTTTTCACACCATAACAAGTAGGATTATCAAAGGTTGAGGCAGCAAAATAAACATTATTGAATATTAATCCAGATGTTGTGATTGAAGCTTACAATGAAAATATCACATCAGGAACAGGCTTTAATTAGTTATTGGAGAGAATGTAAAATGGTGCTCTTAAAGGTGGACCTGTCGATCTTATTTTAAGTTGTGTTGATAATTATGCTGCACGTATGACAATTAATAGTGCTTGTAATGAACTTGATTAAGTTTGGATGGAGAGTGGTGTATCTGAAGATGCAATGTCTGCACATATCTAATTGATAATTCCAGGAGAAACAGCATGTTTTGCATGTGCAGTTCCAATAGCTGTAGTTGAAAATAACGAATAATAAATTAAAAGAGAAGGTGTATGTGCAGCCTCATTACCAACAACTATGGGTATTACTGCTGGATTCTTAGCTTAGAATACTCTCAAATATTTATTAGGTTTTGGATAAACTACATTCCTTCTAGGATATAATGCTTTAGCTGACTTTTTTTAGAATTATGCTATTATGCCAAATTCTGAATGTAAGGATCCTAATTGTTTGAAAAGACAAAAGTTGAATTCAGAAAAGACAAGATTGAATAAATTATAAAAAAGAAAAGAATAATCAGAATAGAAATAGGAGATAGTTCATACTGAAAATGAATGGGGAATTGAAGTTGTAGCTGATGATACTCCAATAAATGAAGCAGAAATTTAATCATAATTATTGAATTAATAATAATAATAATAATAATAATAATAATAATAATAATAATAATAATAATAATAATAATAATAATAGTCTATAGAAACGACAGAAGATAATACCAATCTAGAAGATTTAATGAATCAATTAAAGAGTTTACAATGAATGATATGATCATTGTTTAGTATATATTAACCAATTAATTTTTATTTTCAGATTAAGACACATTTAATTATAATATTAATATTATATTCAAAATCTTTGTTTCTATACTATTTACATCAGCATTTATTATGGGTCAACAATAAACAGGGAGTAATGAATCTTCATCACTAAATTGATAACTTTAATTATTCTATCTAAGACTATTTGATATTATTTTATAGTATTTGATGATTGGAAATAAATATTTAAAATTATTGAATTTTAACTCTTATATATTAAAATCTAAGATTATTGATTCTAAATGAAACAAAATTAGATTATCAAAAATTGCCATCCTAATACCATAATATAATTTAGTTAGCCATGAGGTATAACATGGGATTAGAACAAGAATTTTTGGAAAGATGATAATCTAAGAAAACAATTTATTAATTTAAAATAGAAGTGGAAGCTTTATTAAAGAAATTTCCATAAAATTACCTCATTTAATTGATAATATTAATTAGGATATAATTCATAAAAAGCAGATTATAGAAAAGAATCCAAAAAGCTAATTAAGTAAATTCATTTAATAAAGTATTAAAAAACTATTGAGGTAAATTGAAATTTAGATCTTCAATATGGTGTAGTGTTGGTGGATCTTCTTAAACATTAATTATTTATTAATCAAATTAATCTGCAATTTAAATGATATTAAATTATTTTATCAGATATATATTGTCTGTTGTAGCAATAAAGTGTATTATGATTTAATTAATATATATTTTATAAGATAGCATACTGAACTATTATTTTATATCGCTAAAATGATTATTGATAAATAATTATTAATGAATTAAATATACTTAAAGCCACTTGATGAAACTTGTGATAATCCATAGTTACATGAGGCAACCAAATTGTTTCTAACATTGAATAAAGAGAATCATACAAGAGAAGAATTACATTACATTTTATAAAGAATGGAAGAACTGCCATACTTTAAACAATTCGTTTTGGAGAAATTGTAGAAGGGAACATAGAGGAACGATATTTTGGAAGTAGTTTTATTTGTAATAATCATAGTTGTGTTCTCGTTTAAGAATGGAATACTTTAAAGGAGGAGAAGTGTTGTTCTAAGAGAATGATACCTCAAATGATAAGCTTTATATGATATAATATGGAGAAGTTATGTTAATGAGGTAGAAAAAGATGGATTAGTTGATGTCTTTATAGAGATAGAATTCAGAACAAGTTCAACAACCATAACTAAAAATGACTTAAATTCTAAATGTCAAGAAGTTTACAAACAAAATTATAAGGCATCATAACTTTCATAAAGAGACAACTATTTCTAAGGATTAGAAATAACAATTAGAACATAAATATGGAGATTGTATTAGATTGTTGGGTGTAGGTACAGGATTTGGAGAGAAAGCTTTGGTTGAGAATATTCCTAGGTCATTAACAGTAGCATGTTATAGTCATGAATTATTTGTGATAGTTTTAAAGAAAGATGATTTTATTACATATTAAATGACATTTGAAAAAACAAAGAAGGAAAAATAGTAATTGATGTTCAAAATATTCAAAAGTAAAGGAAATAATTTAATATTTTAGATGTGAATAATGAATATTCATCTTAGAGATTGGAAAGCATGATTTATAGTTGTTAGACAATTACTTATGATAGAGGAACTTAATTAGCAATGGAGGATGAGGAAGGAGATGTATTCTATTTAGTGATCAATGGAGATTTGACATTATAGAAAAAAATAGATAATCGGAATGTCTCTTTGTGTATAATATCTTCAGGACATTTGATGGGTGAAGAAATTATTATCAATAAGACTGGTAGATATGAATATAGTTCCACTGTGACATCATTATTAGCAACAGTGATTGTAATAGATGCAAATGAATTTATTCATAAGTTTCCAGAAGAATGCAGATTATAATTAATAGAAGATTATGGTCCTAAGACTGCTAATAGATAGAAATTGTTATAATTATTGTTGTAGAAGAGAAAAACATAGAATTTATCAAATAAATAAATGACAGACTAATAAGTAAGATTATTGACAGAAATAGATGATGGAATAAAAGATTAAACCAAAAATCATCTTATAGAAAGTTTGAATAAATAATAAGAAATTCAATTGAATCAACATTTTCTAACTAAATATTCAAATCCAAGTGTTCAAAATTATTGCATTGCTAAAATAATAGATAGAGAAAAAACATTTCATAAATTAATAAAAAGTTGTGAATTTTAAGAATTTGATTTTGGTAATGGAAATAATGAAATTATCAAGAGAAGAAGATTTATGTTAGAAAATAAATTAAATTTAAAGAAACCACATGAAAATTATTTAAAACCATAATTTCATATTCTACCACTTACTGTTAAGAGAGATGTGGTCAAAAACTTTAGACTCAACAATAAGAAAAGTGTTTGTTATTCTAATTTTAATATTACAACACTTACATAGGTATAAAAGAGTAAGAAATAATCACCATTGAAAATAAAAGAAATAATGACAGCTAGACCTTCACAATAGTAATGTGATAGTTATAGTACACATATGTTTACTTAGATTGATGATAGACAATCACTTTGATTATAGTTTTATGTAATGTATACTGATTACATATATTAATTTATTTTATGTCAAGATCATCATCCAGAAGAAATAGTTAAGCCATTGGTTCTCTCATTAACTATGCCAACTCTGATGATACTTATAATGTCAAAGCGATCCTTTATGAAAATCACAATCATAATCTGTTAATCCTAAAAACACAAAAACTATATACCTGTATAAGATTTGATAATAAAAGTAATTCATCTTTCTTGTTACAACAACAATGAACAATTAAGTGAATTGTATTTTTAATACATTTAAGCATAAATAGATAAAAATATGTATACAAAAGAAGAAGTTGAACAATGGGTTAATTAATAAAATGACGAAGGGTTCACTGCATTGCATCTTGCAGCTTATCGAGGATCATTGGTATTATTATATATAATAATAGAAAACCATTAAATTACTTGAATAATATGGAGCAAATTACCTAATAAAAAACTATAATGGTAAATCATAACATCATATAAAAGAGTTAACGGTCTTACATACAGCATCGTAAGGAGATTGTCCATTAACTATATATTATTATCTCTAGAAAGGAATACCAATTAATGTAATAGATAATAAAGGTTCATCTCCTCTTCATTGGGCTGCATATTCAGGATCATATAATGCTGTGAATTTCTTGATTTCATGGAATGCTAATTTAAATCTTCAAGATACAGATACTTTAGTTACTCCTTTGCATCTAGCTACTATGCAAGCTAATTCTAGAATTGTTAGAAAACTTTTAATGAAAGGAGCAGATCGTTCAATTAAAGATTCCAGTGGCAAAACTCCTTTAGATTTAGCAATAGAAAGTGATTTCAAAACAATTGAAACTATGATTGTAGATATTCTTATTAATAATAGAGAGATAAAAATGATATTCTAATCTTTTGTAATGTTAGATAGCCATTCAGACCAGTGAAACAAAAAAGGAATAGTTAAATTGCGTTTCTATCAATGTATATGACTTGCTTTATTTGTACTATAGTATTCACTTTCCCATGTAATCAATTCAATTTCATAATCTTTAGTTGTTATTAGTACAATATGGATGTGGATATTCTTTACTTTAACTAGCATTACTGTGATATTTTTCTTTATATCTTGTGCCAAGGATGCTGGAATAGTGTAAATAGACCATAAATTAGATATGCTTTAAATATTATAACGATATGATTGTTCAAATATTTGTGCAGATTGTAAAGTATATATACAAACACTAATATTAGTTAGTTAGACCTAAGAGATCTAAACATTGTGATGTTTGTTAAAAATGCGTTATGGTATATGATCATCATTGTCCATGGATAAATAATTGTGTAGGAGCAAAGTAACTAAATTAATTAAATTAGGAATCATTTTGTGTTTTATTTTTTTATTATTAGTTTGTTTTCAGAATTCATTTTACAATTATTTATACAATTCTCTCATTATAAATCCAATACTGTTTAAAGATGGTTTACTAATACTGAAGATTGGCTTTTAACGGGAAAAGAGTTTACTTTTTATTATGTCATAGTTTATTGTTTTCTATTTCTTGTACCTTTGGGGTAATTAAATGTTATAATTTAGTATTCTGATCTAAATTTAAACAATTAATTTATTGACAGGTTAAACAACTTTTGAAAGACATAGTTTAGGAGCACCTGATTCAAAAAATGAAAAATCAAATGAAAAAAGTGCAATAAATAGAAGTGAAGAATAATCAATGGAATCTACAGAATAAGGATAAGGTGGAACATAATAATCAATTCATGATCAATAATTAAAAATGGAGTAATCACATTTGAGTTTGGGAAACTGTTTTTAAATGTGCTTTGTAAATAAAAAGAAAAAAGAATATAGTAGTGAATTAGCAACAGAATTTATTGAACTCTGAATTATTGTATAAATAAAATTAAAATGCAAAAATTCGAAGAATTAAAAATAGCCATTACTGGAGCTGCTGGTAATTTAGCTTCTGCATTGTATTTCTAAAAATATTGAAAATCTAGTTATCCTCTTTTGGGATCTGGTTAAGTGTTTGGGTCAACTCAAAAATTCTCATTATAACTATTAGAATTACCTGAAAAACTACAAGAATTAGAAGGAATCAAGATGTAAATATAAGACTGTGCATTTCCACTTCTGAATAATGTTATAGTGTCAAGTGATCCTACTATTGCATTTAAAGATGCAGATGTTGCAATATTTTTAGGAGCCATGCCTCGAAAACCAGGAATGGAAAGAAGTGATCTGTTATAAATGAACAGAGAAATATTTATACAATAGGTTCTATATTTAAATTATAAACTCAGGGTTAAATCTTGAATGAATAAGCCAAAACTACTGTTAAAGTTTTAGTTGTGGCAAATCCAAGCAACACTAATTGTGCAACTCTGGCTCATTAGTGCACTAAAATTCCATAACAAAATTTTACATCTCTTATGTAACTAGATCATAATAGATGTGTCTCAACTGTATAGCAATTTTTATAATTTTAGCTTGCAAGAGAAGCTAATACAACCATTGACTAGATCAAAAGAGTGATCATTTGGGGAAATCACTCTCTTACATAATACCCAGATATGACTCATTCAATTATTAATGGTAAATAAGCATCAGAAACATTTTCAAAGGATTTCTTGAGAAATGCTCTTATTTAATAAGTTTAATAAAGAGGAGGTTAGATTTTATAGCTTTCTAGAGGGGCAAGTACAATTTCTGGAGCAATAGCTGTTAAAGATCATTTAAGGACATGGTTTTTAGGAACATCTTAAGATAATTGGACATCTTTTGGAGTATTCAAAATTATTAGTATAGGTAATTTCTGATGGAAATCATTATGGAATTCCAAAAGGAATTTGTTTTTCTTTGCCTGTGACTTGTAAAGATTTTGAATTTAAAGTTGTTGGGGATGTAGAATTAGATGACTTTGCTAAATAAAGAATTCAATTATCACTTGTCGAATTACAAAAAGAGTAGTAATGATTAATAAAAAATGATAATTATTTATAAATGGATCAGAATTATGATAATAACAATATAATAATATTTGTTAAGTCTGCAAGTATGTTAATCTTATTCCTGATCATTTTGTTTATAGCTATTCTTCCATATAAATCAAAGACATTTAGAGAAAATAAAGTATAGATAAATATTATATTTTAGCCATTAATATCTATTTCTTAGGCTTTTTCAGGAGGATTATTTTTATCAGTTGCTCTTTTGCATTTATTACCAGAATCATAAGAAAAATATTAATAATCTTAGAACATTGGATAAATTAAAAAAAAAGAATTATTTCCATTTCCATTTCTAATTACTATTCTTAGTTTTGCATTAATTTTATTTATTGAAAAAATAGTGACAAATCATAAACATCAACATTAAGATGTATTAAAATTATTCTTATAATATAGCATGTTGATGTACAACCTACATAAAATATTGAATTACTTAAATCAGATGAGAGTATCTGTTGTAGTTAGATTGGTGCATGTTGTAATTAAGTTGAAAGCTAAGCATAAGAAGATTTATTAAGAAATGCAATATCCTCTTAAGTAAAGATGGCATAAAGAGTAGGATTTAATGAAATAAAAAATAAAACAAAAATTAAAAAACCAAATAAATCTTCAAATCTAACTCCATATTTATTGCAATTAGCTGTAGGAATACATGCAATCTTTGAAGGATTAGCAATAGGAATAGAATCAAATCTTAGTAGATGCATAGGTATAGCTTTGGCAGTATTTTGTCACAAATGGGTAAATATTATTTAAATTTAAATAGGCTGAAGGTCTCACTTTGGGATTGGCATTTAAGAAAGCAAAAGTTACTTATTCAAAAGCTAAAAAACTTATATTTCTACAGGCTTTGATGAATCCATTAGGTATTTCAATAGGGTGGATTTTATCATAAAATAAAATTATAATAGTGAGTATCTTTTATGCAATATCAGCTGGAACATTTTTATACATTTCTACTATCGAAGTGATTGTAGAAGAATTTAATGTTGCCAGATACAAACTTTTCAAATTTTTAGCATTTTTAATAGCTATTGGCTTTATAAGTTCAATTTGGTTGTTGGAATAAATTGATTTTTGAAAATACTAATTTTTATGGTATAAAAAAATCAATTCACATCTAAACTTTTTCTTTGGATGGTTCTTTATTACATAGGTCCAATAGCTGCTTCTAAAAAGACTTAATGTTATTCTGATTTAGGTATGCATCTCATTGCTGACCACACTGAGAGTATTCCCAAACAACTCAAGAGAATACAGATTGAAATTAAGTATATATACATAAAAAACAAGCCATTTAGTAAAGTTGTACAAAAGGTATTTTTAAATCTAATAGTTCCTTGTTTAATGTATGAGCAATTTAAAGTGTTTGTTAGATTCTATGTTTTATGAAAAATTAAGTTGAGTTGACTTCCATAATAAGTCAAATTAACTACTTATTATTTAATTTCATTGTCAAGATTAGTTAATAATTATTCATATTCAGTTAGATTAGATAAAATTGGTTTAAAAGTACTATTAACTGAATCAATATATAATTTGATTTGATCAAAGTACTTTAAAACTATTTATGATATACTTTCTTAATTTTTAGTTTTACATCTCTTATATTATTCCATATACCTTTATTTAGCAAAGTCTTAATTACAAGAATCAAAAATTAAGCAAATGGCCATACCAAATTCTCGATGAGGATTACTATAGAAACTGTTTCACCTATTAGATCTGTTTATCATTACTTTAATTTGAGTAGATCGGCTTTGTAATATTTGCAATCTTGGTCTTTCCATTCCCATTCATCTTATGAAACTCTACATCCTCCATAGAGTATTTGCATTGATTTGTCAATATTATAGTCTGTCCAATTGTTCATATTTCTTAATATATTTTATGGATTATCCTAATTATTATTATCAATCACTAAACTATAATTTGTAAAGTATGAGGATATAACAGATTAATAGAAATTAATAACATTATGAGAATATGATAGTTTATCAAATTCTTAAATTGATTTATCAAGATCAATAATATTTTCGAAAGTTTAATTCAAATCAAAATATGATACAAAATCTCCATTTTAATACAAACAAACCTCAACTTATTGAAAAAAGGATTTAGTTTTAATAAAATGTTTAGTAGGTTTCATAATTTTAATGATTCTTTTTAATACATTTTTATCATGAATTACTCCATGAGTTAAATTGCATACCATATTATTATTTATCAATGAAACATAATATACAAATATTAATATAATAAAACCTATTATTAATAATACTGCAAGAGCAATCCAAGAAATATGAAGTAGAAATCCCATTTTTTAAAATCTAAACCAAGTAACTAATGAAAATGAAAATAGTAAAATAATAGTAGTAGTACAAGTAATTATTAAAAATCTTTTATATGCAGTTACTCCTGAATCAAATATCCAACTTTTAGTATTTAAAGTTTATTCAAGTTTAGATAAAAAATTAATAATATTATATGAAAAATCATTTAATTATGATTAACTTTGATTAAGATATTGTATTATTTAAGTTATATTTATGTATTATGATTTTGATTTAATTATTTTCATTAAATATATTGCTTAATCTCTTGATGATAATTCTTCTAATAGAAGATTTGTTACAGTACCTAATTAATTACTAGGTCCAATTTATTCAATAAAATTACTTTAAATATATTATTATTTACTGTAAGGATTAGGATTAATTAATTTATGTTCAAAATTATATTCGTATAAATCAGATAAATATTGATTCTCTATTTTATATTACTATTATAATTATTTTGTTTTAATTTAACTTAATTATTTAATAGCATTCTATCTAGATTAATCTGATAGTTCTTAAGTGAGTGATTTAATCTGTTTATTAATGTACAATATGCCTTACCAATCATTATGCCATCCTTATTCATTTTATTATTCAATTGTATTCTCTATCATCCATAAAGATATACATTTCACTTATAATAAACTACTTTAAATAGATTTAATACCTACTTTCTATTTATTTATCAGTATAAGATAATCCACAAACTGTACATAACATTAAACTCAATAGTATTATACCAAAAAATAGAAAGTATTTTTCAAAAGTGCTTTTGGTATCTGTTTCAACATTAATATAACAACATCTCATGAAAACCTTGTATTTTGGAATACAAAATATTTAACAGCAACATAATAATATTATTACACCTATCACACTTAATATTATTGTAAATATCTCATCTAATTAATGTTTAATTCATTACTATCAATTATGAATATAGCTCATATTAATATTCATCAGGAAGTAATGTTTATTCATTTTACCAATTTGAAATTATTGTCTCTAAATCCCATCCTAAATTGAACACATTTTATGCTTCTTCTGCTCCATTTTTGGCACTGATTGGCCATAATGTGTGACTATCTTAAATGAAAGATGAACATTATTCTTTATAAAGAATTTGGTATTCTTTTAACATTTCATGAAATTATGGCATATTAATAATTATCTAATATATTTTCAATCCAATTAACTTATCTTATTAGATAATTCAATAGTGCTTTCAATCATCTTTCTTATATCCTTTTACCAATCTACAATCAAATCTTGAATCTTTGTATTTTTTGATTTACTTTTTGTTTTACATGATATTTTATGCTTTTTTTACTACTTAATACGTCTTTTAGATATTGACTTCTTAGATATAGGAATTTAATTTGGTTTAGAACTACCTATTATAATAACATCATCATCTTTATCATCTTATTTCTTTGATCTTGTTTATCTAACTTATGTAGCTGAGGTTTATTTGCTTTACTTGAATTTTAGCTTTTTTGATTTCAAGATTGTTTATTTTGGATTATCTTTGATTGGAAACTAAATCAAGTTGATCTCTAAATCATCTGAGCTCATATTTAATACTTATCTTATGAAGTGATTGAAATAAAAAACTTAACTAAAAAGCCTTCTAATTATTAGGAATATTAGTTTTAGTTAACCAATAAAATTATATAAATTAATAATTTATTATTAGAAGTGTAAATCAAATTGCTGACACTCAACTTTAATTCAAAATAAATTAATATATAATAATGTAATTTTATGATTTTCTCCCTGCTCCCAATCCACTTATATAAGCTACTGATCCTGAAATGAATACTAAAATGTATCTAAAATAAGTTAATTAGAACTTAAATTAAAAAAAGAGATGAATATAATGAAAGAGATTCAAGTAAGAATCTCTGGGATTATTTTACAGATAATAAATAAAACCTTGTTTATTAAAGATATGATAATTATCCTTGGTCAATGATTCCTTTAAATAATCATCGATTTACAGCTTCTTGTTTCTTTGATTGTAGAAAATTGATTTCCTTAAACAGAGAAATCAAATTAACAGAATTTTAATCTGTTTTATACAAAAACCTATTCCCTTCTACAATGAAACAAAAAGAATTTAAACCTTTATAATTAGAATAAGAAAATAAGAACTATTCAGGATTAAAATTTGATTCACATTATGAAAGTTCAAACCTTTTTGCATCATTCAGAATTGGTCATAATGAATATGATTTGATTATGCAAAATGATACTAATTCTAAAGGACATACTTAATGGTTTTATTTCTCTGTTGAAAATACATAAAAAAATGCGTTGGTTACATTTAACATTATAAACTTTGTAATTTACATTATATTATAAAGCCTCACAGATAAAAAATGAATCACTATTTAATTTGGGTTAACGACCTGTCATTTATTCAATTAAATCTAATAAAACTAGAGGAATTGGATGGATCAAGGCTGGTACTAATGTTGTATATTTCAAAAATAAATATAAAAGAGAAAATAGTACCATTAAAACTTATTATACATTAAGTTTCTCATATAAGTTTGAATACTCAAATGATAAAGTATATTTTGCCTAATGCTATCCATATACATATTCATAATTGAATTCATTTATTGATAGAGTTATAAAAACTAATTAAGTAATCTTAAATAACATATAAGTTTTCAACCGTAAAAGATTTATGTAAGACAATTACAAAATCATAATGTCCTTTGATTACAATAGGAAAGGGTAAAAAAGCAATATTGCTAATGGCAAGATAACATCCTGGAGAGACTCCAAGTTCTTATGCAATAGAAGGGGCTATGGAATTTTTGATTAGAAATTGTATTGAAGCAGAAATGCTAAGAAATCATTTTACTTTTTATATTATTCCAATGATAAATCCTGATGGAGTAATTTTTGGAAATTATCGATGTAATTTATCTGGAACCGATCTAAATAGAATTTGGGTGAATCCACATAAGGAAATACATGATTCAGTTTGGTATATTAGAGATTTGATCAAGTAGATTAATTAATCAACTGAATTAAGTATGATAATTGATTTTCATGGACATTCAAAAAAGTATTAAAATTGTTAAAGTATAAATTAGATTCAATAGTTTTTTTTATGCCAATAATGGAGCAGATTAATTAAAGTTATTTCCTTTGATTTGTTCTAAAATATCTAAAATGGTAAATTTAAAAGATTGTTCTTTCAGTATACATGAAAGCAAAAAGAAAACAGCAAGAGCTGCTCTATAAGAGGAGGTTAAAAGTGGATATATTTACACTTTAGAATCCTCATTTCATGCATACAAACGATAATTTAGTCAAGATTTTAATGATATTCATTATAAGGAATTAGGTGTTGATATAATACTTTCAATATTTAAATTATTTTAATAAGAAATGTTTTAATCAACTTTTGAATAAAATATTAATTTTAAATTACCTAATACAATTAATTCATAATAAAATAATGATTTAGACATATTTATTAAAAATTATGATTTAAGTTAACTTTAATTAAACTAAGATGATTCAGGAAGTGATTCAAATCCAGAAGAAGATGTATTGCAAGATTAAGAATAATTATCAATAATCGAATCTAGAAAATAGAGCAAAGCGTAATTAATTACTAAAAAGAAAATAATAAAAATAGACAAAAGTACATAAACTGATATTTCTCATTATTAAAATTTAATGTTGGATGAAAAAGTCTTATCAAAAATTGAAGAATAAGTGAAAGCATTAAGAAAGAATAATAATTTGGAGACAATTGGAATTTTGGGTAATGATGTTGAGTTCTAAGAAGGATAGAAATGTGAATTTTAATAAACAGATATCTCATTGTAATAAATTTTAGGGAAAATGTAAGTATTTCATGTAAGAGTTTCTAATAAGTAAAATTATTTGATTTATTCTAGAAATTCTATGTTTTAACATTAATTTACAACTTAATCTAGTAAACCTGTTGTGATTGTCTTAAAAAATCCATATTCTAAATAATAATTACAATAAAATTAATTAACAACTTTATAATAAGAATAGTTATCAATAAAAAATAGACGTAGAGTGGCATCAATAAATGGTAGAGCTTCAATCGAATCAAAAAGGTTAGCAAATGAAAGAAAATATAGCATTTAGCATTACTAATAAGAGAAATACCATGGACAGAGTTATTAATACAATACACCTATGAATTTTATGTCTTAAGATACAACATTCGATAAAATTGCAAACATAAGCAAGATTAGATTCAATGAAAAATAAGTAGTTAAAAACTAATTTTGATTAATTTGAAACGCTTACATTTTCCATTTGATATAAATAATTAATATTTTAAACATTTATAATTTGAATCTTTTTTTAGATGGTAAGAAATTATGAATTTGATTCAATTTTATGAATAAGATTGTATTTGTATATTTAGTTTTGTAATTATTTTAATAGAGTATTAATTTCGTATAAAATAAAATGGGTTTGATTTCATATTACTGTTTGCTAGTGGTCGTTTTTATTGGTTTGATCATCTATGATCTTCTATTTTATACGACATATTAAAATGATGTATGTCCACCAATAGAGTATACAGATGCTGCAGCTGATGAAACAACAGCGGATGAGAATGCCGCTGGAAATCGAATATTAAATCTGATGACCGAGAATATTGATGAATTTATAAACTCTTAAAATGCAGCATAAGATGAAACAACAGATGAAACAACAACTGATGAAACTGCAACTGATGAAACTGCAACTGATGAGGCAGCTACTTCTTCATCAGCTTTTGCAAACAAATTAGTATTATAGATATTGTAATAGATAACATTACCCTTCATTATTATATTACTTTATTGTGGAGTTATTGGTTTAATTATTTTAGCAATGTTAGGTATTTACTGTTTTGGTAAAATGCCTAGTGAGAGATTTGGGAATTTAAGTATTAAATTATTAGTCATTTATTCGATTAGATATGTGTTGGGCTTGCTTAGGTATTTACGTAAGAAACTTTGCCGTTTTGACTAGATTGTTATCTTGGGTTGGGATCTTATTAATGGCTATTCACGCTATTATAACCATAACAGATGAGGAATGTTAAGCAGCAATACATGAATACAAATAAAATAAGAAGATATATCGTGTGGTAATATTATTGATTCAATAATCATGAAAGGAAGGTGCTATGTATGACTCATCTATTCTCTTAATAATTGTCAACTTATGTTTTTGGGGAGCAACTCATTGTATTTTACCTTCCCTAAAGCTATTCATTGATGCAGAATCCTTTTTATATGAACCATTTGATAGAACCAAAGGCTTAGCCTATTGGTTTTGTTGTATTATGCTGGGGCCATGATAATTATTATCAATTATTATTATATTAAATAAACCAAATGAATTTAGGTGATGATGAAATATGGGTTAATCACACCAAATTCGTTTGTCTTATAGCAAAATAAGACAATGAGTAGAATAAGTTAATGATTACAAAACAAGGGATAAATAGTATTGATAAAGAAATAAGAGAAGAATATGTTGATGAAAAATCAAACATTAAAGTCGATCCATTAGCTAAAAAAGGAGTTAGTGATTTACTAGTAAGATTAAAATTAAAATTAGCTCTTAAATGAATTAAATGAATTTAATTGTCTTCATGGAATAAGAATGAGATATTCTAAAAAACTTATTTATACATAAATAGGGGCTCCAATTTTAGTAGCCATTAATCCATATTAATACATTCCTGAATTTTATGATGAAAAAATGGTAACATTCTTTAAAAAAGAAATGGGAAGGATGCATTAGTATTCATATTCTAAAAATTAGAATTTCTAAAGATATCCTTTAACAAAAATTAAGAGATATAGACCCTCATCTCTTTAAAGTTGCTTAAATGTCCTTAGATCAACTGTTTGAAGAGTCTACAAAAACTAATCTTAGAATATGCTCAATGATTATATCTGGAGAAAGTGGATCAGGTAAAACAGAATCAACTAAAATTATTCTCAAATATTTAGCTGCTGAATCATTAGGTTAAAAGTCCAAAACACCCTCTATAGAATAATAAGTTTTTGCTTCTAATCCACTTTTAGAGGCATTTGGAAATGCAAAAACAGCAAGAAATGATAATTCTAGTAGATTTGGAAAATTTATACATTTATATTTTAATCCTGTCACCAAAAGAATTTCTAATGCAAAAATTGATAACTATTTATTGGAAAAAAGCAGAGTTGTTAAATTAAGTTCAGTTGAAAGAAATTATCACATTTTCTATTAATTAATTGCTGCTCAAATCCCTGAACTAAGTAAGTAATTAAATAACCTTTAGAACTTGGATAAGCTGAATAGTATCATTATTTAAAATAAGGAGATCTGAAATACAATAAAAAGGAACTTGAGGAATTCAAAGAAACTAGTGATTGTATGGATGAAATGAACTTTACTCCACAAGAAAAACAATATATTTTTTAAGCTCTTGCTGGAATCTTACATTTAGGAAACATCTCTATATAAGGAGATGCAAATAAATCATTCATAATTGAAGACTTTTCTTTGAAAACCTCTTGTTAATTATTAGGACTTGATTCTGAAGATTTGATTAGAATAATTTGCAAAGTTCAAACAGTTATGGGAAAGGAAGTGATTATGAAAGAAAATAATATAGAGGCAGCCGGTAGTGCAAGAGATACACTCGTTAAGCATATTTATGAGAAATTATTTAATTGGTTAATCGAAAGAGTTAATGTATAACTTTAAGCTTGTGGTTAAGTTTAAGTTCAATAAAATACATCTTAATATATGATTGGTATTCTAGATATTTTTGGTTTTGAAATATTTACAGATGAATAAGGAATATAGACAAACAGTTTTGAATAATTAAATATTAATTTTACAAATGAAAAACTCTAATAACATTTTAATTCCCATATGTTAGAAACTGAATAAAGTATCATATTTAATTCTATCAATTTAGGTGAATATAATATGGAAAGAATATAATGGAATCAAATTAAATTTCCTGATAATAAATAAATAATTGATGTAATCGAGAATTCAACTTTGTCCATATTTAAGTTACTTATTGATTAAACTATTGCTCCTAAAGGTAATGATAGAGAATTTAGTAATTCATTTAAAAAATTACCAAGATATTGTGTTTTCAATGTCTAAGACTTATTGGCTTAGGATTCAGATATCAAAGTAGATAAAAAGCATAAAACTGCTAAATTTGATTGGTTTGGAATCAAACATTTTGCTGGATATGTGATTTATAATGTCTCTGGATTTATTGATAAAAATAAAGACACTATCAATCAAGAAGTTCATAAAGTTTTGCCAACGAGCAAAAATCCTATTCTTAGAGAAATCTGGAAAAGTCATCAAATTACAAATACAAATATTAAATAGAATAATGTCATAACTAGATTTTAAAACTCACTTTAAGAATTACTTGGAATACTTAATAAATCACTTCCTAAATACATTAGATGTATTAAGCCTAATAATACTAAATCTGCCTTTGAATTTGACGCTTAAGAAGTAAGAAGATAAATGAGATGTGCTGGCTTATTAGAAGCAATCTAAATTAGAAAGGCAGGGTATGAAATTCGACTTTATCACAATGATTTTATGAAGAAATATAGATTTCTGATTAAAGGTAAACCTACAAATATTAATCAAATGATTAGATTATTGAACGAAAATTAAATAGTTAAAGAAAAATTACAGAAAGAATTAGAAGCCAAAAATCTTTAGATTGGAACAACTAAAATTTTTATGAAAGAAGGATTAAGAGATTTCTTAGATTAACAGCTAGAAGAATTTAGAATTCAAAAGAAAATTAAAATTTAAAAATTTGTTAAAAAATACATCTACAAAAAAACCATTTTTTTAAAACTTAAAATGCTTTTGTAAAGGCATTATAAATTATAAAGATCATGTAAATGGTATTTATATAAAGTTGTGTTTTTGGTAAAAAGAATTAAAAAGAGGAAAATACTCAACTCCTTTATTTAAACAATTTAAAAATTTGAAAAGAAAATAGTAGAATTTTTTGCCTTTTAAAAATTACATGATTATGCCACTATTTTAATATAGAGAGATGCTGAAATTTAGAGATAATAATAAGAGCTAGAGAAAGAATTATAGATAGAAAGTTCTGGAGAAATCAATAAATCAGTCAATATATCTTAAAAATTAGTTGAAGATGATTCAAGTATTAGTTAATCTTAACCAATTTAATCTTTTAATATCAAAACATTCACTAAACTTGACCCAGTAAGCAATTCCGCTTCACATTATATGCTTAAAAAGGCTCTGGATGAGGCAACATTAAAATTAAAATTAGAATAAGATAAAAGAAGAGATTTGGAAGATTAGGTAGAAAAATTATAAAATAATCTAAAATAATTTGAATCCTCAGGCAGAGAAACTTTAAATCCTTCTGCATTTGGATAATTAGAAGACATATTTACTTTATAAAAATTAACAGAAGAAAAGAAAATGTTGGAAGTTTAAGTAGAATAATTATAATTTGAGAAAAAAAGAATTGGAAAATCTGTACTATATTCATATCATATTTTAGAGTTTTGATTAAATTTAAAATTTAAGCCTCTAATTAGCTCATGCCTAACACACTAATGAAGTTTTAACTGAGGATTATGTAAATAAATTTAATGCTAATTAAGAAATTGAGGAAAAGTTAAAAGATGAATGGAATTAAGAAAGAAGACAATTAGCTAGAGAATTGGAGGATTGTAAAAAGGCTTTATCTAATTAAAATAAAATTGCTTAAAAAGATATTTAAAGAATTAAGATGGAATATGATAGAGAAAAATTGAGGGTAGCTGAATTAGAAAGTGAAGTTTTAAAAGCTAAATAAATTAGCGAACTATAATTGAAAGATTCATAAGTTGAAATTTAATTAAAGGATTAAACAATATCCTAATTGAATAATTAAATCAAAGAATATAATACTAGATCTCTTATTCAATCTTAAGTTATCAGTTAAATTAATGATACTCCTGAAGTAATTTAAGAACTCAATGAAAAAATTATAACATTATCAGCTACTTTAAAAAAAAGAGAATTTGAATAAAGTAGAAATAAAAAGCTTATACATACAATGAATCATCTTGTTAAGCTGAAAATTATTGAAGTTAATGCTCTTCATAAGCATTTTAATATTGTGCATGAATAATAAAAATAAGTATTATATATATTCATTTTATTAAGGAAATTTATCAGCCAATAGCTTATTTCATGGAAAAAGAAAAAATATTGATAAAATAATTTGAAGAACTAGTTAAATAGATGAATTAAGAATCGACAGGGCATGCAGAAAATTAATAAAAAAATGGATGAATTTCTTTTATATCAATAGTTTAGATAACTTAATAATTAATCAAATTTCAACTTCTTAATTTTTTGACAGTTGAAATTGTTTGTTAATTTCATTATTTTTAATTTTTCTTCTACACGCAGGACATAATTGTTTGTAATTCCTCCATTTATTAAAACATTAATAATGAAAGATATGATTGCAAGGTAGCTCTACATATTTTTCCAATTGCTTAAATTCCTCCATGCAAATTGAACATTCAAAACCCTCTTCGCCATTATATTCATCAAATATCTCATCTTCTTGGTAACGTATATTTCTTTTGATTAATGATTGAAATAATTTTATTTAACATATGCAAATAGTTATAAGTAATAACATAAAGATAGCTGGTATCATGGTTGCAAAGTTTAACCAACTAAACGATATATACATTTTTTCATTAAAATTTCTTAACAAAATTTATATATTTATTTCATTAGTTATTTCTTATTCAATAATATTTGACGCTGCATTTTAAAACTTAATAATGCATTATAAAATAAGAAATGATATTTTATAAAATGAAAAGTTTTCCTTATGAAGCTTTAATAAATTTACTTTATAATTAGAATATACATTATAAAT